TGATGGTTATTTTACCTGACTGCTAAGAGAGCATAAATGCCTGTTAGTAAGCGACCGACGGCTTTAGGTCTTCTCTCTCTCTCTCTCTCTCTCTCTCTTTCTCTCTCGTTCGTCCTCAATCTCTATCCCCTCGACTCATTGTGGTGTTGTCAGGAATTCTTTTTTTACGTAATTTACCAAAACAAGTCGTTCTTTTACTCTATTCTGATGCTTCCTATACGAAAAAACACCTTTTGAAATATATCATAAAGCTATGTACCCTATTCTTTAAAATATAAAAGAAGAATATACCTCAATAGGAATTATCGTATACGATTCAATTTCTAATTTTCTATATACATTTATGCAAAAATAACTTTCATCTAAAAACAAATATTCTTCCTATCCCTCGGCTGTAGCCGGATATCAGCAACGAAATGATGCGTGTATTACATCTCCATCAGCAGTTCACTTAATCATATTTACTGAGAAGAAAGTGATGAAATACTATTTAAATTAAACTTGCTCTTTTAGTTAAAATGCGTGTACCCGATGCCTTCCTGCCCTACTATCAAGAGATTAGATGACATTATACCAACTCCTTCCTCTCGAAGACGGCTCATCAGCTCTTCCCTTTAGTCCTCCTTCTTCTGTCTTTTGTCAGAATAGAAGTCATGGCCCTATTTCATGAAATTTGTTAACAAATGCAAATTTTCATTGTAGTTTAGCATTTGTTGTTGATAACAAGTTTTATGAAACAGGGCCCTAATCAGCACATTTAACTTCCTGAGGACAAATGTTTAGATGTCTTTAATGCTGATTTACTAGCTCTCCGCTTTGCTAAGGTTACCCTCTCCGATATCAAAAAGCTGCCTACAATGGTATGCCACTGAATTCAGGTAACTCAAATGGCAAGTCCGACCCATTCGCAAGCTGAATTAAATGAATGGAGAGAGAGAAAAAAATCAGCGAAAGTCTCATCAAAATCGGATGCAAATAAGAAAGTTATGAAATTTTAAAGCTTTGGATAAGTTCGTCAAACAGTGATATTATGAATCACGTATAGGCTGTAGGATAGTGGGGAGATTAATGTAATAAATATTAAAATTATTCGTCGCTTATAAAAAAGAAACAAGTAATGATATCAGTATTCTTTCAGCTTCTGCACTGCTGTTTGTTTAATTGCTTCAGACCTTTTCAGCCACCACAAAATATATGTCATACATTGGTAATTAATTTGTTATGACTTAATGAATTCAAATTGTTAATAAACCAACAACATTACAGATTTGCTACAAAAGTGAACATACTTTGAAGTTCTGAGTATAATATTTCTAAAGTTTAAAATGCTCGTTATACTAATAGGACACTGCTTCAATGTATATATATAACACACGCTCTACTAGTGGGGAGTTAATGGAAAAGTAATACAATTATAATAACAGAAAATGTTCAAATCCTGATTGCTTATGGTAATCAGTTAACATACTTTCAAAGTTCTAAGTAATATTTTTAAAGTTTAAATTGCTCTTTACACTTAAAGGAAACTTTAAATCTGAGATAGATGTATATTATTTACTTCTTCAATGTAGTTATTCAAAACTATAGTGGGGAGATTAATTGAATTTTAATACATATAAAGACGGAATATGTTCAAAGATCAGTATTCATACAGCTTCTGCAGACTGCACTGTTGTTTGTGTAATTGCTTCAGGCCTTTTCAGCCGTCACAAAATATATGTCAGACATTGGTATTTAACCTGCAAAAGCTAGAGTTTTTACATAACATTATCTTGTACATCGAACAAGCACCTATAAATGTATGAAGATTATAAAACCGTACAAAGGTGAAGTCTTTAAGATTTATTAAGCAAATTCAAATTATAAATACATCAACAAAATTACGGATTTGCTACAAAAAGAATACATACTTTGAAGTTCAGAGTAGTATTTATTAAGTTTTAATAGCTTGTTTCCATGGGTTTCTGGTAAACCTGTGGTATTTATTTATTTCACTTCTTTATTCAGGGTAGTTTGTTCAGTATACAAAAATAAAAACCTGGTCTTCCACAGAGCCCTGATTATAACAACTGCACATGAAAAGTACATGAATTACAATTAGAACTGTACAATATCAAATCATAACATTTAACACAATTTATGCATGGTTTTAGAAAATGATAAAAATCAACTTTAAAAATAAGTTAAACAAAATATTGGTAATACATTAATTGACTATAATATTACACAAAAGAACAACAGTTAATTAATTATAAGTATACTAACATTACATTATAAGCATGGTATGGTAATGGAGTCAAGTAACATGACAAAAACTGAATCATAATAGATAATGAGAAAAAAAACTGTGATAAACATGTAAGAGCTTTAATCTGTTGGTATGAAAAGTGCATTAAATGTAGTGATGAGGGCGGTCTCACATGAATGATTAGGTCGAAAATCGAACTGTTTGGGGGTAAAGGACAAACCAAATCCAAAAATACTTACCTTTAATAGAAGCAGAAAAATCAGACAAACCAATCAAAACAAGTTTGAGCAAAATCGGATAACTAATAAGAAAGTTATGAGTTTTTGAAAAAGTATGTAAAAAACTATGGAACAATGAAAAGCACAAGACAAATTGGGAACTCATTTATCAGTCTGTGACGTCATGTCCTCACTATCCACTAATTATATTCTTTATATTGATAATATAAATTTCCTATTTTCCCCCTAAGAATCTGATTTCTTCACACCAGCATCCAATTTAGATTGTTAGTAATATGTTTTTGTGTGGATGCACTAATATAGAGTAATTTTTTTCCAGTTAAATCGTGAAAAATGTAAATTATGGTAAACTATTTATATAAAAATCAATAATTATGAATATACGATATTCAGAAAATAGTATCGATTCTTCAATGTTCATAAAAGATTTTGTGAAATGTCACGCACGCAATATCATACAAATCATATAACCTGGGCAAAGGTAAGGGGGAATCAAGTTTTGGGGGATAAAAAGCGAAATTTATGGGATTAAACTATATAAAGCAATTGATAAATAGTAAGGACCTGAAGTCACAAACTAATATCTAAATTCACAATTTGTGTAGTGATTTTCATTGTTCCATAGTTTTACATACTTTTTCAAAATACATAACTTTCTTATTAGTTATCCGATTTTACTTAAACTTTTTGTGATTGGTTTGTCTGATTTTTCTGCTTCTATTGAAAGTAAGTTATTTTTGGAGTGGACTCGTACTTTAAGTGGTCGTTTTTCCTGACAGAAATTCAAGGAGAATCCTATTCACTGCCTTTTCTATTATTTTGGATAAGATGGGGAGAATGGCTATTGGCCTATAATTAGGTACTTGAAATTTATATTGTGTGACGGTTTGGTGAAACGCTGTCAGGGGCCCGATTCATAAACCTTGGTATCAATGTCTAGTGTCTTATTTGCGTTCAGCCAATCAAATGCAACGATTTCAGTAGCTTGTATTTTGCAACGTGTTATTGATAACATGTTTAATGAACAGGGCCCTTGTGTCGTTTGGTTTCGAATTGGGGTCAGTCTGGTCACAATTATTGGGGGATAATAATTGAATTTCCCTTTATTTATTACAGTGCTAGGGCCAAGAACTGACCCAAGAAAAATGCGAGTATGCTCATGATCATTGCAGAACCATCAGACCGACCCCGATTGCAAAGGGAACCTAAACAACACTTCATATCGTAATCCAGACTGGCGATACTAACGCTCTTGTCCTCCCGATATGGATGGTTGGCTCTATCGCAACCGATTCCAAATGTCTGGCATCCACGCCGAACGTCTTCTACCCCCTCGATGAATGTGACTGCAATCTACGGAATGGTAAAGTAATGAAAAATGAAATAAATAACAACATCAATTATTTTTAATGATAACAATATTGATTTTAATTAACAAAATTGTTTTAATAATAATTAATTATTTAATAATAATGATTTAATTTAATAATAATGAAAAATTAATGTAATTATAATAATAATAATGATGATAATAATAATAGTAATAATCATAATAATAATAATAATAAAAACAATAATGATAATAATAATAATGATAAAAATGAATAGGCCTAATAGTAGTCGTAATGATGATAATAATAATGATGATAATGATGATAAATGATAACACAAATAATAATGATTTAGTGATAATGATGATAATGATGATTATATAATGAAATACATGTAAACAATCACAACGGCTTTCAAAAATTAGACATAGAGGAAACTTCAATATAGTCCTCCATCATGAATTATAAATTGCCACTTCATGGAATATTATGGTCCCCTGATGACCCCCCCCCCCCCCCCTCTTGCCTGTCATATTCTTCTTTGCCGTTTACTTTTAATTCAATATTTTCAAATACGTTTCTTTAGTTCTTCTCACTTTTCCTTCCTTTTCCTTTCTTCTTGCGCTTAGAAACATTGTATTAAGCGCTTTATAAATGTAATCTATTATTTGATTTGATTTGATTTGATAAGGTTTTATTCGAATATTCAACAATACAGCTGGAGGCTGATGCAAGTGAATTTACAAGGTAAAAATGATTCCATAGACATAAAAATATAATTATATGCTTTAACACTTTTAAATGAATCCAGATATAAACAGTACATAGTAAATAAATCATAAATAATGAAAACAATAATAATATTTAGTTCGGTTTGCATACTTGGATATGAAATAAATAGAAATTCAAAGGGTGTAAGATCAGATATACAGTTTGAGAGTCGGTGCAGGACATTTTGATAATGTATTAAGAAAAATATTATTTTTGATCATTAAACAATTGAAACTAAATGATTAAACTGTAACATTTACATGAAGTATATATACAAATAAATCGACTATTATTATTATTATTTTCTGCATATTTGGCATATTTGCCTTGTGGTTCAGAAGCCTCAAAAAGGGTGTCCGGATCCGGATAGCGGGTATCCTCTATCGCTCCCATAACCTTTTTGATACTTACATAACACAGACCCTGGCAGAAGGAGTACCTCAAGTCTGTGCCCTCTGGGTCGAAAGCCAGTCCACAACTGGGGTTGAAATTACCAATGTAAGGTATCTCGCTGTGCCGACACTCGTAGCAAGTTTGGCCCATTCGATTCTCCTTTATGACGTCATCCACAGCTGCATTGTTGCAAAAGTCGGAGTCGCAACACTGTCTGCAATCGAGTCGACCGACGAATAGATTCGTGCATCCTGTATCGCATTGTGATGGTATAAGTGAAGGAGACTCCTCATCAAGGCAAGATCGAGTGACCCCGCGAGTGACCCCGCGAGTGACCCCGTAGGTTGAAGTTCTCAGCGAAATCATTGTCTGTATTTTTAATGAGACGATGTAAAAAAAAATAAAAAAAAAAAAAAACCTCTTACTGCTATACTTCTAAACATAATAACAATATTTCTACTCCCACTAAAATAATACTCAATGTAATAATATTAATAATAACAATAATAATAAAAATTCACTTTAAAATAGTGCTTTGAGTACTCTTTTGATAGTAAATTTCAGTATCGACACGCACATACTTTTGAAGAAGAGGAACAGAGGCAACTTTAAAGTGTGTCCATCTAAACCGAATCTATGTCTATAGTTGGCTCTGAGTGGAGATACTTATGTAAAATTGATAGGCCTTATCACCAAAGCCCATTATACAAATAGATATGCCCAACTCAGTTTAGGGTACATTGCAACACTTTCAACAATCTGGATATCTAACGAATATTTTTACACTATGTCACTAGAGCCATATCTATGATACTACAAGCAGTTGAAATATTTCGTGGCACTAGATCATTTTCGTAATATGCAAAAAACCTTTGTTAAATACCTTTTATATTTTTTTCCACAAGTTACGTATAATTGCATTTCAATCGTCAAAATGGATATTACATACAGTAATTGTATTTATACGACAGACAAACATTCGTATTAGCTAAAATAAATATTTTGTAACTATGCACTTATCAAAGATTTATTTATTACATAATAAACATTGTTTTATTTGAGGAAGGTCCATGCCTATTTATTTTTTCTCGACGAAATGACTGCCAATACTCCTTATCAACTCAACTTACAAGACAAGTCCCAGTACATTCCGTGTCTGTATCGACGTTGTTTTGGCTTGGTGCAGAGCAGTCGGTCACGTCGAAAACACCTTTTTCTTGGTCGAAGGGGACGTCTTCTTGGCAGGTATAGCATGTGACAGCACTGGACATGGTCACACATCCTGTGACCAAAAAGAGGTTAACATTTCATATCAAGTCCTTTTTGTTTTTTAATGTTGAGCCAATATTGAATGCCATTCATTCTCATTTTTAGCCAGTATAAATTTTCGAGCTGTAGAAAATAAAATTAGAAGTGTTGAACCTGACATATTGTCTCAGGCAAGATCATATGCCGAACTCAAATTATGCCAAGGGTTTAAGTTTTCTTCTTCTTTAAGTCATAATCGTAAATAATACAGTAATGATTATTATGATCGATGTTAGATTTATTTTTTATTATCATGCTCTGACTATCATGTTTATGTCACTACTTTTACTATGGTTCACTTCTTAAACCATATTGGATTTATTTGTACTTTGTTTACTTTGTTCGTATTCTACTTTTCTTGAATAAAGAAATTATATCAACATCATATAATAATAATCAAAATGTTATGATTTCGGTATCATGAAAATAATGATGTATTGCATGGGCAAAATTGAACGAACAGTACAAATATCAAACTTCAAAAGGATTATCATACAAGCATAGCAAATAGGAATATAAAGTTCTCAAGTGGTGGTATAAAAAAGGTATACTCAGAAGGATTATCAAACAACCATGGCAAAAAGTAATATGAACATTAAAAAAAAATGGTAAAAGAAAGAAAAAGATAAGCCGGCATAACTGCGTTGGTAAGGAAGGAATTAATAAAGAAGTATATAAAATCATTCGAGCAATAAATAACAATAGTTTTGCAAATATTCATGTACAGATGTCTTACGGTTGATGCTATAGAGTCGATTTATCATAATGAATAATTCTTGATGTTACTTGTCCATAATGTCGGAAAATGTAAGCCCCAAAGATGGATCGTTTTCGTATCTTCTACATTCCAACAGATTGTTAGTATTGTTTGTATGTAAAAACTTATGCGTGTTTACCTGCAAATATGAAAAAGACAAGAAGGTCCATTTCTAGTTTTTCAATCGAAGGCACGTGAGAAAGTTGTAGCTTACTTCTGTTAGTTATCAAGAGACAAAGAAAATGGAAGAAATAGGATTATAATAATCAGGGAAAATGATTGTCTTCTTTAATGTATATCAGGACATCGTGTATGATGGCAACATTTTAGTCATCTGAATGTACATGGTTTGGACCAACGGAATAGTTAGATACTTGAGCAAATTCGCTAGCTTTTAGATTTATTTTTTTCGCTCAAGTTTGTTCTAAATGACCAAATGTACAGTGGTTTTCTTTCAAAAGGAAACCCGGATTTTCCCATCAGTTTAAAAACGAGATGATTGTGTTATATAAAATGGAGTCTTATTATTTATGTCCGAATTCAATTCATCTTCTTGAATATTTTACGATGTTTTCATGCATGAATGAATTGGAAATATTTTAAGTGAGTGATGTCAAAAGTAGTTTGCGCACAGAAATGGGTGATAAAGATATTCAAGAACAAATAATTGATAGTGCATTGTGTTTCTTATCATGTATTAGACCAGCCAAACATTTAAAAAAAGGCTTTAGAAAAATCTCCCATGGCATTTTGGGGGTAATGCATGACATTCATGCTAACAATACTAGGAGATACTGAGGGAAGGGGAGCATGCCACGCAATTTATTTTTGTTATACTTAGAATGCCATTTTGTCTCCTAATTGGAAAGAATGTAAAAAATCATGATTGTTTTTATTTTTTGACCAAATATAAATTATATGATAAAAATCTTTCAATTGATATAATTTTCATTATTAGTTAGAAGCAAAAAAACCTGATTAATATACGTTTGAAATTTGGATACTTCACACATATTTATGGTGCAATGAAACATAAAATTGTAACGTACTCAGAATATGGGGTTTGTTAATAAATTAATCATATTTCGAGGTTTTTAAAACGCCATAAATTTGTACGATTGAACACTTTTTATTAAGTTTACATATGAGATGTTGTTATGTAACACGCGTAAAAGAAATGAGCAGATGATCTGAAGGATAAATCATTTTGTTTTCCAAAAATTAATTTATGTCATTTTAGACGATACGCATTTTGAGTGGAAACACTGTACATATTTACATCTTCAATGAACAACAAAATTACCCACCCACCAAAGTTATTTTTTTAATAGAGACATCTTACAAAATCTTATTGTAAAAAAAAATAAAAATACATCTAAGACGTTTGAAGCAGCGAGGAACTATGAATCATATTAAAAATCAAAGTATCATTTTCCAGGTGACCAGTTTACAAGGCATTGCGTAAAATTCAATAAAGAACCGTTCAGAATATAAAACGAAAGAGAAAAGAAGGTGTTAACAAATTACTATTTACCACTTTTATCGCGTATCGTCGCTCCGAATTTTCCATTTACAGTGAACTAGAGATGTGTTCGATGCAATAAGGCAAATAAGGCACTGATGGAGGCTATTGCCACGGTGAAACAAGAAGCTCCACCCTTTGATGGATGACTATTTTTTGCCTACAAGACGCCTGTGATCATAACAATATATATTGCTATAATATTAGATAGCTAAGATACTGTCTGCGCATGGGCAGATAAAGGTCATATGTGATAAAATTGTAAACATTAGCACGTATTCTATTTGGTGGGTTTCCTACAGTACATTTTATGATACAAGCAGGGAGGTGAAAGAAGGGAGTGGTAACTCTTGTAATTTAAGTAAACGCATTCGTGAGTTCTAAAGCGTAACAATGGGATGTGTAACATTCAGGCACGTAGCCACGGGGGGGGGGGGGGGGGGGGCGTGCCCCCCCCCCCCAAATTTTCCAAGATCGGTTGCACTTTTTTAGACCCCCTTTTTTTTTTACCTCGATAGATTATGTATGTGCCCCCCCCCCCAAAAAAAAAAAAAAAAAAAAAAAATTAAACTCTGACTACGTGCCTGGTAACATTCCACTTGGCTTTGAAGTTCCATGCTCCGAACCGCGCTTTCACTGCGGAGAATTTCGGAGGCCATGCTCCAGTTTCACATTTATTACAAAATGTCAAATTACCGGCAAAATTTCAGTGGAAATTATAAACTTTTTATGGAGAATGTAATGGGAATAGTGCATCAAACATGTTTTCCAATTTAGTACTCCGCCCTTCCTTTAATTTGTGTGCCAGAGCTAGTAAAAGAAAAATTAGATCCTGACAAAAAGTCAATATTTTAGGATAATGGCTTGGACTGCCTGGAAAATGGAAATGGCATATTATTTTACCCGATCTGAACTTGATATGATCTGACTGTGGACGGGATTCAGACGAGATGGACGTATTGAGGACTGTTTATGAACGAATTATGATCGTATTATAGTCATTATTCACACATTCTGCCCCGGCCACAAGCCGTTTTACGATTTTCTAGGACGGTTCCAGAACGTGATGAGAACTAGTTTGGTGTGATGAAAAAGCGGACCGTAGATTTCATGATTTTGGGGTCGGTCGCAAAGGGTAATACGACTTAATTCTTCCTGGTGTTGTTGGTGAAAAAGTCGCAAAGCCTTGTTTTAGTTGGGGGTAGGGGTGTACGTAGGGGGGGGGTCGAACCCCACCTCTCATTTTTTGTTGTGTTTGTGTTTAGGAGGAAACCCCCACCCCCTCATTTGTTTTTTTTTGCTAATGGGTGACCAAAAAAAGGTGACGTTACCCCCCCCCCCCCTCCCCCCAACGGAACGTAAAGTCGATCGGCTAATTTTCAAATTTTCGGCACAAAACAAGATCTCTTCAATAGTCGGTGAGACACATTAATGCAATAGATCTTTGGTCCATGTCAAGCTTCATTTCCAAAACCAAAACTGTTTAATTGATAGTTTTTTTTTTGTATTGCAGTATACGATAACACACCACATATAATATACAATATCCAACATAGGCGGCATAAGTTAATGCAGTGCCGCTCCGCCCTTACTGAGAAAATTGTATAAGAATTGTATATACAATATTTAACATTGGATTTAGATGGGCGCATCCAATATACCTCTGTTTGAACCCAGAAAAGGCCAGAGGTAACGCCCTTCTTGCTCCTAATTAAAGTATACACCAGTGGTCAGGCGCGTACGCAAGGGGGGGGGGTTGGGGTTTGGGTCGAAACCCCCCCCCCCACACACACCTCAATTGTTTTGTATGTGTGTGTAAAGTTTAAAGGGTGACCAAAAAAACTGACCTTACCACCCCCCCCCCCCCTACTGAACGAAGTATCGGTTGGCATAATTTTTCAATTTCCGGGACCAAAACAAATAAATAAATGTTCTTACCGCCCAACTCCCCCCCCCCCCCCCCCCCCCCCCCACTGAGTCGTTGCGAAATTTTCCCTCAAAAACTGGACAAAAAAAAGAATGTGCTATAACTCCCCCCCGTCCCCCGCTTTATGAGAAGGATCTTAAAGTAACAACAACTTTACAGCGACGCTGCTATACAAAGTTTGGTTGTGTTGATTAAGATTAAGTAGCTGCCTGGCCTGTCGAACCAAATATCGTGTTTGATTCAACTGATTGAATTGAAGAAAATATCAAATGAATGAACGGTAAAATGAAAGAAAAATAATTTTCCTCTAACTACTATTCATCGTAAGTCCTAAATAAATTCACTTCGAATGACAGGTCAATATATATTTTACAGCTTTAGTATCATCAACAACAACACGTGATCTATGGGGCTTTACTGAAGAGAAGTTCTCAACGACAAGATAAAGAAACCATACAGCATTTAGCGCTATAAAGTAACACAATCGCAAAGAAACAGATAAGCTTGATATCTCGGTTTCTACTAATCGAGGAGAACAATAACCCAAAATACGCATTTCAGAAATACTCTAGCTTCAGTATCGAAAGTTCACTCACTTGAAATCGGTTTTGGATTGATACAATGTCTATTTTTACATATCGTTGCTACGTGATTCTTTTATATAAAATAGCTATATAATTAAGTATTCTGGTTGCTTGAAGCACAGATCCAGAACGCGTATTAAACAGTCCAGCTTTATTAATCATTACAAATGTTTTGCCATTAAAGAGCATCCCACCTAACCTTTGCGGCAAATATAACAGTAAAATTAAAAAATTGTTACATTTTTTCTGAATGTTTGACAAATATCTGTAATGATAAATATGATTATTCAAATTGGCAAATAGGTTATTCGATTCTGACGTAATTGGGAGCGTTAAATTTGCTCAAGTATGAATTTCAGTTCCTCTTCAAAATATACTTCGGCGGTAATACCCCCACCCCTCCCCCCCCCCCCCCCACCCCTGGCTGTACAACAAAGATTATCGATTACGCAAGTTATAATGTTTCTATTCAATTTAAATTAATGGTTAACATTCCTGACCGAAAGGCGGTCATTACATTTGTGATTACGACTTTTTGAAATCCCCACACGACGAATGATGATCTCGAATTGTTTTCTCTCCCCCCCCCCCTCTCTCTCTCTCTCTCTCTTTCTCCCTCCAGGCCCCCCCCCCCCCCCCCCCTCGACTCACTGTGTTAATTGATATGATTTTTTTTCTTCTTCATGTCTCATTTAGGTAATTTTACCAAAACAAACTGTTCTTATACTCTATTCTTTTGTTACATTTACGTAATTTACGTAATTTTACCAAAACAAACTGTTCTTATACTCTATTCTGTTGTTTCCCCATTCGGAAAAAATTGTGAAATATACCAACCACTTATGTAGCCTATTCTTTAAAACATAGAAGAAGAATATACCTTAATATTTATTATAGTACATGATTTAATTTCTATACCTCTATCTGCAGAAAATAACTTTTATCGAATTATTTTTCTTCTTCATTTCCGAGTCCCTCAACTCAAGCAGGATGTAATACATGTCCATGAGCGATGGCAGTTGGTATAGAGCAGTGGTCTTGTACGTGATCCGGTGACCGTACCCGGGTTCGAAACCAATACAAGTCGATATGCGCTAGTGCCCTTTGATAAGGCATTCATCCTCATTACCAGGTCCCTCGGAGAGGACCTTAAGCCGTCGGCTGTCTGGTTGCTTACTAACAAGCATTTATGCTTTCTTAGCAGTCATGCAGGTAGAATAACTATCGCCACTCAACTCAATATTTATTGCATATCAATTCCTTCGCGCTCCTTTTGGGAGATCAACCGACCCGCGCGCATTTTATATTACATGACATATGGTAAAATTCTCGACATCTTTTTACACTTTTCTTTACCATTAAAAATCGAAATTGAGAATAATATCCTCAATCGAGATATGAGAAGAAGGAAACATTTCCTTTACATTCCATGTAAAACCATGCCCTTACTTGAAAAAAAACCTCCGTCACTTTGACGTTGAACTTTACAATCCATTTAAAAAAAATTACTCTCTCATACACAATGTCAATGGATCGGTCGTACTGTGCTCGATTGCCTTTCAATAAACAAATCTTTAACTTTGCAGCAACGCGTTTTGCGTCAAATTTGTAAATCCTCAATCACAGACAATGACATATGGTACGTAAGCTTTTCATACATATAAATTTCATTTTGATTGATTCATTTTTAGCTCCGTCATTTTTCATGTTAAATCATGCTTCATGTCCCATTTTAGAAGCCCGACCCAGGGTTTTGTGCCAGCTAGCCGTATGCATGTACGTAATGCTATGCATACACATACTGAACATGCATAAGTACAGTACATGTACACGTACACACGCAGCGCAGCGCGTACGAGCGCACTGCACTACATTTGATTGGGTCAGTACCATTATGAAAATAGGGTAACAATGAGTGGGATGGGTTTAGTGCCGTCACAATAAACTTGCGCATTACACGCGTACGTATAATTAGAGCAATTTATGCACCCCCAAGAAATAATGAATACAGCCCGACCTCTCTACACACAGAACTGCACAGATACCGCACAGTCCGGTCAAGGCGGTACGCGTAGCGTTAAACTGCCAAATTTACAGAAATTGTGAGGAGCACTTTTGCTATGAAAGGAATTGATATGAGAGGAAAGTGATCGGAGATGCGATTTAAATTAATCTTGATCTCAATTAATAACCCCTTCACATATAGGCCTACACGGATTTTTCTTACGAGTCATGATCCAACTCGTAGTCAATTGCAAACATCTGTAAATAACGCGTCACGATTGTTGCGGTTATTTTACGATTTGTTTACGAGCTATGTAGGGATTACGAGTGCTTACGTGTAATTGTTACGAGCACTTTACGAATAGATACGTTTACTTTACGTATTCTTAAGTATTGTTTATGACTTAGGGAAAGGTATAAAAGCTGCAAAATCGTAAGGTCTCGTAATACTCGTATCTAACCAGGGACGGATCCATAGTCCTCATTACCCCCCAACACCATAATCTGTCTTCAGAAGAAGAAGAATTTTGTTTTTCTATGTCAGTGACCTTTGATCACACATGAGCATCATTATCCTGGCTGTGTAGTAAAAGCTGTGCTTTGATTCTCAACATTTCAAACACCACTGACAGTCTGACACTGTACAAAACTCAACTGATTTCACTAAAAATCGGTACTTTAGAGACAATTGATGATACCTAAATAGCAGTAAAATGCATTTTTTTCAACTTACTGGTGTTAAAAAGAATAATTTTTAAAATTCAAATTGTAAATGCAATATTGTGTGGTGTGTGTATTTGTACTGTGTATAGGGTCTAGGTCAAGTATGCAGTGCATGCTAGCTAGAGGTCAATACGCATTGCACTGTTGACTAGACTCTCTGTCTGTCATCTATGTTTTGCTGGAGCTGGAGTGACCATTGATAGGCAGAGAGAATCTTTGAGTAAGCGATAAACAGGTAAAAACTGGTTTTGTGGATAAAGATTTTAGTGATTGTGATTCGTGTTCTTTTATATAATAATATCATGAATATGCCGCCGAGATTTCCAGGGGAACTTGACTGGGTTTGTCCGTAAATTCATCATACCTGTCCCATTAACTGAGTTTCGTGTAATGTCCCGAGACGGAGAACGAGATCGGGCGCGCGTAAACAACCAACAATCAGGCACGCTGCTGCTGCGCCGCCTGCGCCGCCTGCGCCTGCGTTAGACCGAAAATTCCTGTCTCTTTCGTTCGTTAGCCTCTGATTTGTGTAGGGTCGGCTCCTTTCTTTAGAGACAGAACAGGACCATAGGCGATAGTGTTCATGTTCGGTGTAACGTTTGTTTACACCGAACTTGGGTCTTGGCCAAACTAATGCCTAATTTTTATATTTTACCGGATCCGGATGTATAGTTAGTGGCTCTGGTCTGCGGCCGATCGGCGGGAACTGCCGATTCTATTTTTATTGGAATACTCACAGAATACTTCAATACCCTCAATAAAGAGTCCATATACTTACCTATTAAATAGAAGTCACAAATAACCAAACTGACCCACAGCGTGGTCAGCATTGACCATGTTTCGAAATGCTTCGAGTTCCCCGGTTTGCGGGCACGCAGTACCGGTTTGCGGCACGCGTACGTCACAAAGCTTTATGCGCTACGTCACGATGAAAGCATGTACCAAATTACTACGGGTAACCCAAATTCTCATGTTTATCTGTTGCTACGGTAAATTTGTGAAGTTTTAAACAATTTCACCTTTTCCTCGAATGGATCATCCCATACGGGGGTACGTACTACTAGAAACTATCGGGTCATAGGGGGTACACACATCAGCACACATACCATCATACACAATCCCGCATGTTATGTGTGTATTAACACCCCCTGCCGCAAACCAGAAAAACACGTAATTACGTGCCGGTTTGCGGTCACCCCATGCAACTAGCCATGCGGTGGCACAATCAAAATATCTGCGATAGGAGACAGACCACAGCCATCATACTTCCACAAAAACATCAAATTTCACCTCCAATCGGACAAATATCGGACAAATAGAGCTACAATATTGATCTAGTCATGCCTCGATCTCTTAACTTAAAAGTTAGCACCTGCTGGAATTTTCATCGGCGACTGGTGCCGTAGATTTCCGACATCGCTGACGGATACTCCGTACCGATAGGAGCACCTGCTACGGACATTTTCGGCAAAGCAGAACTTACCGTGGAATCCACGGTAGGTTTCAATGATTATTATCGAGTCATATTCATTTTATTTTTGAAACAAATACCCCTGGCCGCAAACCGGGCGATGCCGCAAACCGGAGACTCTACTCTAGGCCTAATAAGTAGACCTAGAATAGATCTAGTCTAGATGATCTAAAGTTCGACTTCTAGAATCTATCAGATTTATTTTATATTGTAAATTAGGCCTAGACCTAGTCATCGGTTCCACTTACTTACCAACTTGACTGAAATAATCTGTTTAATGGTCCCTTTTTAGGAAATTATGGGTCAAAATCGACATCCATGGGGCCGTTTCTCGAAACCGTCATAACTACAAGATCAACGACATCTCGCCACTGTCGCGCAACTTGTCAGCTAAGTAAGTGTTTCACGAAGCCGTCTTTGCCAAGATGAGCGACAACTTCCGCGACAAGCGAGTTGTCACTGCTCCGAACCTGTCATATCTTTTTAATTGCTGTAAAGCGCCATCACAAGTCAGTTTGTTGCCATTCCATGGGCCGCAAAATGTACGATTAGTTTCACCATCATTTTGAAAAAAATATAGACGATTTCGGTACGTAATCCTCTGGGATGCGAAATGCAAATGTAAAAAAGTGATAATACAAATTATACAGTAATTTTAAAAAGCTGAATATAAACATTAAATCACAAATCATTAAACTATAACATATAAATAAAAGAGATAAGAATGTTAGTATTGTTACACACCGTTGTCCATAGTCGATCAATAGTCTTTTCTTAGTATACCATCATACCTTTGGGGCCTATGTGCATTATTATACCCTCTCTAATTACTTCTTTCAAATTATATTTTCAATATCAAATCAATTATATAACGAGTATTTATGAGACTCTGGAATAAAAACTGGCTGAGAAAAGGTATTTTGCCTAAAATTCCTCGTCACAATAAACAAAAATGTACGTATTGATAAACTATCACATTACGGTATCCTTCAACTAACTTTTTATTCGACTGTCGAAAAAAAAACACCGGTTTTTCTTCAATTTAAGAATCTTTATAGAAATATGCAAATCGTTTGGTGATCTACATTTGATAATGACAATATTCATTATTTATTTTAGGAAAATTTATATGTATATATATATTTCTTTTTGAACAATTTTAGCCCCAAAACTTGTTTTGGGGTATTCTTGATAAATCAAATGGATCGTGACAAAGACTATGTTCTTGAGCTGCTAGTATCGCGATATATCGATATCATGTCTGTGATGGCTTTGTGAAACGGTTTATCTGCTTCATGACATCTCCGTAGGTCGGCGACAAAGATATGACTGTCATGGAGTTGGTTTCGAGAAACGGCCCCCAGATTGAAAATCTTGCAAGCCGTATTTTAACTCTCGCTGCGCATGACCTGGTGCTCCTTCCTAGAAACCAACGACAAGACAGTCATAACTTTATCCGCCAACTACGGAGATGTCTCTGATCTTCCTGAACCATTTCACGAAGAGCTTACTAGCTAGTATCTCATGAGATCGATACTATCGGCGAGAAGAGGAGCCGAGATTTAGCCTTAGTCTCAATACCACCGGAATATTACAAAATTAATATTAGGGAAAATGCAATTATTTAAATTAATTAGTAATAAAAAAGATTGAAAGTGATATCAAGAAATAAGAGATGCAATATACTTCCAAATTTGTGTAGATTATACAATAGAAGTAGACCTACTTGTAAAATATAATTGTGAGTAGGGTCTTCATTACATGACCGGTGAATCAATTTTGTTCTTGAAATGGGTAGGCCTACCCCCCGGATATTTCCATTTGATAGTTTATAAAAATACACCCTTAAATTATTCTTAGTAAAAATACAATCGTTTGAAAGTTTTGTCCAATGTTTTAGGCGTCAGTAAAATTTTCAAATGACAAAACTTCAACATTCCAAAGGTTAAAACACATGTTTTAAACTGTTCATTTAACACATTTGAAGATAGAATTTATTTTGAAAGCAATATGGGTCTGAAAACTAAAGAATACACTTCAAACTATTGCTTGCCTGCCGTGGCAAAAAAACCTATCCCTTCAACAATTTTACAATGTGGAAATAAAGGTGTATCAGTTTATTTAAGTGGGGGAAATCCTTCGATACAAACATGGCATATTTTCATAAGATTATCAATACATAACAAAACACAATATGAAAACACGATAACTCACTGTTTAGGTGAATGTGTTGAAAAATCATAGCTGGAGGATTTATTGTCCATAGTCTACCCAATAAATGACTTGTGATGGCGCTGCCCATCGACTAAATAGTTATGACAGAGATATGACGGTGTAGAAGGCGTCATAACTCCTTAGTCAGGATGTTGTCGTTGATCTTGGCAAAGAGGGCTTGGTGAAACACGTAGCGGACAAGTTGCTCACTAACGCTGATTTAGTCAAGAAGTTAGACTTATGACGGTTTGTAGGAACAGGCCCCAGGTGATGACGTCATCTAAATCTCATCCCTTCTAGTCTACGCCGAAGGCAACATGATTATGAAGGAAAAACTGTGCGCGAGCTACAAGCTCGTAATGACGTTATCACAGTTGGGATCCAGTCATAAAAATGTGCTCTAGGGTTTTTCTTTATTTAGACTTAACAATTAATTTAGAAAAAAACAACGAGAATAAGTCTAATTTTCTCATAGAGTCTAGGGTCTAGACTACTATAAAAAAAACATTGAAAATCATTGTAAAACATCAAGATATAAAAACTTGCTTTCAGCTACTCTGTCAGTTTTCTTGAAGCTACTGGCATGCGCATGATGAGATTAGCAATCACGCAGAAAGTTGAGAAACTGCATTGCTTAATCTCCCCTCACTACCTAATCGGTACAATGTACTTCAGTCTATGTATAGAGGCTGTCAGTGGAGCCAGACGTAGACTGAAGCTTTTGGTCTATCCATGAAATAGCAATTGCAACTTTGACAAAATAAATCGTGGCCAGGCCTTTAAAGACCAGAGGGAAACAGGGACAATCAGCTACTGTAGACAGGTAGCCTTTCTAGACAGGTTCTATATCACACTTTTCTCCTTGGAGGGAGACAATATAGGTGACCTCTATAGACAGGTGACCTTTATAGTGATTAGAGAGGTGGCCACTTATGGGGCGTTGCAAGAAAGTTGCAATCAATTGCAAATCCCCTAAATCAAGCGTAAGTCTTGCGATTAATTGCAAATTTGCAATTGATCGCAACTCAACTTTCTTGCAACGCCCCATTAGTAAGAAAGAGATAGAGAAAGGGGGGGGGGGGAGGGGAAATAAAAGATAGATATAGTTAACTTAATTGAATTGTTAAAACTTTAATCCTAACAAAATCCTAGGAGAGTTAGGAGACTAGTGGGGCATTGCAAGAAAGTTGCAATCGATTGCAAATATCAGTTCTTGCAATCAATCGCAACTTTCTTGCAACGCCCCATAGACAGTTTTGACTGTACATGTACTTATACATTTACCATGATGTTTTATTCCAGAGAGGTGAATATTCTGAGGTCTCTGAAACTGGAAGGAAAGAGTTGATTGAAACAATGGCAGATGACGAACCTGAGAAGGGCTATACGTGGGAAGGAGATTATGAAAGGACCTGGTAAGCATAATTGAAATCTGATGTAAACATAAGAAATTCCAAATTAGAAGAAATGTAGACATTCTGCTTGAAGTGTATGCCAATGTTTTTTTTAATTGTTTTTTTAGATAATGATTTCCCGGTAAAGTGAGTATTGGTCTGTTTCTTCATTTCTGTAATGTTTTGCATTCAATGGTTTATTTTGTAATATATATGTGTTATGTGTTACCTTTTTGTCAACTTAGAACTTGCAGATTTTTTGGACATATTTTCAAGTAAAAATATATAATGCTGCTTGCCTGGACATCAACAACTTTTCTAGCAAGCGAGCAAAAACAAACTTTATTATAATGAAAGTATTATTTTGTCATCAATATACACTAGATCAAAAAACTACACATTCCCTCACCTCTCTGCCAGAATATGAGTTTATTTTAGTCATTTATGTTTTTTCAGAATTCTCAGGCCCCATATTTTACAAACCTTATTGTTTTCATTGTTTTGAACTCTTTGGCCCGAATTCACAAAGGAGGTTTAAAGTTAACCCATGGTTTAAGTCTTCATTTACATAACCCATGGTTTAAAATTAGCACAAAAAAGGCGTGACACAGTTAGAGGTCCAATATTAGACGTGCTCAGGGCAAGGTACGCTTAATTTGCTCTAATGCTTAAACCATGGGTTACGTAAAATGAGGGTTTAAACCATGGGTTAAGTTAAACCTCCTTTGTGAATTCAGGCCTTTGTTTTCATTTTTTTCTAATTCATTTTGATGAGTTTTACATTCTCTTTGTAATGTAATGACAGTAAAATTTAAATGATTTGTTGTGAATATGTGTTTACACATTTCTTTTAAATGAGGATCTGGAAACTAGCAATGAACTTTCAAATTTATTTTTTTTCTTCTTCTCCATCTTAGGGAGGCTCTCCAAGAGGATGAAGAAGGCTCACTCCAGGCCACTGTGGATGATATCATCCAGAGAGCAAAGAGAAGAAGATTGGAGGATCGACCCAGCAATGTCAGGCTTGGCATGGTAAGGTCAGAGGTTATACAGCAGGTCGTGTAGTAGGGACTTCCCCCCTTTTTGTTTTTCATACATGTTTTGTTGAGGTTTCAGTGTCTCTGTTCCATTGTGTGCTCATCCTCATGTATACTTTACCCTGTACATGGGGAGTGTTTCACAAAGACTAAGATCAACTTCAAGTTGGACTTAACTATGGCAGGCCGTTCAAGCCACTACTTGTAGTTCCTCTAACCATTCCTGGCATTGCTTTCTCAAGGGACGTACAAATCGTGATCACAAATCTACAGAATTTACCTTTTTTTTATAGTTCATTACTGAAGGAAAAAATATTATCTAAAGATCATAATTGAGAGACCAATGGTGAGAGCAACCAGTGGCATGAATGGCCTGCCATAGTTATGTCCAACTTAAAGTCTATCTTTGTCAATGTGAAATTGGAGTATAAAGTATTAGTTCTATGCCTATGTTTATTTGGAAACTATTTATAGTTGAAGGTTTTCTGAGATAAAATAACCCCCAAATGTTTAAATGGTACCAGAGTGCTAAAACATGAAGAGATTCTTCTTTAACTGCGCTCAAGCAATGCTGTAAGAATTCCGAATGCAGGTTCTGGTAATGTTGCTAATGTGTTTGTTTCAGATGCGGCATCTGTTCATCCTGTTGGACTGTTCACGTTCGATGGAAGATCAGGACCTCAAACCCAACAGACTGGCTTGCTGTACCAAGGTAGGTTACTAATACATACTTTGTAGCTCCCAAACCCCCAAAGCGCCCTTTCTTAGGCTCGTTGAAACCACTCACACACTCTCATTCTGTAGAGGGTTAGGATTTCAAACCCAACAGACTGGCTTGCTGTACAAAGGTAGATTACTAATACATACTTTGTAGCTCCCAAACCCCCAAAGCGCCCTTTCTTAGGCTCGTTGAAACCACTCATACACTCTCATTCTGTAGAGGGTTAGGATTTCAAACCCAACAGACTGGCTTGCTGTACCAAGGTAGGTTACTTACATAGAAGGGTTTGTACCCCGGAGTACCGAAAGCACCTTTCTTTAGCTTGTTGAAACTGCCCATGCAAGCTTCAATAGAGGGTTGGGTTTTCAAACCCAACAGACTGGCTTGCTGTACCAAGGTAGACTTACATTGAGGGGTTTGTACCCTGGAGTACCGAAAGCCCCTTTCTTTAACTCATTGCAACTGCCCATGCACTCTAATTCTATTGAGGACTGGGCCCCTTTACCTTACAGATGTGCATGCTGTGCCAAGAGACATTATACTTATACTGAAGGGTTGATATCCTGTAGCCTTAAAAGCACAAAACAGCCCTTTCTATTTCGTCTTTGAAACCACCCATACACTTACACCTGCTAGAGGCCTTTCGTGTAATTTACCAAAATTATTGTTGGTTTGGCTCAATCAATTTTAGTTCTGGGCCCTAAAAATTAAGATAATTTGCACATACCTATAAGTGAAAAGAGCTAAGATTTCTGCACAGTGTCTTAATTTTGTTTAAATTGAGTTATAATATTTCTTGATGGTTAAATACATGTGCGCTTCTACCCTTACTTTTGCAGCTTTATTTAATTGTCTCTCTTGGAAATGTTGTTTATCTTTCAGTTGCTTGAACATTTTATCGAGGAATACTTTGATCAGAACCCAATTAGCCAGGTAAGAAATGCTACAGTAAGAGTATGTACAAATAATGTATGATTCATGAACAATTATTAAAATCGATGTGAACCTGAATTATTCATTCTCCAATTGCATCCTGGCATATTTTGTATTAAAGGGGGCTTAGATTTCAAATACCAACTTGTAGAGAATGAAAACAGTGATCTGTTCAGAGCTAATAGGGCATTGACTATTATAAAGTGATAAAGTATATGAGTTGATGCCCTTCTGGCTCCAAACAGAAGTTATGTTTGATATATTTGATATATATTCAGTTTTATGTGCCACCTAGTGCCTAGCCTATAATCTAGGCGGAGTGCCGAGCTTTTTTCTTTGCTGCTAGAGTAGACTAACCCTAAGCAGAACGTCTGATACGGCGAGACTACGAACCGTGAGTCGCGAAGCGGCTCACCGCCTATAATCACTGGTCGTATTCATGAGGTTTTTTCGTACGAAAAACTGCCACGGATTCATGGTCGATAATAAAAAAAACAACGACTAAAGCTAGACCAGTGATTATAGGCGGTGAGCCGCTTCGCGACTCACGGTTCGTAGTCTCGCCGTATCAGACGTTCTGCTTAGGGTTAGTCTAGCAGCAAAAAAAAAAGCTCGGCACTCCGCCTAGATTATAGGCTACCTAGTGCCTAAAGGGAGTTAAAATCAAATGATCCCTGCAAATACTTGACGTTACATGAACCACTTCTTTGCTATTGGCTGAACAAAGTTAGAACAAAATGCAAATGTAATTATGTTCTATAAGTTTGTACACAGGTAGTTTATTCTTCTTGTTACAGTAATACATACTTATGTACATGCGAAAGTTGTTCCCATGAAAGATTAAAGCAATGGAATTTGTAAGTTAAACACTCTTGAAATTTCTTTCATGAAACATTAACTATTTGTGTAGCTTAGTTGTTCAGAAAGTATGGAGTATTGATGTGTTTGACTGACTCATTGCTTTTCCCCTCCCTCCTCCTCTCTCTCTCTCTCTCTCTCTCTCTCTCCCTCCCTCCCTCCCTCCCTCCCTCCCTCCCTCCCTCCCTCCCTCCCTCCCTCCCTCTCTCTCTCTCTTCAGGTTGGGATCATAACATCCAGTAACATGAGAGCAGAGAAATTAACTGAACTTGGAGGTAAGAAATTAATGCCTTCTCTCTTTCAACGTTGGTGTCAGTATGACTCGAATGAAAATTGATTTTAACAAGTAATAATTGTTCAGTTCTGCATTTGGACAAACAAGTAATCAATACCTTTGAATTTAATTTTCACTTGAATGAATGTAAATGCTACTTTGGTATTGGGTAAGTACCCTAGTCTAGATGTAATCTCTGCAATGTTTTGATTGTCTTTAGATAGAAATTTGTCCATCAGTTTAATTTTATCTTGCTGTAAAACTTTAAAAAATTTGAAGTGCCTTGTATAACACCTTGATGAATATGTAATATCAATATTGGCAAGATTGAATATGGGTCAGATTTGCTGCCTTTGGTACCAAAGATGGTTAATATATATACATTTTGTTTTGTTTAATAATTTGTTCAGGTAATCCTCAGAGACATATCACAGCTTTGGAGAAGTGTAATGATAAACCTTGTGTGAAAGAGCCTTCTTTACAGAATGCATTGGAACTGGCAGCTGCAACTCTTAGGTAGGTTATAAACTATTGTAGGAGACATTTTGGAAAAAAAATCTTCTACTACTGTATATGCATTTACTACTCGTATAAACCTTTTGCCTTCCTTTTTCTCTTTCTCTCTCTCTCTCTCTCTCTCTCTCTCTCTCTCTTCTTTAGCTCATCTTTGTCTCTGCCTCTCTCTCCCTATGCCCCTCTTTACCTCTCCCCTCCTCCTTTCTACCCCCCCCCCCCAAACCTCTCTCTCTCTCTCTCTCTCTCTCTCTTCTGCTCTTCTGTCTCTTTTTCTCTGCTCATTATCTGTCTCTGTAATGTTATCTATGGTGGCGTACCCAAGCAAGCACATGCTTTCTGGGGTCCCACGTCTCGTTTTCTGTGCTGTATTCTTATAACCCCCCAACATCTACCCATAGAATGTAATTGCTTGAACAGATTTTACCCATTGAATATAAAGCCCATTGAATATAAAACCGATTGAATATAACTCATTGAATATACATTTGTAACCCATTGAATATTATAAAATAATGAATGGTTATGAGTTCACTAGTGCAGATATTTTCATGAGTTGACATATCAATGTGACGCCTCATTGAATAACATGTTAATCTTTCAACAAATTAAAATATTTGCTCTATTGAATGAATGAAAAACATTCATTATTTGTTAATGAATCCTACCAGGTACCCACTTGATACACCTTGGTCGAGTGTGGTCAATGTACCTCTATTTATGTCGGTAGGGGAGGAAAAGTTTACATGCTCTGTCTACACCATTTCTTTGTACTCTCCCTGCACAGTTATCTTGGGCTTTATATTCAGTGGATCAAGGAAAATCCAAAGCAATTGAAGTTTATTTGATTTGGATTCTTTTCAGACACATGCCTGGCCATGCGAGTCGAGAGATTCTTGTAATCATGGGGAGTTTGACTACGTGTGATCCAGGCAACATCCATGATACAATACAGGTAACAGGACCTTTTAGCCATACATGTATTCTGAAAAAGAGATCAAACTTAAGTTCCTTAACCCTATATAGTTCCTTAACCCTTCTAAAGCCCCCCCCCCCTCCTATACATACTTTGCGATAACTTTTTAACGCAATAAAATCTGGTGCTGAAATTTTATGAGTTTTTTCTTTGACATCTCCCGCACATTTTAAGACCCTATTTGCAAAAATTGGTGGTATGGTATCGGAGATGATCTTGTGTGTACAATGTATGGGTTTTACAAGAAGTGTTATTAGAAGAATGTTATTTTCGGTTTTTCTTCAGATAACATCCTTTTTAACTATTCTAGATAACAAACCAATGAAAAACAAAAGATTTAAAAACAAAGAAATACATAAGAAATTAGAATTTCAAGAAAAATTAGCATATTCTCATAATTAATTACAATTATAAGTATGGAATTTCAATACATGTCATTAATTTGACTACCCTATCTTTTAAATTATATGTCAAGCTTCAAACATGCCAAATTAAATTGCATTTTCTCCATAAATAGGGGGGAAACTGGACAAAATGAGAATTTGTTGGAAAAATATGCATATTTGCATTATTAATTAGACATAAATTAAAATTAACCATATATATATCATAAATTTTACTAAGCATTCTTGATCAGTACATGATAACACACAAACACGCCAAGTTTGGATAAAATCGGTCCATAAATAGCCGAGATCATGGGCCCCCCCCCCCCCCCCCCCCCCCCGGGTTATGCAGTTTCAAAATAGCCCGGGCTATATAGGGTTAACATGATTAGTACCTTTAGTCTATCTCTTCCTCTCCCTCCCCTCTCTCTGCCATTGGCTCTTATTTTAACTACTTGGACAAATAACCTGGAGGGCAAAATATTGTTTTACCTATACACATCCAAACGGAATCTGTTTGTGTAGTTTACCTGTTACGTATGATACTTGAAGGATATGGTCACGAGTTGACACGTTTGTGCTGTAAAGAGCATTAGATTTGCAAACATTAGTAGGCTGGGGTATTTAAGAATTGCATTCAAGGTTTATGAACCAACTTTGAAGTTTGAAGCACTACATGTAAATCCATTTTGTGTCTGAAAAGAAAGAGACTTTACATTTGAAGATGTTTTATCATGTCACAAGTTGACAAATTTGTCAAGATATTATTTGCTCTTGATTAATGAACACAGAAATCTACTAGTCTTATTCATTCATACATTTGCAATGAACTGGAGTCATTTTTATACAAGATTTAGTCATAAACCACAAAAATGCTGTTTGATATCCTTTATTTATAAATGCGCTTTCCACTCTAAAATGTCTTTTAAATTGCATTCACACACAGGCCATGAAAGACCATAGCATACGTTGTTCTGTCATCGGTCTCATTTACATATTTACCTACAAATTGTTAATTGATTCATTGTTATAGGAATTTTGTCAGAATTCTTCAATGCTCAGTTATATTGTTTATTTTCTAAATGCACTAAATTGTTTGCTATTTATCGTTCACACACAGGCCATGAAAGACCATAGCATACGCTGTTGTGTCATCGGTCTAGCAGCCGACGTGAGAGTGTGTCGTAAGCTAGCTACAGTCACTCATGGTAAGCAGCATGTAACAACGTCTTTCACATTTATCCATACCTCTTATCACAAAACCATCATTGAAGATATCGTGGTCGAGTAGTTTAGTAATGATAATAATAATATGGGGTACATTCATAATGCACACATATATCCATCCCAAAGGATGCTTAAGGACAACCTACGTAGTACTACCCTGGTTTTTGCCCTGCTAAACTAAAGCACTGAAAGCATTCAAGAAATAACATCTTACCAGGTTTTCCATTGACATAACCTGGGTGATGAGGGGCAAATTTAGATTAATGTCTTGCCAATTGACATTTGTGCCATGTAGTGGATGTATCCACGAGACCACAAAACTACTAAATCATTTTGCATGACAGTGATGTCCTATGACAAGACATTCATCTGTCGCACAATTTGAAATGTGAATCAACAGTTTTTAAAAAACTGCTTGAAAAGTACCTATTTCCTACTTGATTTGCTATTATTTTGTTTGTTCAATGTTATGTTATGATTTGTTGTTTTATTGTTATATTGCATATTATTGTAAGCGCTGTGATATAGTTAACTGTGAATAGCATAGCTAAATGCGTAATAATGATAATGTATCTCTTTCTTTCATTTCCTTTTATCTTGATGATTTTAGGTACATATGGAGTGATTCTTGATGAGACACATTTCAAAGAACTCTTGATGGAACACACAATACCTCCCCCTGCCAGGGTAAATAGCACATTTTGAAATAAAGTCCTTCCCTCCACCCTCATTTTTTTCAAATAACCGCATGACACATTTGTTGATGGAACTTACGGATTGGAAGCACTCTCTCCTTTTTTTGTGTGTGTGTTTTTCTTAGATTTTGTTTTCTTTGACACTTGATAATGTACCACTGGTTTATTGTTGTTGATGCTTTTGTTGTTGTGGTTTAGTTGTTTAATATGATAATGATAAAAATTAGACAGATTTCAGATGCGTTAACTCTTATCATGCCACAGGGCTAATCCCCATTGTGCCAAGCCCAAAATCCCCCCGTGCCAGGTTGTTTTAGAGATAATCTGATTAACGCGATGGTTCTATGAATAGCGAGTGCAAAACACACAGCATAGTCCAATGAGCACGAACAATAACTGCTATTACGAATGCTGCACTGCATGCACATGGCATGGCACTCAAGCGATAGCTCTCTCGCATGGACAAATCAGTATAACGATAGCGCGCATTCAGCCTTATGGCAGGCTATGAGTTAAAGGCTTTATCTGTAATGCTATGTAATATAAATGCATTGAGTTAGTTTGAAACTCACACAATAGCATTTTTATTTTTTATTTTTCCACCACTAGGTGAATACAGAACCATCACCAATTAGAATGGGTAAGTATTGGAAGTGTTTTTTTGTTTTTTTGTTTTTGTTTTGTTTTTGTTTTTTTTTTTTTTGGGGGGGTGTTTTTTCCAGGTGCAATTGTGAATAAGACGTTATTAGTCATTTCTATGTGTATGTGGGTTAGAAGCAGTAGAAAAAAATACACAGGAGCAAGAGCGATTAAGGTTTGGTAAGCTCGGAAAGAGCACTGGTAAACAAAAATACCTGAATATTGTGATTAAAACACACTTATGAAACATCATATCCTAAAACAGCTGTAGCAAACAGAAAAGTAATTTTTTACACTGGTTAGAAGGTGCATGTAGGAATTTTTCTTGTCCCTGTAAGAGAAAAATGGGAAATTAAAATGGCCTAAATCAGTGTACAATGTCTTATGAAGACACAGTTCATGAGAAAAAGAAAAAGGCACTGACAATTAAATTGATTTCTTATGCAGTGCATTAAGTTATCCTTTAAAAAAAATGTTTAAATGAAAACGAGCTGTAATTCAGTCTTTAAAATGGCAATACATGGCTAAATTTTTTAATCACAGTCTTCTTTTTAATTCAAATTAGCAATTTTGTGTGTAATGATGCTATTGTGTTTTATTCTACATATTTCAGGTTTTCCACAGCATGTGATACACACTGACAAAAGCAAAGTCAGTGCACCATCAATGTGTATGTGGTGAGTAGTTGGATCAGGGCCCCGTTTCATAAAACTTGTTATCAATGACAAGTTACAAGCTACTGTTAGAAGCTACTGAAATCAAGGCATCTGATTGGCCGAGAGCAAATTTGTCATAGAAATTTAGTATTTGTTATAGATAAAACGTTTTATGAAATGGGCCCCAGGACTCTCTTTATTATCATGTTATATTCAATAAGGCATTGTTTTAACAATGCAAAATCTGAGATGCATGACCCTGCATGTTATCAGCGTCTGTGATATGGTGTGATATTAAAACCCTAACATAATTGCACTTCAAAATGATCATGAAGTGCTTTGAAAATTTGAAAATCCAGTCATAAATATCTTGATAATCAGACGAGCGATCTGCTTGTATTATAAGCCATGGGATTCCTGACCGACCTAAAGGTTTATAATTGTGATTGCAGCATGAGCTAAATCCAGGATTTTGTTTAGAATCTGAGACAAAAATACCCAATCCCTTTAAAGACCCTACCTGATGAAAATACATATTTACTTTAATAGCACGCTTATCTAAATAATGATAGACATTTTGTTTCCAAGGCTTTATACTTGTATGAAAATGTGATTTTGTAATGATCGTGTACTCAACCTTCTTCTTCTTCTTTTTTTTTGAATCGATGTTCCTAGTTTATGACCATTTTTACACTGTAAACATAGTGCAATTAGTCTCTGGACTACAATTTGGTATTTTAGCCGATAGTTAGGGATAGTTGAGTTCTTGTTTCAGACCGCATATGCCTTCAAAGTGCATGGTTATTGCTCTTATTCTTATTTATGATATTTCTAGTGCCCTTTTAGCCATCTTGGCATTGGCTGGAATAAAACGTACAAGGCGTTACTTTGTTTTTTTCAACGGCTGGTTTAAATTATCTAACATTTGTGGTGGTACACAAATATTAGAAATGGTTATATTTATGGATATTTCAGCCGTCTCTAAACTGATTTCGATCAAACAAAGATGATTTTGTCATTTAAATTGTATGTTCTTTCAAAATTGCCACTCAGTTTTTCATTAACTCACAAAAAAAATATTTTGTGTAGCGCCCTCTGCAACAGAACTCAACTATCCCTTTAACCACATTGAATTGAATTGAAATTGAAAGTCTCTTTTTGGGGTTCCCCAATCATTCAGTCACCTGGATGGTAAGAACTCCGAGGGGTTTGGAACTGGTGGCTACTTCTGCCCTCAATGTCAGAGCAAGTACTGTGAGCTACCGGTCGAATGCAGAGTATGTGGTAAGTCTCCAAACAAAATGGATAGTAGACTGCACTGTAGAGTACTTTTTTTTTTTTAAAGAGGATGGACCATAACTTGTGCCTCTTCTCACAAATGTAGGTGTTTTAGAACTAATTTATTTGCGACGAGGGTAGTGTCTCCTGTGATATTTCTACCCTCAATAGCAGATCGAACGTCGAACGCAGAATTTGCAGTGAATCTCCAAACAAAATGGATCTTAAATCGTACCGTAGAGTATGCTATTTTGAAATATGGGGACGAATCATAAATTGTGCCTCTTAAAACATTTAGGGGTTTTAGAAATGTAGTTTGAGATAAGGCTAGTTTCTGCTGCCCTCAATGGCTGATCGAGGGTCAAATGAAGGGTATGTGGTAAGTCTCCAAACAAAATGGATAGTAAATCGTACCATAGAGCGTTTTTTGAATAAGGGGATGAACCTTAAATTGAGCCTCTCCTAAAATATTTGGGGGTTTTAGAAATGTATTTGAGATGAGGCTAGTTTCTGCTGCCCTCAATGGCTGATCGAGGGTCAAATGAAGGGTATGTGGTAAGTCTTTAAACAAAATTGATAGTAAATCGTACCATAGAGCGTTTTTTGAATAAGGGGATGAACCTTAAATTGAGCCTCTCCTAAAATATTTGGGGGTTTTAGAAATGTATTTGAGATGAGGCTAGTTTCTGCTGCCCTCAATGGCAGATCCAAGGTCAAATGAAGAGTATGTGGCACGTCTTCAAACAAAATTGATAATAAATTGCACTGTAGAGTATGATATTTTATAAGAGGATAGACCGTAAATTGTGCTTCTCAAAAATATAGGCGTTTTAGAAATAATTTATTTGAGATGAGGCTAGTTTCTGCTGTGATATTTCTACTCTTGATGGCAGATCAAAGGTAAAATGTGGGATGGACCCAAAATTGTGCCTCTGCTCACAAATGTAGGTGTTTTAGAACTTATTTATTTGCGATTGAGGCTAGTTTCTGCTGTGATATTTCTGCCCTCAATATCAAGAGTAAGTTCTATAAGCTACAGGAGGAGTGTAGAGTATGTGGCAAGTACCCAAACAGAGTTGGCAGTTACTTTTGCCATTTCTCAAAATCTGAGGTGCTACAAAATAATTCACTTGTGGGAGAGGGGATTTCTTGCTAATAAATCTACAAAAGTTTGGAAATAAATTCAATATTTTATGTTTATTCCCTCTGTTTTTTCTGCTGTTAGATTTTCATTTTTTTTTTTAATTACCGGTATACAATTTATTTGTTACCCTCCTTGTACTGAAGTTATTTGTTACCCTCCTTGTACTGAAGTTATTTGTTACCATCACTTGTACTGTGACTTATGCTATATACAAATAAGTCTTAAATGAAGACTAAAAAATTGTATTAGTACATGTATTAATATTAAAGCCCCACCGTACTACTTGTAGGTACTTGCGCCCTCTATATAGCAAACAGTGCCTAAGCGTACCTGTTAGTCCCCCATGATCCCCTTTTTCTTACAGTATGTTAATTGAGAGCTGATTTGATGAGATAACTGCCTGACCACGCTGGGTGGTCTAATCCCCCTCGCCAAACTAGTACAGACGGGCTTTAAATGGAAAACAAAAAGAAAACAATTTTATTGGTACATGTATTAATATTAATAAACTCTGTACAAGTCTTATGGGCTTCAAGTTTCTACAGACACGGCATGGATCCATTACTACTTCACCCTATTCCCCATCTCTCTGAATCTCTTCACTCTAGTCTCCATCTGTTTATCCTCAGGTCTGACACTCGTCTCGGCTCCACACCTTGCCCGTTCCTTCCATCATCTCTTCCCGCTCGACAGGTTTGAGGAATTCAAGAGAGAAGACCATGATCATCCAGATTCTTTGTACGTTCAACTTAAGTTCAGCTTAGCCCCTTTCATTAATCTCTGTCTTTGCTCTAAAAAAATGTGATTACGTCCTACATTTGCAACACATGATTATCATGAAAATCATTAAATGTTGTGGGGAAAAGTGATTTATTTTGGTACAGTAGTACTTGAATGTCGTGTATATTGATATATACATTTAGTTTTCTCCAAATGTATAAAGTGCTAAAATGGGGATTTACATGTATTTCATATTTTTATTTGACACAATGTTCACAAAGGTCCTTGATTTGCAAAAAAGTTATATATTTCTCAGTACTTTTATGTATAGGTTTTTTATAAAAGTTAAGAAAAACAATCACCTCAATGTTATCTTAACTTACGTCTTTCATTGGTTCAAAACCACCCAAGTGTGATTTATCTGTCTGCTTAGACTAACTAGCCATCAGTCAAAAGGTCTATGAAAATTCTCTTTTATTTTCACAGGTGTGTAAAGAACCCCACCTCTGATACTCAGAAGATAACCAGATAATGAAAGTTCAACACCCGATTTATTTTCTTTTTTCTAATTTCAGATTCTGTCAAGGATGCCAATCTCACATCAGAGACCAAACGGTAAACAAACGATTCCCTTTCTCGACAGATCTTGTCTTTCCTGGTACAATGACATGTAACCTGAAGTATCTCCATCATTGCTTAAAATCGTTCTTGGGCACTGTAGTCAGTGGCTGAAGATCTGCAATGTGTGTGAAATAGACAGGTTTACTAACATATTCAAATTTATATATGTTTCTTTCCTGGGGACCTAGTGACGAGGTATTCCATTAACCTCTTATTGATGAATGAACAATATTGGGCAAGTCCCGGGCAAGTCTTCAGGTTGTCAAGAACAACCTTTGTTAATAAAGTATGCATGAAATTAGAATACTGAACCGGTCTATTCAGCATGATCCCTGACTGAACACTTAGCCCAAGAATGCAAATGGTCAAGTTTAATCTTGGTCTCTGTGTTCCCAAATAATCTACAATAGAGTTTTATTATTCTTTTGTGCTACCAAACAAAGAAAAGCTTTTAGATAACGACATAATGAAGCTTTTTATTTTACACTCATGAGAGTAAAACACAGGGGTGTAAAGGAAGCCAAAATCAATTCTATTTCAAGTTCTGTTACGATTCTGTGAGTCTTACTCCGTGTACAAGACGAAAATGTTCAGGATGTATTTATTTAAAGCCTATCTGCACTAGTTTGGCCAGTAGGGATTAGACCTCCCTGTATTGGCACTGGCAGGTGGTTATCTCACCAAATCAGCTCTCAATTAACATAAGAAAAAGAGGACCATGGGGGATCAACAGGTACCGCCTAGGCATTGATGGCTGTATAGAGGGCGCAAGTAGTTAAAGCTGTCCTTTGATTTTGTATTACTTATCATCTATTTATAAATATGTGTGTAATTTGTCAACCATTTTCTTTTTACAGGCATATAGATGTCCCAAGTGCAGCAACGTATTCTGTCTCGACTGTGAGCTGTTCATACAAGAATCTCTTCATTCCTGCCCTGGCTGTGCAAGCACCAGGCCATCTCAATCACAACACCGTCAAACCAATGGGAGCCACATTCTGCATAGCTGATACAGTCCAGGATTAAATCTTTGTGTGAACAGGTACCTGTTGCTGATTGAGATTTTTTTTGTTAATGCTGAAGTGAACACAGGCTTTACCAGTTGGTACACCAATAAAAGACACATTCTGCATGCACCCCTGATTAAAAACAGGTGTGGACACAATCCTTTTAAGTTATTACACCATCCTTCCAAAGGAAGCTGCATTACTACATAGAACATCAATCAAATGGAAGCTGTATTTTGCATAGCTGGTACTGATTGAGATTAAAAGCTTGTGTGGACACGATGCTTTCAAGTTATTACACCATCCTTCCAAAGGAAGCTGTATTCTGCATATCTGCTACTGATTGAGATTAAAATCATGTGTGGACACAATCCTTCCATTTAATTAGACCACCAAACCCTTGGACTCATCTTGGGGCACAGTACAGTACAGGTTCAAGGTCACCTGTGCCCCTCAAAGCAGTTGTATACTGTAGTATGGACATGTACATGTAGGCTAATAAGCAAGATTTGCAACATAAAAGTGGTCAGTCCCATGAAATACTCATTGAAATAAAGGACTCTAGAATACACCAAATATCACTTTGTTGTGTACAGTTTTTATTTCACCGTCAGTACTTCAATACAGATAAACAGGAGAAAAAAGTACAATAACCACACAAAAGAAGGCACTTCCAAATTGATTGGCATAACCGATTATCCTATCATATTTTGCAGGATGTGATTTTTGGAAGAACATTGGAATTTCCTTGTTTTGAAACTCGTTTTTTAAATGAATAAGTAAGTTTCTTAAGAAGCATGTTGGGCAAGTCGAATAATATCAGTAATTTCAAGTACCAGGGCCCATAAAAGTCACCATTATACTTCATTATTTGCACGATATAGAAGGACAAAAATGATATTCTGTTCTTGTCTGTGAAACAAAGTTCCAATGGACGTGAACAATCCTTGGGAAATCATTACCCTAGTGGTAACGTTTCTACTCTAGCAAGGACCAGACTTCCCCCTTACATGTTAATTGATACACACTTGATCCTGCATGTACATATATGTTCTTTAGACTTCACTAAAACTCACTACCAACGTCATAATAATCACCTTTATTTTCTCAAGATCCTTATGCATGTAGACGTTCTGAAATCATGAAAGTATGATGATAGAAATCGGTGACGCCTGTATAGTTAATTATACACTAATATGTAAATAAGTTAAGCTGAAAGAACACTGGTTTGACAGTCAATCTAACAAATAAGTGAGTTGGATAACTGCTATCTTTGTCCATTAAAAAAAATACTGTTGTTGCAGCTCAGCAGCTCACCCACCCACATCCCCCTCCCTCCTCCCAAAATCATCTTCTAAAATGTATATTTGACTAGTCCCTTTAATATGCATGTATGAGTATTGATATAAATAATACACCCTACATAACAAACCTTTATAAATACACGTGTGGTCAAAATAACAGGTTAAATATATTCCACAAAGCAAATCAGCACCATAGATTGTTATTTGCAGATGAAAAATCAATGAGTAATTTTGTAATGCAAAGTTTATGTCATACAAACATACATTTGTACTAAGCAATAGTCAATTAGCTATACAGTATGGTACATCGTTAACACAAAACACAAATGACTAGATGTTTTTTCATTCTATATGATAAAGCTTTGGATTACTTTTTTGGTGGCGAGGAACATATAGCACCTACTATGGGAATATTTCACCATCGAAGATCGTATCCTAAACTTACCTGGTTCTAGTTTTCAAATAAATCCCAATAAAATGCCAAGTTATGCAGCATGAATGTGTTCTGCTGTGGTACGCACCATGTCCGAATCAATATAGGTGCACTTATAGGCAAGTTATTACATATTTGAAGAAGGCATCGTCCAGTGTACAACCAAGATTGTTATTTACAAATTTGCAAAGCAACTCAACAACAAAGCAAGATGGATACAAAAAACTACCTGTGCAATGTGCAACTTCTTTTTATATGAGCAACGTGTTACTGAAGTAGCCAATTTGATGTACATGTACCATTAGATTCGACCACATTACGCTTCTTGGTTGGTGAATTGGTGTATTCATCAACACTTGATCTACGATTACATAAAATAGCACAATCTTGAACCATTTCTCTCCTGCCTGTGTTCAAAACTATATTGCATTTTGATTTCTCTCAACTTTAATGCTATTTATATCAATACATATCTGAGAGTAACAAACGCATGCATTTGAGCTAGGGTATGCTAACAGGCTTAAATGTACCTAAATGAGGCCAAAAACAGTAAGACTCTTTCCGATACATAAGAGTAATCTCTTAGGTGCAATGACATCATCAGAAATTACGCCCTTAGCATTCTAAGAGTATTTTTTATCTGGCCGTTATATTTTGCAATAGAACCATGTACCACACAGCATGCAGTATTACAAGTCTACAAGTACATATCGAGACCCGCTAAGGAAATATTTATGATTAGACTGAGTGCATATTCCAAATACAAAGATGACGAGGAAGTTTTTCTTGTATAAAACTATGCAGCATTTGTGAAATAACCTGAGGTTTTCCGTTCTCTCATTTTTTAACGAGCTGTTCAAAAGCCCAATGAGTTTGTGTGGTGAGGTATTGCTCTTTAATAAAGGCACCAATTACAGGCAAAGTCTGGCACTGAATAGTAATGGAAGACGAATTCAAATGCTCTCACAACTTGTATAATGCTAAAATGATACTGAAATGTTACACTGCTAGTATTTTTCTTGGGTCAGAAAGTAATAAACAAAATTTACAAATACATGATCAGGTGGGAAAAGTCAAACAAATTCGAAAAATGCATCTTTGGGCTATAAAAGTAGGTCATTTCAAAGGCTTATAATTAAGGCAGTACCAGTAGTCTTGCAGTAATAATAACACATTTAGCCTAAAGTTGGCAATTATTTCCAACTAAACAAAAAAATACCTATGATAATTTGACTTGATTTATCACAAATAACTCTCCTTACTTCCACAGTTTTTGTCTGAAGTCGTTGATTAAACAAAACTTTGTATTTAGTATTGATATACACGTAAATCGCATCCAATTTATGTAATAATTGCAAAAAAAATACAAAAATTAACTACAGAAGCATTCAACAAATTTGTTACAAAGTGCTTGTTATCTGGATTTTGAAATGCTTTGAGCCCCCTTCAAAGTATCGGCGTGGGGATGCCAGGATTTCTTAAATGCAACGGAATAATAATAAATCCTGCATACACACACACATAGTACTCAACAACAACAGAATATACAAAATACATACATTAAATAACAAGGCACATATTAAAAGATCATTCGTACAGACGTGTATAGTATATGTTTTGTAATCTTTTTCTGCTACAAATTTGTAAGAAAAACAACGTAGTAGTTGCTATATACATGTACATAGAGTATAAAAACATGTACCAGGTATAACTAAATTCCATTCAATTGTGATGGGTTTACAATAATAAATTATTTTACAGCACCAGATTGTATAAGGTTTTCTTTTTAATCTCAAAGAACCTTTTCATACCTACTAGAACTAATTGTAATCAACCATTTAGTACCCAATACAAATTCAAACCATGATCAAAGTCGTTCATAGCTGATTATTGCATATTTGTCTATTACTAGGCATGGGCATCAACCCCAAAGCTATAAACCTGCTAGACTCTGGGGGCTCATAATAGAGTAACAAATTTTAGGACTGATACTAAGTTTGGCATCGACACATATATAGTATCTTTGCCGAAATAAGTTCATAACATCATACATACACATGCAAAATCCATCGAGATGAAAATTGGAGAGGCTAATTATGCAATTTTTCTAACATTTCCACAGACATCAAGTACTTTATTCAAATTTGAATGCAGTTCATTTATATGAAACTTAGGGCACAAAATGGCGACTCCAACTACTAATTACAATATTAAATATAATATAAACATTCTTGCTTCTACTCGATCGGGTACTAAATGGTTGAAGAAGTACTTGCACAATCATGCAACATTTCTTTCTAAAAAAAAATCAGTTAAAGATGGTGTTTTTTAACAATCATTGAAAAAGGTCAAAAATTATTGAATGTAATGCTGAGATATTTGAATGTACATTATTAGTACATTTCAATCAAGGTCAGGGAAATATATAAAATGCTGATATCAAATTTCTTTGATGCAAAATTTTTAAAAATGCTGATCCTATCAGAATTGGTTTTACAAAAATATTTCCATACTGATAAGGATGATAAAAAAGAATAATTGATTAAAAAATAAAATTTGTATTGTTTTTAAAGTCAAAGCTAATATTCTGGACATACAAAAATAAAAGCAATGCCCTTGTATTCAGAGCTTTTCATTAAAAGAATCAAATGTTTGGCAGTTTCTTACTTATTAAAATAATTATTAATTAAGAGGAAATTATAGGTTAATCAAATCTATACCATCTGACTTACTATAAAAATTGTTTTTAAAAAAAGGAAACAAAATAGAAATACTTAAATACACCAAAAATGAGGCACCCTCTCAATATATAGTTTATATCACACCTTTGAACAGTAATACTCTGCCAGAATCTTTCCAACACACTCATTGAAAAAAACAAGAAATAGCTATAATGACATATCAAAACTGAAATATAGTTTTCCCATGTTCATAAGTACATTCGTTGCTCAATAAAAAAAGGGATATACGTTTGCTTTTTAAGATATTTTGTTTTTAAAAGGTGGGGGAAACGCTTGGAAAGAGGAGTATAAAAAAGATATCATCAAAATTCACAGTTTTCTACATTGATACCATCTATTGCTTCTTGATATAGGTTTATAACAGCTGATGGGTTTTCATCGATTTGTATCTCTAGGTCTTGGATGCAAGCTTCAACTCCTTTGCTGTATTTGGTTCCAGTTAGGATCTCAATATCTGGTGGTGTACCTGTAAATGTGTGAATAGATTGATAGAAAAATAAAAAAAAACATGATAAAATTAGTAGGGAGTCCATTAAAACAATATTAATCTTGTTGAACTGAACTTCAAGACGCATAGGGGTGGGCTCTCATGGGGAATTTGACACCTTTTGAATTTAGCCTTCAGTTTTATGACCAACATGCCTTATCTAATGCCATTCATCCCCATATGGTAAAGTTATTATCTTAATTTTTCCTCCCCCAAAGACTCTCAAAGAGACTAGGGGGGGTATTTCTTGATGGGCCTACAAGGTTGCTGGATGTAGACTTGTTCACCCATCAATGGTATTTCCACCAAGTCTGGTGTCAGGGAATTATGACCTTCTGCACATGGAAACTGACGACCCTCTCCCTATCCGTTTCATCAAGCAATAAGACCATGTAGTTCAACTATACTAACTTGACAATTTGATGACCCCCTTCTAAAAAAATTAATACAGCATGTTACCTATTCTTCACAAGCTTTCAAATACTGTCCACAATCATACACTCAAGAAAAAAATTTGGGGTGCGTTTGGATATGACAATAGAAGTAGGGTGTCTAAATGCCTGTTCACATATTATGATGCATCGAATAGCAGGAGTTTCTTTTTGATGACATAGTTACCTATTAAAGTGTAATACATGTACATTCACACTTAAATATTTCATATCTTACATGTATAAAACAAATATGGGACTATCCCCACTTGCCATTTATTCACACCGTAATAAAAATCTATGCCAGTAAACTAAACGTTCCATTATACAAGAACAAGCCATTTGGTGTATCAAATTTTTGCAATCAAACCCCCTCCTACTACCCATCCTCTCCAACCGGCGCTGTAGTTCTCTCTAGAACTATAAGCTCAAAAAAAGATTACCAACTGTCCTTTCAGGACTACACACACACTCAAGATAGAAAGATTACCAACAGTCCTTTTCAGGACTCCCCAATCCTCCCCCCTCTCTCACATGGTGCAACCGTAATCCTACTGTATATCTACATCACCATGCAAGCCGATACTTACAAGCAGTATCGAACTGAAACCCACTCTTCTTACAGGGTATCCAGTTGCTAAAATGCATGAGGACACTTCTGATTCTTTTCTCTATCGCTACGATCTCAATCTCTGGTTTCTTACCTAAGAATAGAGCTCCTTTGACATTCAACATCCTAAGAACACCTGCAGACTGGCCGGTCACCACATCATCTTCATCCACTAGTAGAGTACCATCACGCCCTTGCCTGCAAGAAGGAGGTAAAGAAATGGTCACCACTCTATTCATATGAGGTGTGATGGCTTTAATAGAGAAAGAGCAGTGCCCTAAAGGACAAATAGCTTAACAAGGATAGATGACATCAGATATATTTTACTAAACTTAAAATATATTAGAACATTTTTTTAAAAGACCTTTATTAAGCAAACCCTCTCATCATTTCATGCTGGCATCTATCTCCAAATATATGTATGCACGCCGGTCGTACAAGAGTTCAATCATAGATTAATAGTAATATCATAAACACAGACATTTAAATGGTGTCAAGCCTGTTCTTACCTTGTGATGGTGATGTTATGCTCTACTCCATCATCAATCCTGACAGTTGATGCAATGTTGGCTTCCCCACTTCCAAGCTGATAGCTATATCAAAAGATAATAATAATGATGAGGCATTATGATACACGAAGACCCCAAAGACAAGTGAATGTACAGGTAAACCAATTTGACAATGTTCACAGTGCTACAAAAAATAGACTTCTCTATACTTTTAGATATTTTGAAATCGATTGTCATGTCCTCCTCCTCCCTCTTCTCGGTCTTTATCCTACTTCCTCTTTTTTCCCCATCCTCTTCCAACTTCCTCCTTCACAATCGCTTCAACTTCTTCTTCCTCTTCCTCATTCTCATTCTCATTCTCATTCTCATTCTCATTCTCATTCTCATTCTCACCCTCACCCTCACCCTCACCCTCACCATCACCCTCACCCTCACCCTCACCCTCTTCCTCTTCCTCTTCCTCTTCCTCTTCCTCTTCCTCTTCCTCTTCCTCTTCCTCTTCCTCTTCCTCTTCCTCTTCCTCTTCCTCTTCCTCATCCTCATCCTCATCCTCATCCTCATCCTCATCCTCATCCTCATCCTCATCCTCTTCTTCTTCCTTTCCTTTTCCCTTCCATCTCCTTCTCTTCTTCTGTTCATTCTTCATCATCTTTGTAATCCATTCGAGTGTTGAAAAGCAAATCTTACCTGAATACAATGTATCCATCTTGAAGACCAACAGCAATGAAATCTTGCCTCTCACCAGCAGATCCTTCAGGCTACAAAAAAAAAAGGAAAATGCTTGAAATAGTTACATCTCTTTATTATCTCATCATACATCCATATGTTATAGTTTTTTTTAATATACATGTAATAAAAGCCCATGTACATGTTTATGTATAAAAAAAGATTAACAGGGTGTTTAGGTAAAAGCACAATATAAAATATGATAATTTGTGATTAATAACCAAAATCAGAAACAAGGCAGAACAATGAAATAACAGGTAATAATAGTCCCTGGTGCATTATTTAAGTTTGCTGTAGGATTCCAATCATCACACATGAACTTCAGAACTGGTGTTATATGTCATTTTATTGCACTTTTTAGTGGCTCTTCATTTGTATTTTTTGTATCAAAAGGCTCATTCACTATTGAGGCTATATAACTGCTTTAATTTTTAAAAAGTTAAAGGAAAATAATACTTACCACTCCCTGCCACAGTAGGAGACCATCTGTTGAATCTGTAGCTATGCTAAAGCTAAAGATCTCTGTTATAGCACTGCTCCTGTACAAAGAAACAAAAACAAAATAATTTTATAGAGACCTAATGACACCATATTCTTCCAAATGTATCTTGAATATATTAATCTACGTTTGCCATACTACACCCAGGTGAGGTAAATGGGTACCCGGAAGGAAGAAATTCCTTGAATGCTTTAGCGCCTGTATGGCAGCTAAACTAAAGTTGGGGTAATAACATGATGATTTGTATTAGGCGCAGTAGGGTGTATTCGCATAATAGCTGCCCTATATAAATGGACCAATTATTACTACTAGGGAGGAATGGTTATAGATTCTGAATGATTATCCCCTATCTGAGCTCCTTGCAGGACCGCCCGCCCACCCCCTCCCCCCCCCCCCCCCAAAAAAAAGGATATCACTTACCCCCTTCCTCTTGGTATGACTGTCTTGGGAAGCTTTAGGTAGCTAGCTTGACCTAGGGCAACACTGTAGCTGAACCGCTCAACTGTGTGAGGGAGAGGGAGAGAGAGAGATATAAGAAGAAACTACTCATTAGAAAGACACACACAGAGAGGGGGAGTGAAGAAGAAGAAAAGAGAGGGAGAGGGACACCACATCATGGACAAAAAAGGGCAGATTATACAATTAAAGGCATCAAGAAAGATGGATAGAGCAAAAAGACAGAAGAAGAAAAAATTAAGCAGAAGAAAGAGAGATACATGTCCACAGGGTAAACAGAACTCAAGTCTGATGTGGGCTCCACAGGGGCCTTATCTAAAGCGATCGTGTATTGATGTGTTGAATAGTCTAATCACAAATCGCTTTAATGTTCACTGAGACCTGAGAGTGTATTTAAATGTGCAGTATCCCTTTAAAGCCTGTCTGCACAAGTTTGGCCAGAGGGGATTAGACCTCCCGGCAAGGATAATGACAGGTGGTTATCTCTTCCAATCAGCTCTCAATTAACATAAGAAAAAGAAGATCAGGCATTGTTTGCTATGCAGAGGGCGCAAGTAGCTGTAGGTAGTGCAGTGAGGCTTTAAAGAAGTAATATTTGAAGCTCAGACTTGTATAGCCACATGGAACCTGTAACATATAAAACAAAATAAATGTTGGTGATTGGTAGCCTTAAAAGAGAAATTCTGTAGCACTCACCATTTTCACACATATTTCCTGAGAAGCCTAGCGTACAGAGACAGATGTAACCCCCATCAACAGGTTCACAGCGACCTCCGTTCTTACACGGTTGCTCAACATTACATGAACCAACCTCAGATTCACAATGACGACCTGAGATGAATAGAGAGGAAGAATATGTACACCTTGGTATTCTGCGTTGTAATTAAGAAGGAGATCATTGAATTAAATTGCCTATGAACTTTAATAACTAAATGAAATTGTAACTACACTGTACTAAAATGTTCATGTAGTTAAGTGAAATAAACAGAAATGAAGAGATCTGTACTACAGTAACTTGAAATGAACTTAAATAAACTTAAGTGAACTGATCTGAACTGCACTGAAATGAACTGCATTAAACTAAACTGAACTGAACTTAATTGAACAGACGTGAATTTCATTTAACAGTTTTGAACTGAATTGAATTGAACTGAGAGTGACCTGTCCTGAACTGAACTGATGATCTGAACTGGACTGACCTGAACTGAATTGAACTGAGCTGAACTGATCCGAACTGAACTGAACTGAACTGAATTGAACTTAACTGAACTGAACTGTACTGAACTGATATAAACTTAACTGAACTGAACTGAACTGAACTGAACTGAACTGTACGGAACTGAACTGAACCATTCAAGGCCAAACCACGCTGAACTGAATTCAGCATTCTTACCTGTAAATCCAGGAGCACAGGTACAGGAATACTCCAGGTTATCCGGAGTAGGAGTACAAGTCGCTCCATTCAGACACTCTCCCTTCTGACACAGTAGATTCTCTCCACAGTCCTCTATGTTATTACTGGCACTGGCTCCTTCTACCAGATCCAATGGTTCACCATCAATCTCCACCTGAAGGACATTCATTGAAATTATTAGTAAATGTATTGGTCAATACATTAGTCAATATATGTGCATATGCGTCATCTGCTAAAAGCTAGAAGGGGATTAACTTGTGTCTTCCAGCTCCAAACAGACTAAATAGGCCTTTATTTTAGCTTAAAAGTACACTGTAACATTGACTGTTGTTCCATCTAATTTAGTTTTTCATGTTGTAATTTGAAATATTTGATAGGTTTAGAAGTGACAATTACTGGTAAAGACGGCCTCACTCAGAGCCTAATGAAAATTTCACAGAGCAGCAAAGGCAGCAAATAAATGATAATCTGCCAAAGTCCATTCTAAATGAAGGGATGCCTCAGGAAGAAGTAAAAGAACAGGCCCCTGGGCTGTCAAAACCAAAACACAATGTAGTAGCTAACAGCTGTATAATAGAAATGATGACAATATTTAAGTCTGACTGAATGCATTTTTCACCAGGGCTTAGGAATGCTTCCACTGTATTTCTACATTTTTTCAGGTCCCAAATGCAAAAAAACTTAAAGGGGGTATAGCATGACAAGACTGTGCGTCTTTCCCGTGGCCTGACTCGGGGCCAATAGGGTATAATACGACTATGGATGACGTGACCGCAGTATTCATGTGTGCTACATACGTGAAACCGAAGCGTAAGTAGGAGACTTTCCGTCTATTTCCATGTTATACCCCCTTTAAGCAAGATTCCCCCATTCTATTGTGCACTTAATCTCACCTCTGTAATGCAGCCATCAAAGCCCTTGGTGACTCCAAGCCTCTGGGGCACCTCTTCAAACTTATCAATGCCTCCAAGATAGAGAGGCAGTCTGAGGTTCAAGCCTCGGCTGCTGCCTGGCGATCGTCCCTTGACCGCCTCAGTGTCGTCCACCTGGAGTGAGCCGTCCTGGAGGTTGCGTTCGGCCACGATGGTATACCATCGCTCAGCTTCCATTGTCTTGGTGCTTTCAATAATTGCTGCACCTGTAGGGTGGGGAGGTTTTGGACATCGAGTAACGCCAATACAATCACAATTTCCACCTCTACTATGATTAACAACTACCTACTTATAATCGATGCCCCATTGTTCCAGGGAAAAAAATATTTAAAAAGTTTTGGGGCTATTTTTCAAGCTTGCTTGCCTGAAAAAAAACACTCTTTAATTTTATTTTTTTTTGCATTGAACTCTATGCAAATTTTTGGTGCTCTTTTATGACCTTTGGGGGCTCTTTATTGGCATGTCGGGGGCAAATTAGCCCTGAGCCCCCATGTATTTTTTCCCTGCATTGTCTATTCTATTATTTAGCCTGTTGAGGGTTTAATATTGTTTGTTAAAAAAAACTTTCATGAAAGATTAGAACAGTGACATACCGCTTCCGCTATCATACTGGAAGACCAGCTTTCCGTCTTTCATGAAGAGCGAGATGTAATCGCCTTTTCCCCTCAGACCCTGTCCATTGAAGAGGAGCAGACTGTCCTCTATAGACCTGGCCTTGAACATCATAGCGATCTGGACCTGACGATGGTTGGACGTCAGTCCAGGATAGGAGAGGTAGGAGTCTCCTAGGAAAGATGGGTCTTCAATCGGGACACCTTTAAAATCAAATGATTTTTGTTTTGGTTTGCATTAGGATATGAATTGAAATGGTACATGTATGCAGCACTTTAAGGGTGGTATTCTCGAAAGCGGACTAACTTGAGTCCATTGTTTAATCCACCGACTAAGTATGGAATGCCAAGTGTCCATATAGATATATTTTTGAATAATTTGGTATGTTCCTAATTACCATGATAACATAATTATACCATAGTTATATTTTTGTTTATTAATTATTTTATTACATTTTTGTTTAATTTAGTGACAGATTAAATTATTCAAAAACATATTCATATGGACACTTGGCATTCCATACTTAGTTGGTGGATTAAACCATTTAGTCCGCTTTCGAGAATACCACCTTAAGAATTTGTAGATTCAGTTTTCTTGCCTAACCCCTGGCAACCTTATCAGTATCCTTAAGGGGTCATCTTTTTATCCTCTCAGTATAAAGTATTGTACTTCTTTCTTTTATATTTCGATTTGCCAAATAAACGATATTAAAAGATATAATAACGATGAATAATGCTAAAAACTTTTAGTTTGGGAGAGCAAACGAAATGACTTGCAGGCATAAGTCTTCAATAAAGAGCTTTGAAAAAAATGGAACAACCTCAGAAGAAATAATGTCATATTCTTGTCAAATGCATTCAGGCGGTGGAAAATGAGGCTCATTTTGTCAATGCAATTTCAATAAATGAATCTATTAAAGTTTCTAACAATTTTTATTTCAAAAAAGGAAAAAGAAAAGTTATGAAAAGGTGCTTGGCCAATAAATTCTGAAGAAGTGTATACCGGTAACGAAGAAAACAAATATGTTTGAAAGTAAAAAATTTGCAATAGATATATGATCCTTTTTTTTTAAATCAATCTGCATATAAAAGTAATGAGAAAAATGTAATGTAAGAGTAAGGAATAAAACTGTGTGCACTATTCCTGCATTTTCTTTGTAACAGAGAGGTTTTGGGAAAATACTACTCAGAAAATTTCCTGCACAGAGTTTGAAACAAGTTGCATGGATGAGTGATAACGCCAGATGCCAATTTCCCAAAGTTTAATGAAAATGTAACCCAGTTCAGACTCCTGACCCTTTTTCTTCATTTAGCAAAATACATGACAAAAATATCACCTTCTAATTTTGTACCAAAATAGAAAATCGGCAAGGAAGGAGAATGTGTCTCAATTTTACCCTTGTTTTAAAGATTTTATTTTCTATCAATGAAAAAGAAATTTAATCAAAGTAAACTTATATTTCTATTTACACATGGTGTACTTTATTATTTTTCAAATATAATTTCCTGAAATTTTCCTTGAAACTCGTTAACGTGGAATGCACATGTACTTGTAAATACATGTATTCTCCCCTTTATAGAGAGTATACCTCTGCACTGAAGTTATCTTTCATGTCTGAACTGGGCAACATGCAATATGGAAATTATACTATATGAAACCATTGATACACCATCCCAAACCAGCCGATGAAGATTTGCAGGAAGAAAAAAAAAATCCAGGATGATACCACCCAATGTGAATGACCCAAGATGAGCAATAAGAAGAATAACATAATTTATACTGTGAATACTTTAAAAATCAAGGCCCATTCAGACATGGGGCGGTAAACTGCTTTAAACAAACTGCAGCGGTATAACTCAGCGTGCAGATCAACGGCAAGAGTTATGCTGTGGCGGTAAAAGATATGTGCAAGAGCTCTGCACCACAATAACCCTGAAACATAATCTATGATCCTGTGTTATCAGATGAGATAAAGAATTAGCGCACTGTTTTTATATCATTTTCATTCACGGCAGTTTTCATTTTAAAGCAGTTTACAGCCCGATGCGTGTTTAAGCCTTAAGATGCATAAATAATATTGTACAATCTTAAATCATATAAAACGTATAGAGATGACATTATGTCCATCTCGTTTTTGAAAAGTGAAAGCGGTACATATATATGAAGAAAAAACAAGGAGAAGAATCTGCATTTGGATATTTGAAAATGAGAAAATAATAAGATATTAGAGCTGCGTTGGATGGGCTAGGCGGGCATGCACTCTGCGTGTAAACATGAAGCTGGCCTCGGCTGCACAAAGTTTGGGGGAAATTATGAAGTACTACAAAAACAAAACAAGGATGTAAAAACGTATTTGAAGGGTGGGATGCTTGAAACAAACTAAAAACATAGGAACAGAAGTTGGATAAAAGAATATGAAACAATCGCAACAGAAACAATGTGATCATCCTTCCATAAACACAAAGAAGTTGCCTTAGAAATATGGCAAGCATAGATGTATGAAATCTCTGTTTTTAAATCCCTAAATTTTTTCTCATTTTGCACCTTAATAGATGGAGATTTGGAGAAACTTTTTATACTTTGGAATTAACTGTATCAATATGAGGAAAAAAAACAAGATATCAATCTATTTTTCGTAATTTTGGATAGACATACTGCAGTCGCATAGCAATTCATTTTTTTTAATTTTTTTTTTTTTAAAGCAATTCTTGGGGTTACGGGATAGGAGGATCACAAATAACTCCATTAAACATAATAATCTCAAACAATTTAGTTGGTGAACAGCACAAACAAATGCCTTGCTGCTACATGAAACAAATATAATTTCTTTACGTACACAGCCAAATTAAGCTACAAAAATATATAAGCTGGTTATCAAAAATTTGAAGGTTTTTTAACGCTTTTAAAATTGACTAAAGTTATGTATACACTAATAGCTTTTGGAAATACTGTATTACAGGTCTCCAGTTTGGACAGCCATTATTTTTTTTATTTTTTTGCTCTGGAATTACTTTTGGGAGTTTAGGGAGCATTTTAAAATAGGGAGCATGTTAAATAAAATTATCAGAAAAAGATATATTATTTTTTGTTTTGTTATTCATGCTGATTTAGTGCATTATTAGGGACACAAAAATAAGATATATTACATTTTAAATAAGTATCCTACAAATCTAATATAACTATGTCATTATTGTACCTAAAACTGATAATGCATCACAAGTCTTTTTCATTCTTATTTTAAAAAAGGGCCTTCATTTAAAAAAACCTTGTGTTTCTTATATATGGCTCATTTTCCCACTGATAAAAATATGGTAAATCAATAACATTTTAAAATATAGATCACGTAAAACAAAATAAGAATGTATGTGGAAGTATTTAAACAAAAGAACAAACTCAAACTTAGTATTAAAAACAACACTGCAATAAGGATAAATGAATGAGTGATATATAGGCATATACCAACAAAGAAAAATAAAGTTGCCCTCTGTTGAGCGAATTGTTTAGGAAACCATTAAAACATTAAAAAACAAGTCATGCAAACAAACCAAAATTAAACACCTACACTCTCCCTGAATTATCCTTCCATGTAAATGACTAAATATAGGCAACAGCAACAAAAGCACAACAACAAAAACAAACCAAAGAGTAAATACTATGATTTAACAACCAAAATAAACATTATTAGAAATAAAACAATAAAACATGATAAAACATCACAATTAATGAAAACAAAAGCTCATTTACATTTCATAAACATATAAAATTTAGTGTTTTATCACAGGGTGTTATATTTGTGAGTATATATATGTTGCTCAGTTTTAGGATTTCACAAGTTCATTTGAGTAAGGGGAATGTTATGTCTACAAATTAATCTCATCAATTTACTGCCGGGGGGTACATTAGGCCTGCAATATAATTAGCGTACAATTAGTGTACAGTACATGTGAAAGTCGCTTTCTTGTACAAAACAGGAAGTCACAGATTAAGGCTAATATTAAGGACTAATACAAATATAGCCAAAACAGTAAAATAAAATTGATAAAATTGCAACAACAACAAATCAGGGAATTATCGTAAGTGTCTCATACTGTCCAAAACTGGAATAGAAATTTGTGTTTTGTCCAGATGTTTGAAATGATGATCAGCAAAACTGTAAAAAATAAAACAATGAACTGGAACCATGGACCATTATGATATGAGTTGATGGTGGATTATATACACAGTGAAACCTCTGCAATGATTAGAAAGTTTGTTAAAGGATGAATGCCATGAATTCCCACAATAAATCGATCCCAACATCGATGGAATGTATGTTGCCTTCCTTGTTCATAAGTTCTTTTTAAGGTCCATCATCCAATTTGTAGCATTTTCATGTCTAAAAAGGTTACATTGATTGTTTTACATTTTGATTCAATAATTGTAAAATGTTCAAGATTTCATGTTCCTTGAAACTTTGATCAATTTTTTTTTTAAACGTATGTTTATTTTGAGTCTATGAATGCATGATTGTTCACGACTGGATAAATAATAAAATGAAGAAAAGAAATTTATATGTGATTCAGGTGAAGAAGTGTTTGAAATGAACAGGGGAATAGAGAAGTAATGAGCACTCAGTTGATACCACTGATCTCATAAGCATGGATTGCTCATCAGTCTATCCACACAGACGAGGTCACCACACAGCCATTTTGCTACTCCCAATTTATGCATGACCAGAATAACGAAACTGCACATTGGCAGAATGACACTTCGGAAACCAATGACTGTTCATGGTATTCGGTGGAGTAGCAAAATGGTGGTGCAGGGGCTTCAGGTGCATGGAGCTGTGAGCTATCCATTCTCATTAACAGAGATCAGTGGTTGAGACACGAATGGGAAAGCCGTTTTCAGTACATGTTTCACAAGGAGAGCAACATAACAAGTTATTGGAACACAGTGCAGGATACAAAACGCATCAGTTTGCAGCAAAGGAAAAAAAAAATCTGTCAAGAAAAGGTGCAAATAAAATCATATAAGTTTGGTTTTATTTTGATTTGTTTCATTCGTCAGAAAGAGAAGGCAAGTTATACCATGATCGGCAAGCAGCCTGTCGTTGTTGTTGTCGTGCGACGAGCCTGAAGTGTCGCCCGCTGGTTGATGGGATAAACATGAATATTCAGTGATATTTAAATGAGTATCAACATAAAATGATATACAACACTTGCTAACATATATGTTCATATACTTGAACGACTAAACTGTAGAACAAGTTTGAAAAAGTTGTTTTTAAGACAATGCACTCAATCTGATGACCCTGTTCCATTCTGTATTTTATGTTTTAAACAGTAAGTGATTACATCAATTACATATTCATACAAGAAATATATATCTTCCAACAAATGGAACTTTGAATAAGCATGCAATTATAATCATGCAGTACATAATGATGAAAAACAGATTATCTGAAAGGTTCCCAACATTAACAGTCATTGTAGGCACCCCCCCCCCCACCTCCCATCCCACCCCCAATCGGATAATATTCTATTTTCAAATGGCATGTTCATTCCAAAGTTTATAGTGGTTCATCGAGACGTACCATAAAAATTGGTTGGTTTCTGTAAGAAGTCATTTCCCCCACTAAATAAAAACAATGTTTACCCTACTCACACCGTTAGCGCCAAATCCTGCCCCCAAATTTGAATGTCGTACAATGTGTTTGGACCAAACGTTTGTTTGTTCAAGAAAAAGGGAAAGCTAGCTCTATCATCAACTTCACATCCCATGGAAGTTGGATACATGCCCGATTTATCAAGGAAACAAACTACACATATATTAAGAGAAAAAATTGTTTTTAATAAGTGTTTTTAATAACATGGTGGCCTGGATCGACAGGTAGTAAAGGTAACCGTATCACATGGTTGCCACACATAACTGGGCTCTGTTTCATAAAACTTGTTATCAATAGCAAATGCTAAATTTCTATGGCAAATTTGCCGTTAGCCAATCAAATGCCAGTATTTCAGTAGCTTATAACAGATATTGTAACTTGTTAATGATAACAAGTTGTGTGAAACAAGGCCCTGTTTCATGGAAAGAAGTAATCATGCACTGGTACAAATCGTTCTAAGACTACATTGAGTTGGTAATTAAGCTACGATGGAGCACACCACTAGAAACATGCAGCGTTAAAGCGTTCTTACCTAGCTCACACCTGGTCCCTGTTCGTCCTACAGGGCAGTGGCAGATGTAGCCTGAAAGTCCAGATGATTCCACACACTGACCTTCTCCACAGATTCCTACACAAGGTCAAATACAGATATCAGAGGTCAAACACAGATGTCAAAGGTCAAAGGTTGAGGTTACATATTTTATACTTCAATGCACTGTTGGAAAACCATATCTAAATCATAGAGTGAACATCTATGTACACCTTTACTATTTCTAACCTTAGTCACCATGAGGAGCTTAAAAAAATTGCCAATGGGTAAGACTAAAATAATGACCGTTCTGAAGTACATGCATTTATTTATTGAAGGCAATTACTGTAATGTGTGAAGTCACGATGAGTGTGAAATAATCTCAGCTAAACCTTCTTCACTTTAATATTGATGCACACAGGATGTTTGACATCTTCACTAATTAATGCAACCGCAATTATCCATTATTAATACATGAACATGAAAAAAGTAATATAAGTACACACGTATAAACTACATAAACGTATTGGCCGAATTCACAAAGGCGGTTTAAACCCTCATTTACATAACACATGGTTTAAAAATTAGCGCAAAATAAGCTTACCTTGCCTTGCGCGTGTCTAATATTTGACCTTTGACTGTGTCGCGCTTATTTTGCGCTAATTCTAGACCATGGGTTATGTAAATGAAGATCTAAACCATGGGTTAGATTTAAACCTCCTTTGTGAATTTGGGCCTTTCCATACCGTGCATTTGCATGTATTTTGATCAGAGATATTGCAAAGCATCTATGAATAAATAATAAATAGCTTTTATTACAGCTATACCCACCTGGTACACATCTATAGTTAGCCACTTCTTCGCAGTTGGTGCCGGTGAAGCCGAAGGGGCAACGGCAGCGGTACCCCTGCTCGGCCCTCGCCTCCTCACACACTCCTCCATTAGCACAGGGGTTGACCTCGCACGTAGGGCACTGCTCCACACCGACCCTGGTACGGGCACTGTCAAGGACCAACTCTCTCCTGTCCACTATCAGCTGACTAACACAACCTGATAGGGAGAAGCAGGGAGAGTGATTTGAATTATTAAAATCATTGTCATCAATGTTTACGGTATGTTTTTCCCACAGTGTGAAGTTGCATTTTTCATTTCCTTTATGGCACTTCTCCAAGCCTAACGATTCTACCTGGGTGAAGCTAGATACTCTAATATCTGACTCAAATATCTGACTGTCAATACCTTACTCTATTCTTACTCTAATACCTTACTCTAATATCTTCCTCTAATACGTCCTTCTATTTTTTGTTTATATTTGAATTGGCAAGTGTTTGTAGGAAATTTTAAACTGTTAAATTGATCAGCTTTAATATCTTACTGGTATGAAGCCAGATACTCTAATATCTTACTCTCAATTTTTACTCTTAATATCTTACTCCAATATCTTACTCTTAGTCTTTCTCTTATATCTTCCTCTAATAAATCTCTCACATTTTTGTTGATGGGATATGCCACAGCATGAAAGTGTTTGTAGGCAATTTCAAAGGGTTAAATTAATCAGCTTTCATTTTCCAAATTAGCAATATTCTGTGTCCTTCAGTTTATCTCATAATACATGAAGGCAATATTCTTCTTACCAATGAATCCTGTTGTGAAGCCTGCCGTACTTGGGATCTCATCAAAGTTAGGAACACCACCGAGATACAGGTCCTGGACCAGATCCAGGCCTTGGAAGTTCCCTTGGGCTCTACCTTCTACCTCAGGCAGATCATCCACCTGTCAAGAACATAGAAATCCAATCCAATGCATACATGGTTTCACAATAGGCCAATTTCTCATCAATTCTCATTTTAAAACCGGTAAACAGGAAGAGGGGGTTCCTTCTTAGTTAGTATTTGAGATCTTTATCTTTATGCAAGATAGCCACAGAACAGAGGCCAGTTTGAGTTTCAAATTGTAAATGTTGTGGCGTAGCGACTCGAAAAGAAGAAGCTTCAAGAGAAGTTTTCCTCTTTCATGAAATTTCATATGTCCATGCACCAAAGATGCCCAAACAAGTTACTGCTTTATGCATCTACTGAAAACTTTGAACAACATTTTGTTTCTAACAACAACCATAGAAACTTCGACAATTTTTCTTTTATATTAGGGAAAATAAGATATGTGGACTGGTTTGTAAAGGATTGCCAGAAATTCATGAAAAATTCCTTAATTGTTCCTTAAGTTTTCCCTCATGGAGTTTCAAGGCATTTTATACCTTAAAATGCGACCATTGTCAGTCTTCCAGAGAGTATATCTATCATTTGAACATTGAGACAAAACTGGTGAGACTAACCATTCACATTTAGATGAATAAAACCGCCTAATTAGTTTTCCTGATTTGTGTAATTTTTCTCATTCCCTCTTATTTCCTTGAATGGAAAAAAAAGGAACAGATCTTCCAGTTTTCCCTGATTTTCATGACAGCTGTGAACCTTGTTGTAAGAGTTATATTAATAATAGTAATAATAATAATTATAAGCATTTCTATAGCGCCGTCTATCTAGAAATTCTATTACGAGGTGCATTAATTATTACAGTGCTCCAGCATTTAAAGGGATTAATTCCTGCCAGGTACCCTTTCCCTCGCCTGGGTCGAGTGTGGCAAAGAAGATTAATGCCTTGCCATTACCTGTAGGTATCCTCTGGTCATGTTCCTCCTGATGCCGACCGTGTGCCACTGACCCAGCTCCAGGGGGCGGTCACTCCTAATGAGGGTGGTTCCTGCTCCGAGCTCATACCTGAACTCAGCGTACCCTCGATGGAGACCGAAGGAGAAGAAGTCCCCAGTCCCGTCAACACTCTGACCGTTGTATAAAATCAGACCTGGGGGAAGAAGAAACAGAAGTGGAAAATAATAATAGTAATAATAATATAATATAGGATATTTCATAGTGCTCATATCCACTATTCAAGGTGCTCAAGGCACACTTATATTACCTGGGGGGTGTTTCACAAAGATCCTAAGTTGATTTTATCTCTAAGTTGGACTTAAAAATTATGGATAGCCGCTAGCATCTTTGAAAATATTTTTTTAAAGTTATTTTAAAAGGCATAAAATGTTGATTCACATTAATAATATATTCTATTATCAAGGAGACTTCATGTTCTTGATGTGGATTTTATGAAAAATCTAAAATACTAACATTTTTGCTTTTGAATATATTGTATTTTAAATACTGTAGCTAGGCTACTGAATAGATAGGGGTGAAATAAAATATGGCATCAAGGACTGACTGCCTGACTGACTGACTGATTGATTGATCAATCGATCAAATTGGTTTATTGGCATTTAAAAGAAATACTTAACATGCGGAAAAGAGCTCAAGCTGCTCAGTTAACAAGGAATAACATACAGAATACAAATACAAAACAAGATGAATATGACAAACAATTTTCAATCATTAGATCTACCTTCAGGGCTTTCAGGTTTGATGGAAACCTGAATCTCAAACTCTCTGTAGGCGTTGGTGAGTCGAGGATAACCAATGTAGGACTGGGGCATCTGAACAAAGTACGGAATCAGCTCTAGAAATAGACACAAGATGGGTCAGTTAAATACTTGCAGATGATCCTTTGAGTTGGAATATACAAGTAAATATTCAGATGAAATCAATATCTTTAAAATAAGGATAAAAATAAAAGATATATATATATGCATGTATGTTTATACACATAAACATACAGATATGTTATGAATGGGTAATGATATGATTGCAGGGCCCTCAGGGAGAACAGTATGAATACTGTTGAGGCTACCCTGGGTAAACAAGACATATTATTAATATTATTATTACATAATGGATGCAATGTATCAGAACAACTTGACTTTGACTTGTTAATTAATTCATTTTCTGTTTAACCTCCCTAACAAAAGGCACAAGTTTATGTTCCAAATTTCATCAATTGGCAATTTTATATTTCACAGTTATCTTCCTCTTATTCTTTTTCACAAAATCATACACATATACAGTGGACATGCATGTACATGTACAATAAAGACATATAGATGTCACATGAACAATGATCAAATAGTTCAGCTTGTTTATTAATCGATACTGATCTTGTTGATCAATTATATGTGGTCTTTAAAGGCCACCACTTTTCTGATTCCCATGGGCGACCGTTATACAGATTTTTTAATCATGATTACATCGTCCTACCTCCAACAACAAGTCTTGCACGGTGTTCCGTCGACCCTCCTTGGTTGGTGGCGATGCAGACATAGGTTCCCTCATCAGCCTCCTTCACGTTGGTGATCGTCAGGAGGCCATTGTCGATCTGGTAGTTGTCGGGGAGGTCCCCATCCTCCTTGTGCCAGGTGATCTCCGGCGTGGGGAATCCCCCGGCGAGGCAGCTGAACTCGAGTGTGGCACCCACCGGGGCGGTGCGTGTTGATGGAACGACGGTCAGCTGTGGAGCAGCTGTATCAGGATCAGAGGAGATAATGGTAAGGTTAGGGAACAAGGTGACAATTGGAATTGATAATATCATTGTAGAGGTGTTGTGGTCTACTGGATATTTCAAGATCACCAAAATGCAGATCACGAGGTACAGGTTCAAGTCCTGTCGCGGCATTAATAATAATAATAATAATAATAATAATAATGATAATCTTTTTAGTCCCCTCCAAATTTTATTAAAATGGAAATTCTTTTTGCCCAATTGATCGTGAGCCCGGCAGCCACTGAGCAGTGCCAGATCGACGTTGCTCTATCCTTAGGAAAGACGTTAATCTACATTTGCCACTCTCCACCCAGGTGTAAATGGGTACCTGATATGATTGAGTGCTAGTTACTTTGACAGCTCCGCTACAACCCAGGTATTAAACATGTGTACAGCGCCATGAGCGTCAGAGCCTGTCGGATACTGGCCTTATATAAATATCCATATTATGATTATTATTTATTTAGTTATTTATTTGAAGAATGGCAGGAAGCTTCCATCGTTTTGTTTGTGTCCTACTCTATCACTGTACACAGTTCAAATGTGTTACAAGATGAAATATTTGTGTACATGTACATGTAGTCTAGGGAAGTTCAAAACTTTCAATTGCTTTCCATGTTTCGGTTTACAAAAAAATTGAAATGGAAGAAGAGGAACGATCACACATTTCTCATTTCTAAGTCACATACATAGGCAATGATACCTCTGTGGTCAATTTCACCAACTTCAAAGCAACACTACATCCAACCCTGAACTTATCCCTCATCTGAAACTCTATTGCAACACCAAACATCAAGCCCCTGTGGCTTTTACGGATGCACCTTTTTCCATATCCTATACTCTTAGTAGAGTTTATCTAGATTTTATCATGTCATCTTTTTCTTCTTTTTTATAAAATGTATGTACATATATTTCAATGTATTTTCTTTGCCTATGTGTTACAACAAGGTATAATGTCATTTTTACTGTGATTAGAATCACATAAAGTTCAATTCAATTCAACCCCAGAGCAGATGTCTCCCTTATCAACTATTTCTCACCTTGAACATAAAGGAAGACCTGTGAGGTCCTAGACCCAACGATGTTGGTAGCCGTGCATCGGTAGAAACCAACATCGGACAGCGATACCTGCGGAATGGTCAATCGGGCCCCCTGTAGGACCACGCTGATTGGCATCTCACTGTTCACTTTGGTCCAAGTGACCACTGGGGTCGGGTCACCCGTGGACAGACACTCAAAGGTCGTGGTTTCACCCACACGGATGTAGTGGACAGTCGTGTTGACAGTGATCTGGACAGTTGGGGCAGCTGAAAATGGACAATTCAAAAGATTTTTATTTCAATTTCATGTAGACAAAAGGAATTAAGATATTTTCACATGAAAGTAGGTTTAATCAGAAAATTTGAAGAAAAATTATTTATCTGAACGATTCTTATTTCAGTCCTGTTGTAAGACTGTAAATTGAAATATCCTCTATTTCACTTAACCCCTCCTAAGCCAGCAAGAGAATTAGAAAATTGTCATAAATGAAGTCTTATCAAAGATGTTTTGATTCAGAGTGTTTTAATTGATAAATCGCAGATAAAATAATGTTTATTACATGAGTGTATTAGCTTTACAATGAAACACCTTCTGTTTAAAAAAAACCACATGCAGAATCTAGAAATTCTTAGGGCAACCCATTCTTCAGCATTACCATTCTCAAGCAGGATTTGCCACCCATGTACTTAAACAAATACACAATCAACTTGTGCATAGATCTTTAATAGCATTCTCTTCTTTAGTATTTTGTATATAAAGTTTGAATCATAAAGAGGGCTTCTATTTCCAATAACGGATTAATGTTGTTCTCACCATGTAGGAAGAGCCTGGCATATGCCTTAGATGACCCAGCCTGGTTGGTAGCTGTGCATACATAGCGACCTTCATCACCATCTCGTAAGGAAATTAAACTGTTGGTAGGAAAAAGGAAACAAGTGTTATCCTCCGATTAATATCCATTACACCAAAACGTCAGAACAATAAAGGACATGAAATGATATCAGAATATCCTGCTCATCTTCCATCCACCTCTTCTTCTTCATCCTCACCATCATTGTCATCTTCAGTGGTCATCATTCACCATCATCACTTTCATCACAATCATAACAATCACCATCATCATCATCATCATCACAAACACCACTACCATCATCATCATCGCCATCATCACCACCACCATCATCATCATGCATCCTCATCATTACCATCATCATATCACATCCTTACCTGAGAACACCATTAGTGATACGGTGCTGGGCTGGTAGAACACCATCCTCCTTCTCCCAGGTGATCTGGGGAGGAGGAGTGCCAGTGGCTTGGCAGGAGAACTCCACGGACCCACCGATGGCCCTCGTCTCACGGGCTGGGATAGCTGTCACAGTTGGTATGACTGGAAGAAAGAGACGCAACAAAATTATAACCATCACAACAATGAACACCATTTTGAAGACAGGTACATGGAAATGTACATGGGACATGGAAATGTACATGGGACATTGAAATGTACATTGAACATGTAGTTCATCTCCAGTTGGTCCCCTGCACATCCATAAAATCTAAAATGAGATAGCATTTCCTCAAGTTTCTGAGCAGGAAATGGTTCAATTTTGGCACACTGAAATTGAAAAAAAATAGTCACTCTTATTCCTCTGCCCCTCCATCCCCTCAAAAACAAGATAAAGCAAGAAACTGGTGAGCCAAGTAACAAATCAAAGTCACATTTCCGATTAACTTACATATGGCCCGCAACCTCCTCACTTTACCAATTTCAGAGAGCCTTTCTCTTTCCTCTACCGATCTTTGAAACCAAGCCCCTTATCACACCAATGTCAGTGATTGACTTGCTCAGAAGAGCTATAAAGACTTTAACCCTGTATCATTGACACTACAAAGACACTGTTAAATACTGTTCCTGAGATCACTTGTAACTAACAAGTTAAAGATAAAGTTGAGTTCTGGTCATGCAATTGCATTGTGAAAGAAACATTGTGGAATCGATCAGAAAAGGTTGATCATCTAGCATATACATTGTAAGTATACTGCAAGGTTCTGGAAACATCAAAATAAAAAGAAATTTGGCCCAGTCTTGGTAAAGGTACAAGCACTGTACACAGAAAGTTGTATATGGGACTACACAAACATGTGGCATAAAAAATCTGTCCCAATTTTTATGATGTTACATGCAATATTTAGAATATTTAGGCATTTAAAGGGCCATGCTTTTCAAAAAACATTTTTTCTCTGATGTTCTTCCACACTGCATAATACAATGATAACGCTCACAAATTATTTTTCACCTCGTCCCAGAACCCAATCTTCTCTTTAATCATCCCCATCTATCGCTTACCTTGTACCCTGACGGTCATGTAGGAGTCCCTGAAGCCAGCCGTGTTGCTGCACACACATCGGTACTGGCCTGCATCCGTGGCGGTGGCTGGTGAGATCTGGAGGATACCGCCGGACTGGATGGCAGTCGGAGGAAGGGATCCGCCATACTGGGAAGAAAAGAAAGTGAGGAACATTCATTAGAGGAAGGCACTTGGGACTTTGGGGTGTGTGTGTGTATGTGGGATGTATAGAGATAGTACATTTCATGTTTATTATATGAATTAATCTTCTTTATCATTATCATCATTATCATTATTATCATTATTATTAATATTATTATCAATAAGAAGAAATGGCTCGGGCACATAATGTGGCATGATGATGGCTTGATAATCAGATTCATAAAAGGTCGTCTACATGGAAAGAAGAAATGGGGAAGACCTCGTTAAGGCTTTCTAGATGATTCGATCACAGACTGTGGAGCAACAGGATATGAAATGCTGAAGCGGATGGCTCAAGATGGAGGTACCTGGAGAGACAATTGATATAGAATTCTGGTTGGGTCACTGAACCTCTCATAAATTGACAGATCACTATTGATGATCATTATTATTACTATTGTTATCATTACCTTGGACCATTCACAGGTAATGGGCTGGGTGCCTTCGGCAAAACAGGATATGCGGATGATCTCTCCAGCAGTAACCGTCTGAGTGGTAGGGCTGATGCTAAGACTAGGAAGAACTGTAGACAGAACAAGAAAAAATTAATTGATGAAATTCTAATTTTTTTCTCAGGGCATTCTTCTTGAAAGGAACTTCCAGAACATATGTTATAAGCTTTGCCCGATCAAGTCCCCTACCTGAGTATCATGTAACCAATCATGACCATCATGGAAACAGAAGATACTCGAACAATGTTATGGTTTACAATCCTATACGTCTTTACAATGATTTAGACCTTACTATTTCTTGATTCATCCATCTCATAGGATGTGTTTAAGCTGACCGTATCGTACCAACCCATGCAGCTCTAATGCGAACAGTGCCAGGTAGTTTGTTTTGCAAGCGTTCAGGCGCTCTGCTGGGCCCTAAGGTACGGGTATGGTATGCGTGAAAAGAGCCCTATAGTTAATTCCTGTTTTATTTTCATTATTTTTCCTTTTCTTTCAATATTCCTTGATACTGTATATTCAACAAAGAAATCAACAAATGTCCTTTTTAAGAACTTGAGAAGACCCTACCACAATATCTTTTATTTTTAAATTGTTGACATTCTGGGTTTCAATCTTTATTAAGAAAAATAACTGATGCATTAATAGAAATCAATCAATTGATATTTAGAAAACCCTAGAGCATTGTATATTATCATTAAATTGTTGACATTCTGGGTTTTGGTCTTTATTAAGAGTAATAACTGATGTATGACAGCAACCATCTTTAAAACTATTTTCAAAAACCAATATTTTTCATTTAAATCATTGTCTCACCTAATACATAAAGGGTCACAAGATCCTGCTGATATCCATGCTCATTTCCCACTATGCAATAGTACTGTCCGGCGTACTGAGACCGCGCCTGAGGGATGGTCAACAGGCCGTTGCTAATGGAGACGGTGGATGGCATCCTCTGGCTGACTCGTCTCCAGGTGATGGTGTAACCGGCCGGGGTTCCGGGCGAGGTGCAGCTGAAGACGGCCGTCTCTCCCTCGATGACTTCCAACTCTCTCGGGGAGACTTCACAGGAAGGAGGGTGGGGCACGCTGGTGTCGGTGACTACAGAGTGGAGAAGATACCGGTATGCAGATTAATGTACCGGTATGTCATTACATTAATTGTATTCACTATTCTTATATTCCCTGCAACCCCACCACGAACATCCTTCTCTAAATATCTTTTATCATCATCGTAATCAATCTCTTCCTGATATACTTCCTTCTCATTGCCATTGTCATCATAAACATTTTTATAACCAAGATCTGAATCTCATTACTATTCCACACTTATGACCATCATAAATAAAAACCTTCACCACAGTCATTATTCTAACAACCATCAATATCTTCAACAACATCATCATGATCCCCTTCATATAATCTTTCTCATCATCAGAATCAATAGAAATGTGTTTTCATTCTAAGACATTTCCTCCTCTTCCTCCCCTTCCTGCTTCCCCTTCTCCTCCCCTTCTCCTTCTCTCAGATATATGTTATCATAAATCTATAAAAACTCAATATCATGTTCCTTTAGAAACCACCAAAAACCACACAACCATCTTAATATCCCCCTTATCATCAAACCATCATCCTCCTCCTCCTCTTACTCCACATCCACATCTTCGTCCCATCCTCTCTCCCACGCCCCTCAGCACTCACCTCTCAGAAGCAGTTCCTGTTCCACATATCCTGCCCCATTCTCCGCTCTGCACATGTAGCTTCCAGCATCATTCATTGACACACTCTGGATGTAATGCATAGCACTCGATTCCTCCTCCATGTTGAATGCAGCAGCAATGGGCTGGTATACCTACAATGTGTATAAGAATTAAAAAAAAAAGAAGAAGTGCATGAATTTGAGAAGAGTATCAGTACTCTGATTCAAAATACAGTCAAACCTGCTTTAGTGATCACCTGTCTACAAAGACCACCTGTCTACAACAAGCACATTTTTTGTTTCCCTTGAAAATGGTTTCTAATAGAAACATGTACTAAAGGAACCTGTCTACAAAGACCACTTTTTGTGTTTCCCTTGGGCGGTTGCTGTAGACAGGTTTGACTGTAGTTAGTGATAATGTTGTATTTTCAAAAAGCTGAAGTCTTTATACTATTCACCATCGGGCAAATACAAAACTGAATCTCACAATGGGATAAGATAATGTGAAAGGGATGTGAAAAAGCATAGAAATATTTGTTGTTGTTGTTTCCAGGATTGTAAAAATGTTAGGACTACAAACCAACTTTACCAATGATAATGTACATGTACATGCCCATCTGGACAGTGCATGACCGACATTACGAGTCAAAGCTATCAACAATACAGCAAAGACAGTAAATTACTTTACATTAATCATCATCAATGAGGCAAAATTTCATGTACCACATAAATCATAAAAAATCAAATGAATAAAAGATTTAGGGTTTGCATTTTAATATTTGTGCTCTCTCTCTCTCTCTTGATCACAATCAAAACAATTAAAAACTGAAAAGAGGAATCCTTTTGTCATTTCTATACGAGCTAAAGCTAGGGTAATAATTTCCAAAGCTCTTTGAAAATGCATAGAGGCTTTACATCATAATGTGTTATGCCCTAAACAAGAACGAACTATTCTTATTATTCATTTTTCATACCCGTTCATTATTCATGACCATCCACTGGACAGTTGGAAGTGGTTCTCCTGTAGCGACGCACTCCAGGACGGCCGTCTCGCCCACCCGGAACTCAGCAGGATTGGTTGGTGTGATCGATATCTGAGGCAGACCTGGAAAGGTGACAAAAAGAATCAGTTAAAGACACGTAATCATGGAAAATTGACAAGAATGTTATCAATCACCGGAAGTGGCTATCAATTCAACCATCTGGGCCCCGTCTTATAAAGAGCTGCCATTGATCCAAGTCAATCGCAAGTCCTCCAATCAATTGTAAGTTTTCAGTTTCCTGTCTCTTATGGCCACAGTTGTGATTAATATTAACTCTCTATGTGTGTTGATGATTGAATATTTTTATTATTACAAGATTTATTTCATGTATGTATAATTTGCTCACAGGGCCCTGTTGACAAGCTTTTGATTCTTTAGGGCTCCTAACCTTTATTACTTTGTATGTTATTACTTTTTATGTACGGTGTTTAAATGATTGAATAAATTGAAATTGAAATTGATATGTCATACACAGCTCTCTCCACTAACCACTCCATAAGGAAAGGTAGAGATGCCAACCCCTTGACACAAAAAACAGATTGAATATCCTAAAAAAGAATCCTGGAAGCCTACTTGAAAACATACGCATGCTTTCTAAGCAGTCAGGTAAAACAAACAAAAATACAAAGATATAAAGATACATACCTTGAACCCTGATAGTAGCCGTAGCAGTAGCAGATCCTGCACTGTTGGTTCCAGTACAAATATAAGCTCCTTGGTTCTCGGCTGTTACCCCCATGATTGTAAGTACTCCCATCTCATCCTAAAACAAAAACAAATAAGATCATGACAGTTGTACGGCAAAGTTCTATACAAGCGATTTGTAATGGTGCCTTAAAGTTTACCAATCTCTTCAAATTATTTTGCTTTTCATAACAGAGGTTCCATATCACAATTCTATAGCCAACATATGAGCTCCGAATAGTGCTTCTAGAAAGATATATTGAAAGTTTGACTTAACTCTCAATTAACATAAAAGCGACTTGTGGGTAGACTAATAAATGTCAAAAACTGTCAAACTGTCAAAACTAGTCTTCAAGACACATTTATTCAAAATTGCTTTCGCTGATTAATAACTCTGTTTACTTTGATGTATATGTATTGTGATTTGTAGGTTTATTTGCACTTATTTGTTTTGTTTAATATGTAATTGTGTATCAGTCTATTTTGTTTGTTATAGCGCTTTGAGACTTCGGATAGAATATGGACTGCGCGGGATCTAAGTCCTACTTTGTTTGGGTTCCATATTAGGTTATCCTATTTTCTGCATACTCCTTAACCGTTAACCCACTTATTGCCAGTTGCCAGGTAAAATACTCCGAGGTTGATTTTAGACATTCTAACTGTACACAAAATATTTTTAGGTGATTTTTAGGTGATTGGCAAAGTTGGTTTGACACTAAACAGGCTCATATTTAATGATATTCAATTAAACCTTTAAGTGCATATTTTTCTCTAACAGTTTATGATACAAAACTGAGCAGTCTTAATGAATGAATATGTGCGCTTTATAAGTTGACATTATCAGGTGGGCTGTATATTTATTATTATTATTAAACAAACATACAAATTTCAACTCTAGATGTGATACTACTGTATCGTGCAAACTGAAATAATTTAAAGTTCTAAAGCTCACATTTGTGTTGGATGACAGGGGAGCACCGTTGGCTCTGCTCCATGAGACGGTTGGCGTGGGGATACCGGAGAGGATGCGACACTGGATCTGGATGTTGTCTCCGTCTATCGCGATGTAGGTGGAATATGGGAGGATCTCAATCACTGGAGACTCTCTCCCTACCAGTCAATAATAAAAAAGAAAACAAAGTTTGGACGAGCAATAACTTATCTTCATCTTAAATAACCTCTTTTGTAACATAAGTTGATTTATGACAAAACAATGATTGTAGGAGTCAGTATTTGAGCTTTGATTCAACAATTCGATGTAAAATTGGGCTAAACAAAGTTTCTGTTTATAACTATTTGAAATAAGGTAAAACAAAAATAATCACTCTATTTCTATGATGTAATACTATGAGAAGAAATATAGACATGCAAGAGAGTATTGCGTAAAATGCTACAAACTACACCGCATTGTAGTGTTTAGAAATCATGTACATTTGGAAGACTCAAGGATTAAAAAAAAGTGTTCATTTGCCAATTTTTCCTTCTGGACCACAGTTTTACATCTAATATTTCTGTATTATGTCATACTATATCCAGCATGTCAGCATGTTGGCATGATCTTAAGCTGAAGAAAAAAATTGTTGATACTACCAAGGAAGCAGAAGAGATAGTTAATAGAGAGAGAGAGAGTTAAAGACAGATTTTATTTTAAAATAGTTTGGCTTACTCTCTATCTCAACGTAGGCAGTAGCAGTTGAAGAACCAGCAATGTTTGTAGCAGTGCAGCTGTACATGTCTCTATCAGTAACATCTGCATTTATGATGCGAAGTACTCCGTTCAAAGCCTAAGAGAGGAAAATATTTAGAGAGCCATTACGGTTCAATTTCAATTTGATTTGCAGTACATCAATGAATCTTTAAAACAGATAATCTAAATGATGAGTGTCGTATCTTTAATGACAAGCCTTCCAGGAGCAAGGTTTATAAATAAAGGAGAAGGAAATCACTCAATAAATCTTAATCAGTCAATCATGTAATTGATCAATCAGAAACTTTGGTCCAACCATCCATAACATAATTGCTAAATCAAAAAAGCCAATCATTCATCAAGCACTACTACCTACTATTTCTTCTTCTATCTATGCATCTGTCCATATATCCTTCATTGGGTAATCACTCACAGATAGACATCAGTCAGTTTATTGATCAACTTATCAACAAATTCATACCCCCCCCCCCCCCAATCTCATCTGTTGATATATACATTTAGATTAAAATATTGATCATCTTATCCATCAATCAAAACACATATCCATTTTTTTTTCACAAAAATTTGACAACATCAAACCCTCATCCCTTTCCGCCCATATGCCCTTAATATATAATCGTTTACGTATTCGAAAATCACATTGCGGCCCAAAGGCTGAAGTGCACGATGATTTTTTTAATGGTTTAAAGACCAACTGTACTACTTGTATTTACTTGCTCCCTCTATATAGAAAACAATGCTTAAGCGGTGCCCGTTGGTCCCCCATGATCCTCTTTTTCTTATGTTAATTGAGAGCTGAGTTGATGAGATAGCCACCTGACAGTGACCACACTGGGTGGTCTAATCCCTCCTGGCCAAACTAGTACATACAGGCTTTAATTGTTATCAACTGACCTGCTGATTGGCAGACAGGGGACCACTTCCCCTTGTCCAGGTGATGGTGGGTGTAGGTACACCAGTGGTCAAGCAACGAAGGACCTGGGTGGCACCCTGTGTTACCGTTATCTCCGCAGGATCGATGCGGGCAGTCGGGCTCCTGCGGCTGTCTGTAATGAGGAGCAATTATCATCAGTTGGTAACAGTAATGCTATTCTACCACTGTGTGCAAAGTAAGCACTTTACGGTCTGTAGTCGTTGCATTCGGATCCATTATACAGTGCTTGATTGCTATCTGGGTTGCAAGGTTATATCTGAATAAAAACTAGAGTTTTGTCCTGTTCCTGTTATTGTAGCAGCAGGACACAAACTAAGTTTTGTAGAAAAGTATGTAGCTTAAGTTTATACCTGTATTCAATAATTATTCATATATATATATATATATATATATATATATACATTTGTTTAGATACTGTACTGTACAGGTACCAGACATGATTAGCATTTTTTTGCAATTTTCTGGTCCCCTTTATCCATTAAAGATCTGTTAAACAGGCATTTGTTATTGTCATTATTATTATATTAATACAGTATTTGAACGTTTGGATAATAAAACTTCAAACATAAAACATATATACATTTATATTTGTTAAGAAATTGTACTTTAAGGTACCAGACACGATTAGCATTTATTGCTATTTTCTGGTCCCGTTTATCTTTGTTAAACGTGCATTCATTATGGTTATTGTTATATCATTACAGTAATGAATGTTTTGGATAAAAAAAAAACTAAAACAAAAAAATTAAAATCAATTTTCCTGGTGGCAGCGGTGGGATGCAATCAACAAGTTTCATAAATTAACAAAAAAATTGTTCTCAAAAATATAATTTGATGATTAAAATACATTACAAATCATTGAAATGTGAATCTCTAGACACAATGCTATTTCTCTTCTTAAGAATGACCATTTGTTAGCATCAGTACTTCAAATCTTTGCACAAAAGGTATATTTTCTAAAGAAAATTTTTAGGGGCTACCTGACAAAATGAAGTTAAATCGAGTCAGTGATATATATACAAATATGTTACACTTACGTGGTTTAAGGGTACAATAATCTACTCCACTGACCTGTACTTATGGTGATTTGTGCATCACTGTAGTCCGAGCCATGGCTGTTGGTTGCTGTACACCTGTACACTCCCTCCACTTCGTAGGTCACCGCCGAGATGACAAGATAGCCGTTCTCTTCCCTCGCGCTGGACGGCATGTCTCCATCTATACGGGACCATGTTCTCTCGGGAGCAGGATCGCCGGTCGCCTGGCAGTAGAAGATGACGCGCTCTCCCTCGCTGACCGACTCAGAGGCAGGGCTGATGGTCACTGAAGGGACGCGAGAAGCTGAAAACGGATATACATGTATAAGAAATAAGTTATCACTTGTTCGACAGTATCTAAAATGACCGCCAAAACATAAGAAAGGTCATGTGATCAGTTTAGTACGCAGCAAAACAATAAAAGAAGTGCTAACTAGGAGGAATCTATAAATAACATACAAGTACATCATTCAAGTTTGGCTATGGTTAATTTCTCATGTTTGAACATAATAAAAAATAATACTGCTACAATTGCCAATCAGAAATATTTAATAATCAAATAAATCATTGTTTTTTTTTGTACATCCCCCCCCCCTCCATTTACAGCATAAATGATCATTTGTATTTCTATTGCAAACATGGCTTAAAGTACAACTTAAAATTATACATTTAATCCCGCTTTGTTGAATGAATTCAGCAACAATTTCTGTTTCAAGCACTTTAATACTAAACCAGAGATAACTCGGCCTACTGTATATAGAAACGAAATGCCATAGCAAAAATTTAAAGGATATCCATCAAGTCCGGTGATGATTTCAGACTACTTACGACTGACATAGAGCACTGTCCTGATGGTTGCCATGCCTGCAGAGTTGGTGGCCTCGCAGAAATACTCCGCCTCGTCCGAGGCTCTGGCCTTAGGGATGACAAACAGACCATTCTCAAAGGTGGATTCAGAGTTCAATACCCCTCCTTGACCGCCCGACCAGCGGAGAGTGGGGGTTGGGTTACCCGTGGCGATACATCGGAACTCAACACGGTCTCCCTCAGTAATACGGATGAAGCGAGGCTCGATCCGGACAGTGGGTTCTTGCACGGATGCTGTAAAGAAATTGCGCAATGTAAAGATTCAATTCATTTAAATGAACTTGTATTTTCTTGCATTTAATTTGACAACATATTTGACATCTGTTCAAACAATACAATTTATACGTAGGAACATAAATATTAATTTAAGAACTTCTATTTATAAAGAAGAAGGCGTGAATCCCGGTAGGCCTAGTTTGTAATGGGTACGCCCGAATACACAAATACATACTAATAAACATTACGAATAGAGGAAAGGAAGAAAGGGATAGGCAAGGAGGAGAAGAGGATAGAGAGCTTGGAGAAAGAGGAAAGAAGAGGACTGCAACATAGTAGCAATGGAGTGTATGGCATGCATAAACAACATAAAGGCAAGATATAGGTGAAGGGCATAATGCACCCATCCCTCCAAAGTCACTTGAAACATAGGCAGTTTAATGTATACTGTTTGTAATCAAGTAAAGGAACAGGATGATCACTTCTGGAGAAAATAATCTCTGCTTGATATATGTACTTGAAAAAGGTTTTGCAGTGCTAAAAAATGCTTACCAAAATAAAATGCTTTGTTAAGTAAATTTACATGAAAATATACAGGAGGACTGCTATGACTAAATTTAATATTTGGTATGATGGGCATACATCTATCTACAATCAGTTTCCTCTAAATTTTCATCTCAAAAGATTTCCAACAACTCCCACGGATTCTTCGAGATGGATGGAAAATGTGAGGAATCACTTACACGTGACAATAAGGGTAGCATAAGCATCGGCGGTGTCCCGTTGGTTTGACCCCATACAGACATACTGTCCAGCGTCCGATAGCCTGACCGTATCTATGGTTAGAATGCCCATAAAGTCCCTGGCGTTCGTTGGCAGAGTGCCATCTGATCGACTCCAGGCAATAGTGTAGGCCGGCGTCTACGCAAGAAGAAAATATACAAAGAGTTGACATTTATTGTAAAGTATAAATTAGACATTGTTCACACTATAATCTATTTACCTTTAAAGCCCCACTGTACTACTCGTAGCTACTTGCTCCCTCTATATAGAAAACAATGCCTAAGCGGTGCCCGTTGGTCCCCCATGACCCTCTTTTTCTTAATAATTGAGAGCAGAGTTGAGGAGATTACCACCTGTCAGTGACTGCGCTGGGTAGTCTAATCCCTCCTGGCCAAACTAGTGCAGAGGGGCTTTAAATTAAACATGCTTCAGACTATAATATATTTACCTTTCAAAACACTTTTATAAAGAGTGGCTAAGGTTGTATGCCACAATTGCTTTGTGGTCGATATATCCTCTTCTTTAATAACCCTAACCCTAATTCTGATCAAAAACTAAAACATAATTGCAGCCCTAACAATATATTTGAGACGAGGTAGAGTAATGAAGGTCTCTCAATTAAAATGTTTATCAATCATGACAGCTTAAATCTATCACTGCACATACATGTACTCAGCACTAAAAAGAACTGATCGGTCATAGTCTGGACATCATAAAAGTGGAAAAACAAATTTTGTATACCAATTAATCAAATGCCAAAATTTTAGTAGCTTTATATAACAGTTACTGTAACTTGTTATCGATAACAAGTTTTATGAAGCTGGGCCCGGGTTTGTCTGTGTATGCATTCTCGTACCTGACTGATACCTCGGCAAACAAACTGAACTGTTTCTCCTTCCGGCACTTCAACAGTCTGTGGATCATTGATAACAACTCTCATAGCTTGACCTACAGAAAGTACAATAAAATTATTTACAACGATGAAAAACACCAAAAAATGCAACTTTATTGTAACATAAAATATTTATTTTCAAGAAAATTAAGTGAAACAATTTTTTTTCTTTTAATATTAAAAAAAAGTAATATTAATATTTTTGTTTGAATAAAAAAATAATAGCAATTATTCACAGGGAATGCATCATACAATTTTCTGTTCAAACTTACCAACAACCTCGAGCCTGACTTCTGCTGTTCCAGAACCATATCGGTTAGATGCAGTGAAGATGAAGATTCCAGCATCATTAGCTCGAAGATTACGGATCTGAAGAATGATAAAGAGAACTTAAGTAAAGACAAATCTGTACTTGCTTGTTATGTTTTGGATTCCATATATGTGCTGTATATTCTAATATTAGCTTTAGAAGTAACTTTGTTTTTTTCTACGTTTATTTCTCTTTTATTCCATTTGTTATCTATGAAATGTTTATCATCATTTGTATTTTGCATGTTTGATTTACTCCGGTGTTGAAATTGAAGATGAAATGAAATTTAATGAAATGAAAACCAAATTTTTCGGCAGATCACTCTTTTATTAATTACCTGTAGCCTGTACGTTCCAGGTTCCACATAGGCGCTGGGAGAGAGAGGCTGTCCATCGGCCCTCCTCCACTGTGCACTGGTGTAGTTACCGGTTATCCTCACTTGGAAGACGATGGTTCCACCCAAGACGGACGAGGCCTCCGTCGGAGAGGCGATGACAGAAGGAATACGGTCCCCTGTAGAGAAAAAGCAGAAGAAATACTTGATAGATTTAGGTGTGTGTAACTTGGGTTTTTACAGATGAGTATCAATCAGATTTAATTTTTTATGTCACGGGACTGACCTTTAACATCACCATCCAAAAAACGTGACTCAGTCTCGAACCAGGGTCTGCCGGGTCAGTCGGTAGGCAAAGACAAAGAGCTGACCGTACTACAGACATTACCCCTAGACCAATTCACATCTCCCCAAATAGATAGATTCAGGGTAGCCACCAGAGTTGTAATAACTGTAGGGCCTGCCCAAGTTGGGATATCAACTTTACAGAAATATTTGTATATGCTAGTCTAATGCTCTGCAGTAAATTTTTTTAATATATCAGCATGACTTTGTTCATTTCTGGCATTAAATAACCACATGTACCTACATTGAAGATGATATGCAGAACCACCTGTGTAGAAAATAATGGTGCATGTGTACAGAAGGAAAATGTATTAAAAAAGGAAAATCAGCACAAGTGCTTTATGATTTCATAATTTTTATGTGTGCTTTTTAGTGTTAATCAGAAATAGATATTGGATCTTTAACTTGTCATCTATCAGTTTTTCAAGCTTTTACTACAAGGGAAAGTCCTACACCTTTAATGAACACTTCTCTCAATCCCTATGCATCAGGGACCCGTCTTATAAAGATTTTATGTTAATCGCAACTTATTTGCGATTGATATCGCAGCTATGTACAAAAGAGATAGGACACTACAAACTTGCATTAGATTGGAGGACTTGTGAGTGATCGGAGGACTTCCTTGTTGTTGTTGTTGAGAATAATGGCGTTTCCATCGTCATTGGATGATTTTCGCAAATTAATTTGGATCAAAAGCACCTCTTTATGAGACAGGCCCCAGTTCTAGACTAATAACAGTTATTTTCACATGAATGGTTAATTTTGTTTTTTAATTTTACCTGTGCTAGCAGGGTTACATGACAGTCCAGGTTGGGTTGGGTTCCCCTCATATCCAGAAGCACACCTGTTGGTTTCAAGCAAAACAATTAAATTAACTATATGAACATTGAAAATGCATTCAGGTATGTTTATGCTTACCTTAGGCAAAGCACATTGGTAAAGAAGCACCAAATACCATTTGAATGTTCAATCTTTATAAGCTAGAGTAACATTGGAGTGCATTAAGCCTTGATTACTTCATGACTGCTTCATATGGGTGCTGCTGCACAAGACACCAATATTAACATTTGTGGATGCTTTTGATCAACTTCAGCATGTACAGTAGTATCTAGCAGTATTAGGGAATACAGAAAAGTCTTACCAATGCTATATCTACGACTTAGCATTTTCTGGTATTTTCATACTCTTTTTAAATCATTAACCCAACAGAGATATGACAATAACTAAAGAAAGAATATTTCTTTGGCATAGTTATTATTTGAATTTTAAGAAGTTGGTATAATATTGAAGTGCCTTGAGCACATGATAAGCGCTGAATATGGGCACTAAAAACGAAACCTACAACAGTTTTTTTATTCAGTATCTACTATCAACCCTTTTGATAATGCATTGTCCACAATTGTACAAGCATTGCTTTTTAGTGGACCCCTCTGTTTCCAAAATGTATTCCTAAATTGTTGTAAATTTTTATAGTTGATGTGTAATGTTTTGTTGGAAACATAAATAAATTCAATTTAATTGAATTAAATTGAATAATATTGCATTTTGAAAAGGTTATTTGTTTTCTCTCTGACCTTTCACATCTCCTCCCAGTGTATCCTTGTTGACATGCTGTACAGGTCAGACGGCCATCAGTGTCCAAGATGCAGGTGGGAGAGAATCTAAAGGAATATTACCAACAAAAAACAGTGATGACCATCCCAGAATAATGAAAAAAGAATCTTTGAAAAAAAGAAATCATCAGAAATTAACTATAGGTGTAAAATGTACCGGTAGATGTCCAATTCTTACTTAACACGAATAAAAATCAACAGAAATTGATGAAAACTTAATTTACACTTTGAAATTATATTTGAAAATTAAAAAATAAACATGTCATCCAAACACATTTTAGTTCCTTCAACTTTTTTACAATGAGCAATATTCAATTTGAAAAGGAGTATAACTTACATGTCATAACAGATCATTGTCAACTGGTTTTGTTTTGTTTTATACACCTACTAAAAACTAAAAACATTCAGGCAAAAATCCATTGCAGAACCAAGAGGCAAAGACCTGCACAGATATTACAGGGGGTGTTTCACCAAGATCCTAAGTCAAACTTAACTCTAAGTTGGACTTAAACATTATGGAGAGCCATGTGTAGCCTTAAAATAAAATATATTCTAAATCCAAAAGTGAAGTATTTTAGACTTTTTATAAATTTCACATAAAGAATATGAAATCTACTTGATAGTAGAAAATATGAATGATTTGAATCAAAATTTTATGCCTTTTAAAAAAGCTTTTACTCAATATTTTCATAGATGCTAACTGCTTTCCATAATTGTTAAGTCCAACTAAGAGATAAGTTCAACTTAGGATCTTAGTGAAACACCCCCCAGGAATGAAATGGTATTTATAAGATTCAACTCACTGGTTTGAAGGGATGGAGAGGGGGCAAGCACACTGGCGACAATCACCAGGAGTACCGGATGTTGCATCGCCATAGAAACCAGCTCCGCACTGGTCACAGTATGGACCAAACGTGTTGTGGACACAGTTCTAAGGATTTGGAAATAAAAAAAAGTTAGATGCTGCTTATAAGTATCAGCTTGCATGTTGATGTAGATATACAGTAGGCTTAGGGTTGCACCATGTGAGAGAGGGGGAGGATTGGAGAGTCCTGAAATAAAAGTTATATCCATGAAAATTTCAACCAATTGCATCAAATTTCAAACCAGAAGTTTCTACGTGAAACATAAACCTTTAACACTTGCTAAGAAATTGATGAACAGGATCTCTCATGTTACATGAATGTCAAGAGTTATGTTTTAATAGGGAATGTGAAATCCAATAATTTACCTTCACAATCTACAGAAAAAAAGTGATTCAAACATACTTATTCTCACAGTTTTTAACAGGTAAGTATAAATGAAAGGATACATATTGTAACTATGTAACTATACTAATACAAGAGTACTGATTATAAGAGGAGCCACCTATATCGATCCTGTATGCTTTCATATTGTGTCACAAGTTGAGTTTGAAGTTATTATGAGGAAACACGTTTTGATGAAGTCCTATCAAATGTCAAATCATTCAGAAGACTGGAAATCTTCATTAGCACAACCCCCAAAGAAACAATCACTTCAATTGTCAAACAGATGTGTCAAATGAGTTAATTAAGCAGTATACTTACATAGCAGACTCCTGTTTCTGGGTCACACTGGTTAGAATGGCCGTTGCACTCGCAAGGCACACACGTTCCAAGGTAGAGACCGCCTCCTGATCGGGTGAAACCTGGAGCACAGTCCTGACAAGACAACATTTCATCTTCTGCTATTTGATTGTTTGTTTTAGTTGACTGCTATGAAAGCATGTGTATGCTAATAAGTAAGCAACCAGGGGACCGGTGGCTTTAAGTACTCTCCGAGGGACTTGGTAATGGAGATCAATGCCTTACCAAAGGGCACTAGGGCATTGACTTGGTTTTGAACCCAGGACCTCTAAGTTACGAGACCACTGCTCTATCACTGAGCCATCGCGCATCCAGGTCATTGAATGCCATCTAACAGAGCAGAAGGTCAGGATGGCCTTTATCATGGTTTAATTTTATTATACCAGGTAAATCGTAAGCATAACTTTTAGGATCATTGGTGATAGCTTTGGAGGTTTTTCTTCAAAAATGTAGGTTTAGGGTTGCGATTAACATTTTTGGTTTATGTTCCATGGGCGATGTTTTGATCATCGTCACCATCATCATCATCACCATCACCATCCCCATCATCATCATCACCATCACCATCACCATCATTATCACCATCAACGTCACCATCACCATCATCATCTTCAATATCACTGCTCAAGTCACAAAATTTGTGTATCTCACCTCACAAGATAGACCATTGTAACCCTGTGGACAATCGCATCTCTCAACTTCCAACGCCACATTCTGGCCCGTGTTCTGAGAAACTGCATAGAAGAGAATTCACAAATCATGTCAGCAAACTTCATAAGGCATGTTTAAGTGTTTAAAAAAACAGAGCAAAAGAAAAAAACAAAAAAGAATGGTTGCAAAGCTGAAAATCAAAGGGATTGGGGAACTGTGTCCCAGATTCGGAAACAAAATCCTAGATTTAGCTCATAATTATAAACCTTAAGGTCAGTCAGGAACCCCATGACTTTTACAAGCTGATCGCCAAGATTATCAAGATATTCATGATTGGAAATCAAAATTTAAAAATGTGTTTTCCAAACGGTTTTTATAACACCAAAGTCTATTGGGGACAATGAGTACCGTATAGTAAAACCGGTCATTCAGAGATTTTTACTTTTATGAGGCAATTCATGATCATTTTGAAGTGCAATTTTTTTAGGGCTTCAATATTACACCATATCACAGACACTGATAACATGAAGGGCCATGCATCTCAAATTTAACATTGTTAAACGATGCCTATAAGTCAAAATGGACCCTTATGTAGAGATGAGGTTATTCTTACTCGCAATGTCGAGGGCGACATTCCTGATGCTGCTCTCCTGCATGTCACTGTGGTAGGATGCACGGATGAGGATGTTGCTCAGATCGGCAAGGGCCATCAGAAGATGCTCTCTGGTTGCCGGGTTACCGTCTGGACGAACAAAGTTATCCTGCAGTGACAACATGAAGAGAGGTGGATGAAGGAGTGCATATTTAAAAGGTTAAGATATACATATTATGGCATGGAAATAAAAGATGAGGAAGAAGAAGGAAAGAAGGAGGAGAGAAAGACTATAAGGAGGAAGAAGAAAAGGGAGGAGAAACTGAAGGAGAGGGATGAAGGGAAAGAAGATCCAAAGAATAAGGATCATCATCATCATCACAATTATTACCATCAGCAGAAGAAGAAACATAAATGGAGGAAGATAGAAGATAGATAGAAGGAAAAGATCAGAGTTAAACAGATAAGAAGATCCAAAGAATAAGGATCATCATCATCACAAATATCACCATCATCAGAAGAAGCAAAATAGATGGAGAAGAGGAATTAGAGGATGATTGTGAAAATCTGCAATACCAAAAAGAGGAATGGCATAAGGAGATAGAAGAAAGAAGAAGGAAAAAGAAAGATCAGAGTTAAACAGAAAAGAAGATCTGAAGAGTAAGGATCATCATTATCACTAATATCATCACCATCAGAAGAAAAAAATCAAGCTAGAGAAGAGAAATAAGATTAAGATGGTGAAATTCTGCAACACCAAAGAGAGGAAGAGCATGAAAGAAGAAGGAAAAAGAAAGATCAGAGTTAAACAGAAAAGAAGATAATAAAAAAAGAAAATAAAGATCATCATCATCACAAATATCATTAACATTATAAGAAGAAACTCAAGACAGAGGAAAAGAGGAATAAGATGATGACGGTGAAGATCTGCAACACCAAAAGAGGAATGGCATGAGAGGAGATAGAAGATAGAAGAAAAAAAGTCAGAGGTAAACAGAAAAGAAAGGGGAAAATCTGATATGAAGAGTGACCATACCTCAACAATCTGGAATACTACAGGACGAGCTTCATCTGGCTCCAGGTTAGTTGGCTGTCTGTACACCAAGACAATATCATTACCCTAAGAAAAGAAGAGAAAACACATTTTCAAAATTAAGATTGCATAGAGATATGCAAACAACAAGCAAAAAATGTTCACTACATTATCATGGGAATTTCATGAGGAAAGCATTAAATTATCAAAACAATAAGAAGAGTATACAGTATATGTAGATTAAAATTAGAAAATAAAGCACTATAACAACATTTCTAGTGCTGCCAATTTGAGGAAGAGCTGATGATTTTTTTATCCTAAAATATTTGAGTCATGTCTTGACTTTCTAATAACCTTCTACTGTGACAACAAGAGGCAGTTTATGATTCTGAATATGAAATTTAACATCTAAAGGTTCTTCCCTACTGAATATTATATTAGTTACACAGGAATGGGCTTGTTTAGTGTGACTTCGTAAAGTTGACACCTTTCAAATACTTACGGTGATCTCTACGTCGTTATCGGAGATGGGGTTTCCCCTAGCCTGGGAGGTGGAGTAGCTTACGGTATACCTCAGGTAGCCACCATAGGCTGTGATCTACACGTGCAGGAAATGAATAGAACAAAGGAACAAAAATGCCAGTGATTAAGAGAACCAAAGAGGGAGAAAATAAATGTACATAACTCGTTCTGTGCCCAGCGAAAAACACATTCTAATTTTTGTCCATTATGTAAGTAAAGTACATCTATGTAATACAATTTAAAAACTAACCAGTTTATTAATTTGGAAATAACTTTTTTCCACAAGCACAATCATATGTTGATGTAACCTGCAAAATGCTTCTGTTCTCCATACACCATCCATCTGGTATTTTTTTTATACAAGTTCAGAAAAATTCAAGCAAGTGTAAACACTGTACACTGGGGAGTGAGGGCAGATTGGTATGGGTGTGGGGGAGGGGGGAGTTTACCTGGTTACCCCTGTACTTAGGGGGAAGTTCCCAGTAGTACACATCACCAGGTAGCTGGTTGAATTGAGAGAAGGCGATGCTGTTGGAAGGTACGTTAATTCCGAACCCTGTTGTGATCCTCTGTGTCTGTGCTCGGTTAACGAGGGCTACATCACGGGGGTCAGACGGAGACTGGAGTGTGACACGGAGCTGGATAAAATAGAGATAAAGATGAACATTTGAAAGAAGTCTGCAAAGAGCTTGATGCCTAAAATGCATAATACAGTCAAACCTGCTTTAGTGACCATCTGTCTACAAAGGCCACATTTGTTGTTTCCCTTGAAAATGGTTTTTCATTGAATCATGTACTAAAGGAACCTGTCTACAAAGACCACTTTTTGTGTTTCCCTTGGGCGGTCGCTATAGACAGGTTTGACTGCAGTTTGTTTTTGAAAATTTCTTGGGTATAATTTTTTAATTTGTAGACAAATTTACTTTCTCTCGTTCTAGATATTTTCATATTGTGAACATCTGATCATGAATGAACCTACACTGAATCTAACTGAAAAGAATGAATGAAATCTAAATAGAATAGAATAAATAATTGAACTGAAATAAACTTAGCAGAATTAAAATGAACTCCAAAGCACTTGAGCAAATGACAGAACCTTAATTTAGGTAATTAACTTGACAGGTCTAAGATATATGTACACTAAACTCAACTGAACTAAAGTGACCTAAAATATAAACTGAGCCTAATTGAAATGCACTTACTAGGACTGAACTGAACTGATCTGATCTGAGCTGAACTGAACTGATCTGATCTGAGCTGAACTGAACTGAACTGATCTGAGCTGAACTGAACTGATCTGATCTGATCTGAGCTGAACTGAACTGAACTGATCTGAGCTAAACTAAACTAAACTAAACTGATCTGATCTGAACTGAACTGAACTGAACTGATCTGAGCTGAACTGATCTGATCTAAACTGATCTGATCAGAGATGAGCTGAATTGAATTAAACTGAACTAAATTGAACTACACTAAACTGAACAGAATAAACTGGACTGACCTAAATTGAGATGAACTGAACTGAATTGAACTTAACAAAATTGGACTGAACTGAATTGAACTGAACAGAATTTAACCAAGGATGAACTTAACTAAACTGAACTGAACTAGATTGAATCAACCTGACCTGAACTAAACTGAACTGGACTGAATGGAACTGAACTGACCTGAACTGGACATAAATGCAAGTAAATTCAATAAATCCTTACTTGTTGCCTGTAGTAACTGGAGCTGGAGCATGGGACCGATAACCCTGAGCAAAAACATCTGGTACATCCCTCTTGGTTGCTAGATGCAAGGTTGAAGAAACCTGGTTGGCAAAAGTTACAGCTATCTCCTCCAACATTGTCCTTTATCATCAAACAACAAGAGGGAACAGAGGATAACAATTCAATGAAATGTAGTTTTAATACAATGCTTTTGTGCCTCTAAATTAAAATGAATGAGTTTTTTTCAATGGTCAAATATATACACATATATTGTACATTATAAATTTACCTTCAACAAGACCAGAGGGGTGTTTCACAAAGATCCTAAGTTGTACTGAACTATTATGGAAAGCTGTTAGCATCTATGAAAATATTTTGTAAAAGTTATATTAAAAGGCATAACATGTTGATTCAAATCAATCATATTTTCTATTATCAAGGGGATTTCATGATCCTGATAAAAAGTCAAAAATACTTGAACTTTTACTTTTGAATATGTCTTGTCTTAAGGCTACAAATGGCTCTCCATAATTTTGAAGTCCAACTTAGAGTTAAGTTCAACTTAGGATCTTTGTGAAACACCCCCCTGGAATTTAAATGGTTGTACATGTATTCTGTAACACATATTCCATTTTAAAGATCTCAATATAACCTGAATGTAAGAAGATATAATACGTTTCATCTACATGGAATAAAAATAGAAGCTGAAAACATTTTCTCATGATAATTTAGATTTGTGACAAATTTTATATGTCCAAAAAGATTCAAGATATTGCATCATATTTACTATTCCTTGCCCTTTTAAACCAAAATGGTCCTATTAAGTGATCTTACCTTGCAGTCACAGCGGCCATTAAAGCACTGTGATGATCTGGTTCCCCTTCCATCACACTGACAACCACCTGCAACAACAAAAACAGTATTACTTGATGATGACATCTTCCTACACTTGTCTGCTGCTGTATAAGTCATGGAACTCACTGAACAACTCATCATTTTCTTTTTTAAGTAATCTCTGTCTTCCTCTGTTTAGTTTTCTCTCAACTTTCCCCTAAACTTTACTAGGTCTACTTACATTGTATATTCTCCATTTCAATAAATCAAGAACTTCTTGATTTCATACTTTTGTCTTTTTTTTTTCTTCAGAAGTACATGTACAGTATATGAATATAGAGTAACATATATGTACATATAATCTTGGAAAGTTGATGTGTTCATGTAATTCTTGGGGACTGTTTATTGTTTTATATAACTATATACATGTACATGTATATGCATATTAGACTGTACTTAATGTAACTTATTTGATTCTCAGAGAAGAAAAAAAACAGTTGACCAGAACAAAGCGCCCCCTTTCCCTTCACCTACCAACCCCAAGTCTAATGATACTTCTCAGCACTATCTTACACATATTTAGCACCCTGAATTAAATGAATCAATCAGAACAGCTCTTTTCAAGGTGGAAAAAACTAAGAAAAAAAAGTGACGAGTAAAAAAAAAAAAAAAAAGTGATGAGTAAAAAAAAAAAAAAGAAGCCATACCTTCAGGTCTGCAATAATCTCCTTCTCTGGCTGGGTCTCCGATGTAACCTTGTGCACAGCTTCAGGGGAGATACAAGATACAAATTGCTTTTACTTATGTTTCTTACATGCAGTTTAAAATGGATGAAAGCATGTGACAACAGAGGTGTATATAATACAAACATTTCTTTTTTTTTAAGCAACTCAAGGTAATGATTAGCTGATAAAATGGTGATAATATCAGGTAGAGTCGGTACATTTAGATCAAATTTTGTTCAAATTTTGTACACTAATCAGAACACTGCAACTTCCTCATTTGACTGATTTCAAAATGTGACTTTTCCTGACTTCCTAAAACACTTCAAAGCTTTCTGACTCTTATCATTAACAAAAAATATTCTGTATGACATGACTTCAACCAAAATATTTGACTTATAGGAATTACTGATATGTTAAAGTAGTCACCCAAAGAAAATTCATGACAACTGATAATTACGGACAAATTACATTTGGATGGAAAGATTTTCTCTTGAATAAACACAAATAATTTGCTGAAAAATCATATAGATATCATGGAAAGGTGTAAAATGCTTTGTGGCTAGCTGTGTCTCGCATGTGACGTCACATATCTTGACGCTCTACAGAGGACCACTGAAGGCAGAAAATCTGGATCTCAAAACTAACATTTTTGAGAAATGATTACTGCGGGCCCCAAACATATTTGGAGATGGAAATTGTTATATTTGATCAGTAAGGCTTCCCCTTCGCAATGATATGAATTTGGCATCGATTCAAAACACTTTTGATTCTTCGGGTGACTACTTTGAAGAAATTCATTTGAAAGATTGAACTTACCTTTCACATCGCCTTCCAGTGTAACCTTCAGGACATGAGTCACAAGTCAGATCATTGTCATAGTCCAGGAAACAAGTTGGTGAGAATCTAGAAAGAGTTTAAAAATAAGACGAAGCAAATTACAAGCAATCCTTTCTAATGACAATTTTTAAAATAAAATATTATAATTGCTGTGACAACATCATCATCATCATTAGTGGAAAAAAAATCAAATCATATTGTCACCTAGGAAACAGGCTGGTGAGAAGGTCGAGGAAGGTTCAAAGTATAGGGTGAAAGCAAATCACTATTTATCCTCTAACTTTTTTCTTTTCAATTCAAATTAGGTTTTATTCAATTTTGTCATAAAGTCCAAAGACTTCAAATGTGAGTTTACATCATACATGCAATTATATAAAAAATACATTCAAAAACATATATGTATAAAGAATGACAATGACATATTACATTTTGAAATCAACTCAACTCATATCTAAATCTATAATTTATACTTCTAACACAAAATACAATCATCATTTTTCTATTCAAATTGTAGTGTCAACAATTGTCAATCACTCAAGAGATGGCTGACAAAAGGAAAGAGGTTTGCGTATCCCAAGGAGTTCCTAAAACTCACATGCAGATATGCCATGAATAAGAGAGCCGCACAAAAATCATGTATGAATACAAAGTGAACTTACTGGTTGGATGGGATCGCGAGAGGGCAGGTACAAGGCAGACATCTTCCTCCCTGAGTCGGGTTGCCATAGTAACCCGGTGCACACTGGTCACAGAAGCGTCCCATGGTATTGTCTTGACAGTTCTGAAAAAGAAATGTGGATGGATGGATTCTAATGTCATTGTTGCACACTAAACCACTTCAAACATCATTTTTTATAATTGGCAAATACCTGTCAATGTACCTAAATGGTTTGTCTGAAAAACTACACATTTCGGAAGCATGACTCTGACTCTGTGCGCTTTGGTGTAAAAGTATGAATTACAGTTCTTATGAAAAGTAAAATTTAGTTCTTCGTTATAATAAGATCATGCTTCTTGCTTATTTCTCTTTCATTATCATTCAGAAATCACATCAACAGTTTAAAAATTTCCACAGAAAAAAATCATGCCACGCAGTCGTAATGTTCAGCTATATTGCCCGACAAAGCAGTTACAACAACTTAGATATCAGAGATATTCCTTTAGAGTAAACAAAACATCTGCTTAGTATATGTATATGCTCCAGTATGAAGTACAAAGAAAATGAACCAGTACAATCAATTACAAAATTCTAATAGGGGAGATTAAAAAAAATCAACCTATCATTCATACTAACCCTGCACTCCCCTGTTTCTGGGTGGCAATCAGTGGAACGCCCGTTACACTCACAGCGAGAACAGAAGCCTAGGTAGATACCACTCCCTGAACGGGTGAAGCCAACATCACAATCCTGGAGGGGCAAAGGGGTAACATAATAGGCTTGGATTTGACAGTTGGCTTCTAGTTTATGGTAGTGTTCTTAGTCTATCATCTACTCATTCTGTATTCATTGTGAGGAAAAACAAAACATGTAACCCCACAGAATCTAAACTGTTGAAAAGAATATAAATTAGTAAGTTTTTCTCCATACCTTTTCAAATATGTGATGCTGGACACACCTTCATATTACAGTAGTCGAGAATTAATATGATGGTATTTAATTGATTTCTTATTTTGTTAATATCGGATGTTTCATCATGTTGCTAGGTGGATAGTACACGTACATTTAGTTTCCGGAAGTTAAAATGTGCAAGTTATACAATGAAAAAGTGAATTAATTAAATTTGCTTAATTTCATTCTTCCTCTGAAATAGAAACCTACAATTATTTGTATTTAGTTGAATTCCACTTGTCAGATATGACTTGGAAAGGAATATTAAAGAGCATTACCTCACATGAAAGGCCCCTGTAGCCATAAGGACATGTACACTGTTCCACGGCAAATGCTCTACCCTGGCCGGTGTTCCTGGCTTCAGCGATGTCCATGCTTATATCCCTGATACTGCACAAGGGAGGGAGAGATATCAACTAGTCACTTCAAATGATATATGTAATTCACCTATTTACAATATATAGCTAAAACTAGAATTAATGACACATAGTGCTTATCCAAAGGATCTGAACGACAAGCACCAAACCATGAGCAGCAGCAGCAGAAGCATGTTAGTCACCATCTCAAAGTTCATACACTTTAGTCATCATCTACACAGTCATTACAGTTGTCATAATCACTATCATCATCATCATCATCATCATCATCATCATCATCATCATCATCATCATCATCGTCATCACCATCACCACCTTCATCACCATTTTCTTCATCATAATCATTTTCATCTACTTTTTTTTTTTTCTTCACATTCTTCTTATTCACCATTTGTATTATCACCATTATCATAACCACCATCAAAAACATCTTCCTCTTCATCATCATCATCATCCTCATCTTCATCATCGTCCTCATCCTCATCCTCATCCTCATCACCAATCATCACATTACAATATCCACTAACAACCATATCACTACCAACTCTACCTTATATTTCAATTATCTCTATTGTAACATAACAATAGCTACCATATTTTATATTTCAAATAATCGTTACAAGTTCAATATCATCATTACAATATCACGCATCATCATCATCATCCTCATTACTATGATCATCATCATTATAATCATCATTATCATCATCACAATGATCACCATGGCTACTCTACTGAGGGACGGGACCAATACTTACCCCGACACAGTTGTGAAGGAGTTGTAGGTTGCCCTGATGATAATGTAATCCAAATCAGCTAACGCCATCATCAGGTTCTCCCTGTTGGCTGGCTCGAAATCGACACGAGTCCAATATTGCTGAACACAAGAACAACCATAGGATTGGTATAATATTAATAATAATAATAGGCATTTCTATAGCGCCATCTATCTAGAAATTCTATTCCGAGGCACACTAATTATTACCCCGGCTTTAGCCTAGCTGCCATTACAGCGCTCCAGCATTTCAAGGAATTAATTCCTGTCAGGTACCTCACCTGGGTCGAGAGTGGCAAATGAAGATTAATGCCTTGCCAAAGGACATTAGTGCTGTGTCTGGGATCAAACCACGACCTTTGAATTTCAAGTCAAGTGCTTAAACCACTCGACTAGACTAGGATATGTGTAGGATTATCATTTAAATTGACTAAAATATTTACTAGTATAAAATCTGAATTTTTTAATAATCACAATTTTGAAGACATGTAGGAATATCTAATCAAATGTCAAACTTTTAAAATTGGGCTGATGATATAACATGACTTTCAGCCAAATCACTGATATTGATGAGATTTCAAAAATCCCAAGATTTGTATTTTTAGTGGTTTAGGAGGCAGTGTACATGTACATGAGTATATGTAGGCAAACAGGGCTATAGTAAATAGCGGTTATGTAACTGATATTATGAGATGATGACGTGGATCCTAATCGAATGATTGGTTGAAGGCGTCACGTGACCAGGCATTTATTTTGCCTTACGCGTAATTTGGATAATGACCGGTCGTTATCCAATGGTAATGACCGGTCATTATCAAAATCATGTTATAGAACATCATTTTATGAAACAAATAAAACATAATCTTATAAAGAAAATAATACACATCATTTTTTTCAGGCATTAATAAAATTACCCTCACTCCGTACTTTCAAAACAGTCCAAACGTTAGACTGTTCCAAAGGTACCTCGTGTGGTTAATTCTTACTAATGCCTTCACTGCTGTGTATTATTTGTATAATACTACACTGCGAAAACAAAACTACTTATAGATAAATAAATCTGATGTCTTTGGAAGATTTTGCCTCTCACTGGACTGAACAGATGGCTTTCTTACCTCAAGGAAGGGAACTCTGAATGGAGTCTCCGTTCTTGACGATACTATCGTACCCTGCCTGTCACGGTTGTATACCAAGGTAATCCCGTTACCCTGAAATAAATCAATCAGTTCAATATTAGGTGATACGTTAGCTCTTAGGGCTTGTTCAGATATGGCATGGAAAACTGCCCCCCAAAAAAACATTTTAAAAAATTTTAAAAATAAATGACAACTGCGTCTGACAAAGGACTCGTGCGTATACACTGAGCACTGTGTTATAAGAGCAATGTGAAACATACTGTATGACACTGTAGGTCATCATAGAAAAATAAAAAGTGTCATACCTGACCGGGCCTTAACTGTACGAATGGGTTTGCTCGTTTCAATATTTTACCAAAACAGAAACCATGCTTGCACGTAATTTTCCAACGCTTCTTCTTCTTCGATCATGCAGCGTACAAAAGTTGTATGAAATGTATTACCCCCTTCATATGACACTATACAATGTAGTGTCTTATATTCAGTTTCATGAATGCAAAAATATTGTAAATCATCCTGCATTTTCTTTTAGCCTGATCTTCGTGCATACTGGAATTAGAATTTCAACCATAACAAAATAAACATACATTAGACAATACCACATAAATAAGCCTCCTCGTTGACCTAATTTCCTAAAAACACAGTCATATTGCATACACTTACTGAGATTTCAACATCTGGTACACGCTGTGAACTCGCTCCTTGTTGGTCAACACCATCAATGACGATGGTATATCTCAAATACCCTCCATAAGATGAAACCTGGTAAAGAGAAAACAAAGCAAAATATAACAGAACAGGTACAAGGGATCGGAGATTGGTAATCAGGGCATACTCACAGAGGTAGAAAGCTTGACGTATATTGTGGATAAGATAAATAACATGTTACACTAGTTTGTTTTTTCTTTATATCTCTCTCTGTCTATCTTTCTATGTTTATATACATGTATATAAATATCTGCACCCCCCCCCCCCTTCTCTCTCTCTCTCTCTCTCTTTGTGTGTAATATATGAATAACTTCCCTTTTAAAATCTCTCTCTACTCTCTCTCTCTCTCTCTCTGTCTTTGTGTTTAATATATGAATATCTTCCCTTCTATATATCTCTCTCTACTATCTCTCTCTGTCTATCATATACGTGTATGAATACCCCATCTCTCCCCCTCTCTCTCTCTCTCTCTAATAAATGATATTCTTCTCATCTCTCTCTCTTTCTCCTAATTGTGTATGTCTGTCTCTCAGTCTCTTTTTCTGTCTAAGATATGAACCTTCAATTTGTTGTTTTCTCTCTCTCTCTATCTCTATTGGATATATGTATATCTTCCATTCTATCTCTCTCTGATAAATAAATAAATGAAAATCTCCATTCGTTTTTTTCTCTCTCTATCGGATACATGAATATCTTCCTCTCTCTCTCTCTCTCTCTCTCTTTCTCTCTCTGATACATGAATATATTCCTTTCTATCTCTCTCTCTTTCTCTCTCTCTCTGATAAACAAATTTCTTCCTATCTCCCACTTTCTCCTTTTTTATGTCTGTCTCTCAGTCAGTCTCTCTTTTTCTGTCTAATATATGAATATCTCCATTTTTTTTCTCTTTCTAATGGATATTTGAATATCTTTCATTCTATCTCTCTATCTATTTATCTCCCTCTCTCTCTGATAAAAGAATTTCGACCTATCTCTCTATTTGTTCTTTGTTTGTATGTCTGTCTCTCAGTCTCTTTTTCTGTCTAATATATGAATATCTTTCCTTCTCTCTCTCTTTTTCTCTCTCTCTCTCTCCGATAAATGAATTTCTTCCTATCCCTCTCTTCCTCCTTTTCTTGAATGTCTGTCTCTCAGTCTCTCTTTTTCTGTCTAATATATGAATATCTCCATTTCTTTTTTCTCTTTCTCTATCGGATATATGAATATCTTCCCTTCTACCTTTCTCTCTCTCTCTCTCTGTCTCTCTCTATCTGTCTCTCTATGTCTCTCTCTCTGATAAAGGAATTTCTTCCTATCTCTCTCTCTTTCTTTTGTTGTTGTATGTCTGTCTCTCAGTCTCTCTTTTTCAGTCTTCTCTCTTTTCTGTCTTATATATGAACACTCATTTGTATTTTTCTCTCTCTCTCCCTCTATCGATATATGAACAACTACCCTCTCTCTCTCTCTCTCTCTCTCTTTCTTTGCAGTCTTACCCTGTCGCCTAAGAAGCGGTAGGGAAGAACCCAGAAGTAGACATCCGCTGGGAGGTTGTTGAAGCCACCGTAGACAAGCTCCCTCTGTCTGTAGTTAACCGTCAGGTCCTGCGAGGTGACGTTTTCTGTGAAGTCTCGATTGTTGAGGGTGAGCCCTTGGCCATCACGAGAGAACTCTGCATTGACCTAATGGTGTTGGAACAAGGAAGGAATAAAGAGAAATGATTTGGAAAACATTCCTGGGATCTGGCTTGGCTTCAACAATTTATTAGTTTTACTTACTACTAATCATAGGTAAGAATTTCATAATGGATCTGAATTTGAGACTTAATTAAGGGTTGAGGGTTTAATTATTATCATCCTCTTCATTGTCATCTCTATCATCATAACCCAAAACCAATATTCTAATCCTCACATTTTACCATAACCCAGCAACCCTCACCCTTACATGAACCCAGACCTTCATTCTTACCCCCACTCTCACCCACACCCTCATCCTCACCCACAACTTCGGTCAACTCTTCATCTTTATGTCAGGTGACCTAATCCTCTACACCTTGATTATACACTCTCACCCACAGCACCATCTTCACCCACACCATCATACTCAACACACCCACACTTTCACCCACACCCTCATGCTTGATCAACTCCTCATCTTCATGTCCTGTAACCTAATCATCTACACCCTAACTATATACTCTCACCCACAGCACCATCCTCACCCACACCATCATACTCAACACACCCACAATCTCACTCACACCCTCGATCAACTCCTCATCTTCATGTCCTGTAACGTAATCCTTTACACCTTTACTATATACTCTCACCCACAGCAAATCATCCTCACCCACACCATCATACTCAACACACCCACAATCTCACTCACACCCTCGATCAACTCCTCATCTTCATGTCCTTTAACCTAATCCTCAACACCTTTACTATATACTCTCATCCACAGCACCATCTTCACCCACACCATCATACTCAACTCACCCACAATCTCACTCACACCCTCGATCAACTCCTCATCTTCATGTCCTGTAACCTAATCCTCAACACCTTTACTATATACTCTCACCCACAGCACCATCTTCACCCACACCATCATACTCAACACACCCACACTTTCACCCACACCCTCATGCTTGATCAACTCCTCATCTTCATGTCCTTTAACCTAATCCTCAACACCTTTACTATATACTCTCACCCACAGCACCATCTTCACCCACACCATCATACTCAACTCACCCACAATCTCACCCACACCCTCGATCAACTCCTCATCTTCGTGTCCTGTAACCTAATCCTCTACACCCTAACTATATACACTCACCCACAGCATCATCCTCATTCCTCACCCACACAATCATTCCCACCCACACCCACACTCTCACCCACACCCTCATCCTTAGTCATGTAACCTAATGTGTGTGTGTGTGTGTGTATTGGGTTTTTACAGATGTGTATCAATCAGATATGGTTATTTACCTCTGGGGATCGACCTTTTAACGTCACCATCCAAAAGACGTGGGTCAGTTTTGAACCTGCGTCCTCGGCTGAATCAGTTTATAACTTCCATTGTTAGCTGGATTACAGGCGCACGCCACAACGCCTAGTTATGTAACCTAATCCTCTACACCTTAACTATATATACTCTCATCCACATCCACACCCACACCATCATACTCACCACACCCACACTCTCACCCACACCCACACCCTCGATCAACTCCTCATCTTCATGTCAGGTAACCTAATACTATACACCTTAACTATATGCTCTCACATACAACATCATTCTCACCCACACCATCATTCTCACATACACCCTCATACTCATCACACCCACACTCTCCCCCACACCCTCATCCTTGATCAACTCCTCATCTTCATGTCCTATTATCTAATCCTCTACACCTAACTATATACTACACCCACATCATCATCCTCACCCACGCCATCATCTCATCCACACCCTCATCTTAACCCACCTCTAAACCTTTAGCCATCCCCTCCCGATCAATCACCATCACCACTACACTACCACAACCATCAACATCATCCTCACCATCAGCATCAAGATCAGACGTACCTGTGATCTATACTGTACAGTGCTGTCACAGTCTGTGGTTATTCCCATACAGAAGCACCTGATGCAGCCATACTGGTGATCTGGGGCCAGATTGAACGTTCCTGATCTGCACTGGTCACATAGAACACCATCTGTGTTATCCTGGAGAAAACAAAGCATCAAGAAAACTTTACTTGCAATATCTTGTGTATGCTGTTTCTCTAAATGAAAACATTTAATCAATATAAAACAGACTGCTGAAAAATTCACATATCTTCACATTTAAACAAATTTTACTTCGTCGCCTGGAAGGTAAGAGGGTAAACAAAAAATATATGGTAAGATAGAAAATTGACACCACAAATAAAACAGTGTTTCAAAAGATGATTACAAAAGATAAACTTTGAGAGATGACAACAGACAGTGAAATTAACTCCTGTCTATCAACGAGCAAATTAAGGATGGACAAAGTTAAAACACAAGATGATAGCTGCACTGACAGCCAAACACTATTCGAGAAATACGAAAGATGCACAAGATTAGAGAAAGAAGTAGAAAGAGAGAAGAGGAAGATAAAAAAAGAGAGAGGGTGAATATGAGATATAAAATAGAGAGAGATGGGGAGAGAAGTGGGTGAAGAAGAAACAGATATAGGCCAAGAGGGGAAAGAAGATTAAAGAAAAATTTGAGATTGAAATGAAATGAAATGAAATATAAATCAATACAGAGACTGAAATCACAAGATAAAGAGGGGGAATTATGACAGAGACTGAAAGAGACGAGTAGTAGAAGGGCAAAAATAAAGAATAAGAGCTACATCTTACTTTACAGAGACAATTTGATCCTGTCCATGCCAGGCTACCATCAACATTGCAGTCACCCAAGCTATCAGGGACACAGGAATCTCCTTCCACAGTTGGATTGCCCATGTAGTTAGCAGAACATCTGGAACAGTGAGGAAAAACCAATTAAACAAATTAACATAGGAATCTGATTTTTGAAAGTGATCAGACTAAAAAGGAAACAAAAATTTGTTTACTTGAGTTACTTTTCCTTCAACAGATCATTTTGAAAAATTTGGTACATTACATTTCACATGGAACTTTTATTTTGCAATTCAACATTTAAAACTTGTAGACTTACTAAAGGCTTTACATTGCACAATGTCATATAAGCACCAAATACCATAAATGAACTTAAGCCTCACAATTTAAACATATGATATGAATAAATATTAAAACAGTTTTTCAGATATGGTATAACCCACAGTAATATTCAAAAATTATAGGAAATTCATTTCCATTCTCCACATGGACTATCACATTTTCCACTCCATTTTTCTATCCTTCCAACACTCCGATCCTTGATCTTCTAAATACAAACTCAATGTACTCAATCTTTATTCTCTACTTAGTTGTTGCTCCGTTTCCAGTGTATCTTTCTATCATTGTATCTCTCTTTTCCTTCTTCTACTTACGTTTCACATTGTCTTCCTGCATATCCTTGTGGACAGGCATCACACGTAACTCTTCCATCGGTGTCCAAAATACATGTTGGTGAAAACCTAGGTGAGTCAATGTCATGAAGAAAATCATCAACAACGATTCAAAATTCAAGTTTTAAGATTTTATTGTCCATACATATATAACAGAAATTTGTCTTTCCATTGGTGTTGCATGTGATATGTGAAACATAAGACAAAAACATGGTGTCATGTGCTGAAAGCCAGAAGGGCGTCAAGACTCTATAAAGAAAAAGTCTATGAGCAGGTACGGTCCTCCAGCTCTCAGCACACAACATAACAAGACAATTATATGATGGCAGACCTCATACAACTTTGCAGGAGAATACACCTGCAAAATAAACAATGATACGAAAAAATTGCTAGTAAAAATAATCATTGCAATACCGACTCATGACAAAGATATCAACTTTAACAATCACTACATGTTCGGCAGATGGGTGAAATGGATGAAAGGCCAGCAGATGCACATTTTCAAGCTTACAAAATCTACAGTTTTTAGTAGTCTGTATTTATATTGCCCATATTCTCACCAATGGTTTTATTACTCAAGCAATCAAAACTGAACAGCATAGCAATTTGACAAAACTTCTATACCCAACACACAATGATGTGTTCATGTTTGTAATATCTGCATAAAATCCCTCAATATGAGACTAGATGCTGCTTGTAAGTGTCGGCTTGCATGGTGATGTAGATATACAGTAGGCTTGCGGGTGCATGTGAGAGAGAGGTGCACCCACAAGCCTACTTTATAATATGAGACTAGTAGGTTAAAAAACATCAATCATAGATATACGGTACAGTCAGCCTGCTTTAGCGAGGACTTGTCTACAAGGATCATGTTTTATGTTTGCCTAGAAAGGTCTGATGGAAATCTGTATAAAAGTACATAAAGACCACATAAAAACCACCTGTGCACGGTCTGGACATACAGGGTGGTATTCTCGAAAACGAACTAACTTTAGTCCATGGTTTAATCCACCGACTAAGTATGGAATGCCAAGTGTCCATATGAATATATTTTTTACTAATTTGATATGTCCCTAAATTACCATGATAATTTTATTCATAACATAGTTATATTGTTGATTATGTATTATGTTATTACATTTTAATTTACTTTAGTGACAGATTAAATTATGCAAAAACATATTCATATGTACACTTGGCATTCCATACTTAGTTGGTGAATTAAACAGTGGACTAAAGTTAGTCCGCTTGTGAGAATACCACCCACAGGTTTCACTGTATACTTCTACTTACTGGTTTGGTCCAAATGTGAGTGGGCAGGGGCAGGTGAGACAAGGAACACCATTGGGTGGATCTCCGAAGAATCCCTCAGCACAGCGCTCGCAGTTTGGTCCCTCTGTGTTGCCTGTACACTACAGGAATACATGTCAGAGAGAGAAAAATAGTTGTCAATACATGACAGTAGCAATTTGATAGTGTGAATTGGTCGTATTGTGTAATTGGAATGTCAAGAAGAAACAGAAAGATGAAATAAAATGTTAATGATTACTTCATTTTCTTCTAATGCAAACAACAAAAATGTCCTATTTTGCATCACAAAGAATAGAAGAAGTAGAGTTACATACCAATCATCATGAACCATTCCTCTACCAATTTTATGCAAAATCTCAAAGGAGAAAAAATAGAAAAATACAGGGCACCATTCCATAGGTGCAATGGGGCCCCAGAAGTTCAAATTTTTATTCCTACCACATTTTTCTTAAAGTTTAACCCATAAACCCTTTTTAAAAAGCATAGCGTGTGATTTTCAGTTGACCAATGATTCAGAAGACTCGGACATGTCCTCCACCTCAGATCGGGTTGGAGAAACTTACCAGGCACTGGCCTGTGACTTGGTCACAACTGTTTGATAGTCCACTGCACTGACAAGGCTGGCATGTTCCTAGACTTGATGCATCTTGACCTGGTGCTCTGTAGTAACCTGATGAACATCTCTGCAGAGTACAACAAACATAAGACATGTCAGTGAGATGATATAGTGACACCAGTGTGGGGCATTTCACAAAGCTTTTTTCACTGACAAATGACTAAAATCAGTGACATATCTGCTGATAATCAATCAGAAGCAAGGATTTCAGTTGCTTAGAACACAAACTGTCATTTGTCACTGATGACAAGTTTTGTGAAATGCCCACCTGTATAATTTAAAAGATCACTCAAAGAAGACTGGAAAAGTGGTCTTTATGAGCAGGTGCTCTTTATGTACAGGCTCTTTTTAACACATTTTTCAATGGGAATACTTTCCAAAGGGAAATACAAAACTTGCAGTCTTTATAGACAAGTGGTCTTACTATGCAGTAGGTTATACTAGTTTTAGTACATGGACAGTTGGTAATTGATAAATTGATATTCAGTTAATCATTGAAAAACCTATTTGAAACACTAGAGCACTTCAGAGACTATCACTACAATGAATGTTTTTAACATTACTAGAACAAAAAGAACTTCCTCGCCTTCAGTCAACCAAAGGCTTAAATACTTTTAAAAAAACTTTCCAGAAAATGATAACAAAATACTAACTAGTTGTCAAACTGAGAGTATATTTCACCATGGGCAAACTCATTGAAAGAACTCAAGAACTTTCATTGCAATATGCCCATAGAGGACTAAGTCTAGAGTACAATAAAAGGAAATTTGTCAAGACTTAATACCAAATCCCGACACAAAAAGAGAATCTCTCACCTCACAAGACAATCCTTCGTAGCCGATGGGACACCTGCATTCCTCCACTAATACTGCCCTACCTCTGCCCGTGTCCTCTGGTACAGCTGTATCAAGGACTACATCGGCCAAGCTAGAGGGGAAAAAAATAGTTGGAAATTCGTTCAAAGATATGTCAATACTTTGGAACCCACCACCCAGGGGAAAGAAAATACGCTCATTTTCGGGGAATGAAATGAAAATCATACTAGTTTCAAAGGGAGTAGATCATAAATTTGAGTCAGAAATGTTCATATGGAACATGTACTACTAAGAGAACTACAAAATGTACATTAAATAATAATAATATTCAGCTTTCATATAGCACTTAATACATCAATGAAGTGTCTAAGCAATTTACAGATATAAAACAGATACATTTCTTGCAGCACAAGCCATCCCAGGTTTGTGTAGCAATTTCTGATTCAAATTGATAGTGAAAAACATTCCATTTAAAACTATATAATTGACTTAATCATTTCAGTCTTCTTCATAAAAGGTAGACTTTGAAGAACGACTATTCCTCTTCTAAAGGGGTCCTGGGACATGTTAACTGAAGGGTAATCCTAGTCTGAAAGTGCATATATATTATTCAGGCAGTTAATTTCTACTTTAACCCCTAGCCTCCTGGATCTGAGTGGTTTATGTACTAAGCCTATGGGAATGAGAGAAATTAAGAAGTCAACAGGTTATCCAATTGCCTACAGGAGGAGTCTGGTGGCTTCTGTGTTAAAAGTCAATGGGAATGAGAGAATACGGTAGCGAATGGGTTAAGTGGAATACTTGGAAAGCAAGTACATCTATATGATTAGGGAGACCAACAATGGGGACCTAGGTCTTAAAGGGCAAGTCCACTCCAATAATAACTTACTTTCAATAGAAGCAAAAAAATATATAAAACAATTGATAATTAGTGAGGACATGATGTCACAAACTGAACATTGGCAATTTGTGTAGTGATTGCCATTGTTCCATGCTTTTTCAAAAAATCAAAAATTCCTTATTAGTTATTTGATTTTACTCAAATTTGATTTCCTCTATTTCTCTTGTTTTTCTGCATCTATTAAAAGCAAATTATTTTTGGAGTGGACTTAGTCTTTAATGTCCTATCCAAGGGACTCACCTGGTTTGGTACTGGTTGTAGGAGTACGTTGCCTTGATGAGGATAGAATCAACGTTCTGTAACGCCAGCATGATATCCTCTCTTGTGGCATCAATGAGAAGCTCTGAACCGACATCTCCTCTTCCGCCTCCACCAACCGTCACCACATTCTTCCAACCAGCCTAAATATTGATGAGGACAGAGACTCAGTAACATTGGTGAAGGTTGATGGAAAACTGTGTAATTTTATGTAAAATATAACATGCAAAAAATCCTGAAAAAATTCCATTACCACAAAGATATTATTTTTTTCATTAAAGGCGTCACTGTGCAACACCCTGTAACAGTAAATTCTCCCAACCATTTTTCCATGAAAATAAGAGATAAGACAGGCTTTTAAAAATCTGTCAACACTAAAATGGCTGGAATGATATATAGAGTCAATTCATTGCTTTGTGGTGATTTGAATTCACCTAAAATTAAATAAAATCAAAATATAGTTGGGAGAATTAAGGAATTAATCAGATCAGTTTTTCCCAATTTTCATAATTAATAATGGCCTTTTTTTCACTCAAACTTTCATAGCATCTTGAATTGTTCATCTAGCATTGATGTGCCATTATGATGGAACGTTTGTTTTAAACTAGCGTGTGGACAGACCTGTGGAATTATCCCTATTACTAAAATTGCCCATTACCCTACTGTTACCACCACAAGCACTATTCTTACCACTACTATGACTAATATATCCATTACAACCAATAATACTACCACTATCATAACCAACAATACTGCAATTACCACTTATGTTACTATGATTACCTCCACAATCAATACAGCAATCACTACTACTACCACTTCTACTACCACTACTACTACCACTTCTACTACCACTACTACTGCCACCTCTACTACCACTACTACTATCATCACCACTACTATTTATCTTTTTATTGCCACTCTGACTACCCTACCGTTACACTTGTACCCCTACAATATACCAACACAACTATAACTACTACAGTTGTATGATTTGCAAGAGAGAGAGATGACTGCTTACCTCTGTGAGTGGCACCTGTCGCTGTGTTGGGATACCTGATGCAGGCTCATCTGAGATTTGGTAGGAAAGAGTCTTTCCATTTCCCTGTACAGAAAGAACAGTTGAAAATGTGATTTCAATGAGATTATTGAGAACGATCTATTTATTAAGACCATTTCAGGTTTAAAAAAAAAGGAAAATGCACCATTGAAGAGACCCAATTGAAAAGTGCCTAGTTTTAAGCTGATTTTTTTTAATTTTGATATCATTTTATGAGCATCTTGTAAAAAAAAACACTATAAGTGGTAAATATATATCTATCGATGTACAATTTGTCAAATTCTTTACAATTTTTTTGTTACTTTCAGTAATTCAATTTACTATTCTATATGTGTATATATTTAAAGCAGAGCCTGTTTGATTCCTTGCAAATACATTCATCATCATCATCATCATTTAGCGTCCACTTTTCCCACTCTGAAGAGTTGGACGTTTGATTTCCCTTATGGCCCTTCTCCAAGTCTTGTGATGTTTGGCATCCACCTGGGTGAGACCAAGTGCTCCCATGTCTTCTCCTAGTGTTTCCTTCCACGTTTTGCAAGGTCTACCATGGGGTTTTGAACCTGCAACCTGGAAGTTCATTGCTCTCTGAAGCAAAGGTTTTTTTTCCAACCCCAACCTCATGACCATACAATCTCAGTCCACTCCTCCTTATTTCTTGTGAGATTTTAACCCGGTTCGAGTCCTGCCGCGGCACTAATGTCCTTTGGCAAGACATTGATCTACATTTTCCACACTCAACCCAGGTGATGTACATTGTAAATGGGAACCAGGCAGGAATTAATTCCTTGAAATGCTAGAGCGCCGTAATGGCCGCCTTGCTAAAGCCAGGGTAATATTCGGGCAGCGCCAGGAATGTCAAAACGTGACTGACATGTGCGCTTTAAAAAAAGCCACCATTATTCTTATCTTTAGTATTCACTACTGAAATACTGAATTAATTCATTCCCATATAGGCTTAATACAGTAGCCAACCATTTCTCGTAGGCAAAGGACTTTCTTTTCAGATTCAAAGAAGAGTAAATGTTTGAAACTTGCCTTGATGTATACATCAGCTACTTGAGCAGTTGACGCAATGTGGATAAAGTTGACTTGGTAACGAAGGTTGCCTCCATAGCTTGTTAACTGTAAGAAATCAAAGAGCAAGTATTGGAAGTTTGATTGCAAATGCATTTAAATGAGTTATTGTTGGATGAATAAGGAATGATATTATTGACATGACTCAATTATGAAACCGAAATTTAAAACAATTTGTTACCACATTGCCACCATTATCATCAAAACAATCACCAAAATCATTGTCGTCGTCATCATCATCATCCAGATTATCGTCACCACTGTCATCCTTACAATCATAACCATTACATTTATAATCATCACCATCAAAATCACCATCAAAATCACCATCACCATCATCATCACTGTCAGTCTCCCTTACATCATCATCATCATCATTACAATCTTACCAGATTTCCTGTAAAGTCTTCTGGTAGCACCCAGTAGTAGGTAGATGTAGGCAGCCGTCGGTTGTAGTCGCGCACAACCACCTCCCTTTCAGTTGGATTCACTTCAAGGTAAGTATCCTCTAAGACACCCAGAGATGCACTGGGGGATGACAGGTCAGCTAGTCGCACGCCTTTTAAGTTACCAATCTCGCCAAAGTATAAAGAAGTCTGTAGGAGATCAAAGGGAGGAGTTTAAAGGCCATCTGTACTAGTTTGGCTAAGAGGGATTAGACCAGCCAGGAAGGTCACTGACAAGTGGCTATCTCATCAACTCAGCTCTCAATTAACATAAGAAAAAGAGGATCATGGGGGACCAATGGTCACCGATTATGCATTGTTTTCTATGTAGATGGAGGGAGCAAGCAGCTACAAGTAGGAACAACTGGAGAATTGAGGCTTCCTTATGGTCAAAATAATTTGTTTTTTATATTTCCATACAAAATCTTTGACAGATAAGTATCTTGTAAGTTCCTTCTGATTAAGCTTGAAATAGAATCAGGCTCAATGGTGGTCCACCTGTATCACTATGAGATTGCTAAACATCATCAAAGGTCATAAACAGGTTTCATCATTCATGTCTATTCAAAATGACAGTGTAAACATTTAGCCATACACAATTTTGTTCTACGTCAAATTAACAGAAATGAGTACTATATTCATGGTTTTACATTTACATCTTTTGAAAGAAGCCTAGGATTACATTTCAGAGTCTGTATGCATGAGCTCTCTGTTTAAGTTATGAATTGTGGGGGGCCCTGAGGTAATTTTTTTAAATTAAAGTTTATATACATAAGACTTTTGGTAGTGTATAGTATCAAAATATTGATGAGACATTTGTGACAATCATCCTCAAATCACTAGTAAGAATACCAAGCTATTAAGCTACCAATACTATTACCAGAACACAAACTTTCAGAAACGTGATAATGTTTTTGTTTCCATAACACAAGACACCCCAACCCACCATGATATCCCCCTGATATGGTTTCCGCAATTCCCACCACAAAGTAATATGCATGGGACTACACTATTTGACTCACTTCAAATCTGTTATAGGTACTGCTATAACAGGTTGTAGAAGCACCAAAACAGTAGCAGGCGATGCACTCAGAAACAATCTGAGCATCGTCATTGAAATAGCTGCCAGTGCAAATGCTGGGTCCAGCTGAAAACACGAAAAAGATTTAAAGGAAGAAAAAGTTCTGACATTAATACTATTGATAATGAAAGAAGAAAGAAATGATACTGTGCTCATGCTTTAGAGTGAAAATATTAGGCAACTCTTATAGTCATACTATTCCTTTATATTTTTATGTGCAGTCTAAGTTAAAGTGCATTAAAATACTACACAACCATCTTAAAGATATTATCCAGTTCTGAGATAAGAAATAAAGAAAGAATCGCAAATTGTTCTAGGGATCATTACAGAGGATTTCTTTATGTTTTAAAAAAATCTCATTTAAATCAAATATTTCATTATCCACAATTGGAAGGATCCATGTAAACGATGGCCAAAAAAAAATTGAAAGAGAATATTTTTAAAAACCTGTTGACTATTACATTCTTTTATTTCACTTGGTTTTTTATTATTGAAGTTTGAAGGTGTCACTATGCGACACCCTCTAACAGTAAATTCTCCCAACCATTTATGAATTTTCCCAACGGTTTTTCCATGAAAATAAGACACAAAACAGGCTTTACAAAATGTTTCAACACTTAAATGTCTGGAATAGTATATATAGCCGATTCATTGCTTTTTGATGATTTACATTCAGCTGAAATGTAATTAAATTGCAATAATATAGTTGGAGAATTAAGGAATCGATCAGATCAGTTTTTCCCAATTTCTATCCTTACTAATGGTCCGTTTTAACTCAAACTTTCAGATTATCCTTAATTGTACATCTAGCATTGAAGTCACTACCTTAGCACCATTTTCTCTCATCTGAACAATGTTACCAAGTCCCTTTAAATGATTACTGAATTATCTCCAGGCTTTATACAGAAATGAGGGACAGTTATTGAGTACAGTAACCACCTGGTTCAGGTACAGTTATGGTTCAGTGAAAGAAGTGACTTACAGATGACAGTGAGGATAGCATCTGGTTGGGCCAGGATGTATCCCTGGTTGTTCATGGCCTCACAGGTGTACGCTCCTTGGTCAGACTCCCGGACATTCTCCAGGACCAGGGTACCATACCCATTCGAATTAGTGATGATAGCCTGAGCAGGGAGGCGGGCGGGGCAAAATAAAAACGATGAGAATAGACCAGTTCACGGTTAACAAATGTCCCAAATGACCCCAAATATCCACAGACCTTCAAAACATGAAGAGGTCCCACTTTGTACATTTTGAAATAATCACTCCTACAGCGATGGAGGTGTTACATAAATAGCCTTTGTCTCCCCTGTTTAAAGAATACTTCCACCTGTGTATCATGGAGTGCACTGCTTGTGTACAAATGAATAATTATTACATAACTTTCATGAGCACGTATCCAGTATTTTGTCTCTGTGTATTTCACAATTTGGTCTGCAATGACCTTTATCTCCTGATGATCAGACTGCAACTATGAACTCACTAATTAGGATAGATTTGTTTGGTAGCAAACCCGTAGAGGCAGAGGAAGAGAAAGAGGAGGAAAATGAGGGGCACATGCAGGAGACAAAAAACTATAAGAGGGAAAGGTGAAGTTGAAGCGAAGGGTGGAGGACGAATAAGATAAGTGGAGACGGAAGGTGAAGAAAAAGGAGATGGAGGTGGATGGGGAAGAGAAGGAGGGTGAGAGAGGAAGAGGAAGAAGAAGAAAAAGAGGAAGAGGAATTGAAAGAGGGGGAAGAGGAATAAAAGGACAAGGAGGAGGAGGAAATCAAAAGGAAGTGGAAGAGGAAGTGGAAGAGGAGGAAGAGGAGGAGGAAGAAGAGGAGGAAGAAGAGGAAGAAGACAAGGAGGAGGAGGAAAAGAAAAAGGAAGTGGAAAAGGGAGAGGAGGAAGAAGAGGAAGAAAAGGAGGAAGAAAAGGAGGAAGAAAAGGAGGAGGAAGAAAAGGAGGAAGAAAAGGAGGAGGAAAGGGAAGAAAAGGAGGAGGAAAGGGAAGAGGAAGAGGAGGAAGAGGAAGAGGAGGAAGAGGAAGAGGAGGAAGAGGAAGAGGAGGAAGAGGAAGAGGTGAAAGAGAAGGAAGAGGGGAAGCAGGACAAGAAGAATAGCAAAGGATCTCGTTTCCCATAACTTACCCTATCAGGGACAGGACCCCAGTTGAGCCTCCATGAGATGATGGGTGTAGGGATACCCTGGGCTTCACAGATGATCTCTACCCTCTCTCCTATCTGCACCTGGATAATCTCCACTGGCGACCTGATCACCGTTGGTTCAGCTGGATAGGAGAACAGAAGAAGAACATTATTGAACATTAATGTGCTCCCCAGGAAGTGGAGAATGTGCATTCATTGCGTGCAGGTAAGCCTGAATCCGATGACCGGGGTAATAATATACCTGTAAAGCGCTTTGAGAGGGTCTTTGGTCCTAAAAAGCGCTATATAAGAACTAGCTATTATTATTATTATTATTATTATTGAGAGAGTTTGAGTTTCTTACTTGTAAGTAATATGAGTTCCTGCTTTTAAAGTGAACTATTATTAGACATTAGACAATATACAGGTTGTATTCAATTTGGTTTTATGGTTTTCAGTTCTTTACACTGCACAGAGATAACAAGTATGCCATTTAATATTGTCTTCATGAAAACTGCAAGAAATTTGAAGCACAAGACAAGAGCAGAAAAACTACATGAAAGTAAATGTATAAAAAAAAGTACAAGACATTGTTATAACAGTAAGGAAATAACAATAAAAGTAAAAGAAAGGGTTGTTTTTTTATTAATTAAAAATACAAGAAAGATAAGAAAATTACAAACAAACAAAAAAGAGAAAGAAGGAAGAAAAAGTACAAGAAAAATAATAAATCACAAGAAAGGTAACAAAAAATATACAAAAAGTACAAGAACAGTACATCATACATGTATACAAACATGTCATAAACCCATGCAAAAATCTTTAAGGACTTACCACAGCCAATTTCATCAGAACGATCTACACAGTCTGTTTCTCCGTCGCACTGGAACCCACGAGGTACACACTCATCGACAGACAGACACTGGAACTCACTGTGACGGCATGGAGAGCCCGGGGCAGCAGTGGCTGTAAGAGTAGGCAATCAATCATAGTTTAGTTTTAAGTAATACTCCCCAGGGAGTGGAGAATGTGCATCATTGTGTGCGATGAGCCTGAATCCGATGACCGGGGTAATAATATATATCTGTAAAGCGCTTTGAGAGGGCCTATGGTCCTGAAAAGCGCCATATAAGAATGAACTATTATCATTATTATTACATAAATGCTGTCCGACTTCCGTTTAAAGGCACACTGCACTACTTCTAGCTACTTGCGCCCTCTATATAGCAAGCAATGCCTAATCGGTGACCTTTGGTCCCCCACAGTCCCATTTTTCTAATGTTAATTGAGAGCTGATTTGATGATATTACCACCTGCCAGTAACCATGCAGGGAGGTCTAATCCCTCCTGGCCAAAACTAGTGCAGATGGCCTTTAAAGGAAACCTAAGCCCAAGAAATAAATTTGGCTATTCTGATAAAGTTACGGTATGTTTGCACATCAGTCTACAAGATTCCCCACCAAAGTGAATGAGAGAGGTACAAAGTCGTTTATCGATTGATATATATACAAATCACTATCACAAGTGGTAGATAATAAATCAAGCAGAAGCAAAATCGTAATAATTCTCTCAGGTCAAATCAAGGTCAGGCAAGTGTTTGAAACTACATGTAGTTGAAGTTCATTGCAGGATTATTCAAAGACCAGTCGGAATGTTCTGAATACCCTCCACAAAGATTAAGGGAGAATGCGGCTAATTAAGTGTTAAGATCAGTGGCGTGTCAAAAACGTGTTAACAATCCGGGGTACAAAAGTCAGACTCAAACGATTCACACGCTACCAAAGGGGACCCGTTTGTACTTTTGACAGTTTCTGACACCTGCTAAAATCTGGCAGAGAATACAGCTTTGAAAATCTTTCTTCCGAATGAACGGAAGTTATGGGACTTTTTCTCTGTTTTATTTGTATGGGAGATAAAAAAGAGACCCTTGCTAATAAAAGTTAATCAATTTCATGGGTTCTTTAACATCATATCATGATGATTTGATCATGACCTTCAAAGCCACTTTATAAATCTTTTCTTCACCCCTTTGAATGCCAAACTGGCTCGTTCCCATATGCTCTACAACGGCAAACCCGGTTTCCAGAAAGCAGTGGGTTACATTCTGATATTTCTATATAGGCCTGTCCTCGTCAGACCTAAGTTGCAAAATAACTTGGTATTTATAACCGCTATAACTAGCCCGATCTCAAATAAGCCAGCTAATTTGCGTCCTCATCAACCCGCAGTTGCAATTGGCGGGCTATTTGGTCAAGAAAATATTCCAAGATATATTCTTGGTCTTGTTTCCAAAATAAGCCCGATATTTGGGGAAAAGTGGGTTTATTTGCGCTCGTCTGAGCTAGTTTGTGATGAGTGTATCGGTCTGGTGAAGACGCAATTTAGAGCTTCTCTAAAATATCCTGAGTCGGAAAATAGCAGGTTATTTTGCAACTTCGGTCTTATGAGGTCTGTGAACTGAAGCCAGAGGGTTGCTTACATGTATCCCTGTGGGTAATGTACACAAACAAGCAATATTTCTCCTGCAAACCTATCTTAAGGGAACGTTTGATCAACTTATTTAATTCCTATCTTCACTTTTACGACACACAGATCTCTATTGCCATATACATCCTCTTCAGAATTTAGAATAACATGTCCCAGATACGAGCCATAAATCATGCGCACATGAAGGCCTACAGAAAGTGTGTTTAAGTAAATCTTGTCATGAACGGCACGCAAATAAGGTATACCGGTATACTGTTCAGATCATATCAACTTGGTGCCATCACACTCTAACAATGCACTTGTATTTGGAAGGAAGGCATTGTTAACAAAAATTGAGGGGGGGGGGGCTTTTTAATTGACAAGTATAGATAGGCAACGCATCACTAAAAATATACCTGGCATCCATTTCTCTGCAATGTTTTTTTATTATGTCAATTTGCAATTGATACTAAAGTATTCTTTAAAAAAGGTGATTACTGTAAAGTCAAGCATTTTACAAATGTGGAATTTTCAAACTTTTAAAAACAGCACTTTTTTGTTGCACTAAACATTTGTCAACTGCATAGATTAAGTGATGTAATGCCATTCTGTTGACACAAAAAACTTCTCAAATGTGGACCACTCGTGAAATTCATCAAAGTTTCTTATATGAGAAAGTTTCAGGCTTTATGATATCAAATAACTATGCTGATATCTAGATACTTACGACAATCTCTCTCATCAGATCCATCCCCACAGTCGTCATCGCCATCACATCGCCAGATCTTCTGAGCGCAGAGTAGGTTAGCACACTGAAACTCATTGGGCTCACACTTGCGTTGCTCTGTGCATCAATGTGAAAAGGAGACGAGGACTAGGTTAATATATGTATATATATATATAATAATAATAATAATAATAATATTCCGTTCTTGTAAAGCGCATATCACATTATATAACGTCTCTATGCACTTCAAAAGAGCTTTGGAAATGAAAACCCTAGCTTTATCTCCGGCAGCCGTAATCAGCGCACAGTGTAATTCAAGAAATAATCCTACCAGGTACCCATTTACCTCACCTGGGTCGAGTGTGGCAAATGTAGATTAATATCTTGCCAAAGGACATTAGTGCCGCGGCGGGACTCGAACCGCAGACCACAGTCGAGTGACACATTCACTCGACCATGACACCTCTACAAATACGTATTCCTATTCATCTAAAATGTGAGTGAAAACTGCTACCCATCAATAATGCCATATTCAACAAACAGAGTAAGGGGAAAAACAAGAAACAGAAGCTCAATGACAAAAGTTGAAACAAATTTATGTTTTTAATTGACTTGCAGCATCCATATTCATCCAACCCATCTTCACAGTCACTCTGCCCATCACAGAGGGATTCCTGAATGACACACCTGATTCTACCAGACCTCAGTAAGCCCAGTTGGCCTGACACTTCCCTTCATCTATTATTTCAAAATTTGATGAGTAAGATATATTTTTTTAACACTGTTGTCCTTTAAATCTGAACTAATAACACAACATGACATAACGGAATGTGAAAATTTATTTCTAATCACGGCATCCAGTTTTCTGGAAAATTATCTCAAGAATTATATATTTCATATTTAAAATAGAAATTGAAAATTGATATGAAAATAAAATTGATTGAATATAAAGTAAATAACAGAAATTTACTTTACATAATTTCTTGATAAATTATGCACAATTTGAAATATACACAGATTACGTAAAGCGGAATCATTGAAATCTTATTTGAAATACAAAGAAAATATAAAATATGTTGATGATGAAAAAGTTAAGAAAGTAATAGAAATGTTATAATGATCCCTTGAAGAAATTATGTTGATCTTGTATATAATTCATATGTTTTGTAAATTTTTGTTTTACTCGTTTTGTAAATCGTCTATATACCGGTATGTATTTTTGAAATGGAATAATGAAGTCCCTCTGAAGAGGTAAAGAGACGGAAAAAATACTTACGGCATCCATACTCGTCTGAACCGTCCTCACAGTCGTTCTGCCCATCACAGAGGAAGTCTCGAGGGACACACCTGATCCGTCCAGACCTGCAGTAAGCTTCATTGGCAGAACACTGTGTGGACGGTCGCACCGGAGTGGTGGGGATGGGGGTACGAGGTGCGGCCCTGGTGGTAGTGGTGGGCGGGGCAGGGGTGGTGGGGTCAGGGCGTGGTGGTGCTTCGGTTGATTCCCTTGGAGCTGAAGGGTTAAGGAGATAGGAAGATGGCGTTATTATCCTGTTGACTGAATTCCCTCATTACCTGAGTTCTAATACACAAACCAACTATGGCTATAGGTATCTCCCGGATAACACATTTGATAACGGCACATTCAAATGGGTTTCCTCCATAGTCTGCACTCCTATACATCTCCCTCTTTGGTCGACAGGCGTATTGGTCTTATCTGCTATATGCCCATTTGGGGGTCTAAGAAAATCTTGCCTACATCCTAATGGAACAAAGGACCAATAGAAATGATATGCAGTTTAGGTCCTATGATCTGATGCTGAAGACGAATCTAAACGGGTGCCAGACAATTTAAGTTGGCTTTTATAAAAATGGTAGAATAGGGCCAAACAACAAAACAGATTTCTCTTGATTTCATATGAGTGTGAGAGAAGGCTACAGAGGGTATATGGAAAGGGGCGATGGAACTACCTACACTGGTAGAGTTCTGGTTGACCATTATCAGGGCTGGACGGATTGAGGGGAAATCCAAGATGATACTGACTAAGAACTACATGTGTGAAAGAGGGGGAAATTTGCCTCGACGATAGTCACGATACAGGATACCAATGAAATGAGGTAATAAAAGTGAGCGTGGTCATAGAGAGGATAGATACTGAGACATGAAGTACTGGACTAAAAGTACATGAGTGTCTATCAAAAGACTGAATCAAAGAAAAAAAAGTGCAATTCAAATTGAAAAAAAAAAGAAGGGATAGGAATAAGTCCAAAGTCCTGCAGGGGACAGGGAACGAAATTGCCTGTTCAAGTTCATGTTGAATATCTCACTTGTTCCATCCTAAAGCAAGCTTCAAGTCAAGAACAACTTAAAGCCTATCTGCACTAGTTTGGCATGGAGGAATTAGACCTCCCTGCAAGATCACTGGCAAGTGGTTATCTCATCAAATCAGCTCCCAATTAACATAAGAAAAAGGGCATCATGGGGGATCAACGGGTATCGCTTAGGCATTGTTGGCTGTATAGAGAGCACAAGTAGCGATAAGTAGTGCAGTGGGGCTTTAATATGCATAACATTTGCACACACCAACAGAGTCCATGAGATATCAGCATCATCCACGACTGAATCTCACTCTTTCTCTCTCTCCTACTCCACAACCTGACCGACAAGGTCACCCGAGGTCAATGACCTCCTCGGGGTCATGTCTGTAATGCAGTAACTGGGTCAGTGTCTTGGCAGGCATGACAAGGCAATGCCAGCGGACATGACGGTTTACCACCCCCACCACTGGGAAGCTCTCTAGTACATTCATAGAGAGAACAGCGTGGTGTTCATACTTTTGAAAATGGGAATCTAAAAAAAAAGGGTTTACCCCCCCCCCCCCCTAATTTAACTAGAAAAAGAAGCTTTATAATCCCATTTGTTCAAAAGACTTAGGCCCACAACATGCAATGGTAGACAAGCAAATACTTGCAGAAAACATTGCCAAGTAACCCACCTTCATGTATCAAAATCAACATTGAGGCAGGCAAAAATAATAGCCCAGTTTCCCATTTAAGGTGAATATGAAAGCTCGTTTTTACTGAGGCACCCTGTATTACCCATCTTGAAATGTAGAAAAATGCACCCGTGTGGTATTTTGTGATAGATTAGTCGTCTCAAACTCATAAATATGGATTTAGTCCTGGTCTTTTGCAGATATTGTCATATATATATACAAAAAAACTAATGTTATCATTATATTCTACAAACAAACATAAGCCTATCTCTGATAATATCATGCTTTTTTATCACAGATTTGCAATAAGATGACTCTCTCAGGTGTAGGGCCTACAAGTAGTTTGAAAAAAAAACTAGATCGAATCCAAACCTTGCCTCACATGTAATGTGAACTCAAACCTCAGATTCCATGCACTTTCTTCTAGACAAGGGACCTCAAAATGAGAACATGAACTTGCCCCTCAATCGGGACAGAATGGGTCGGATTACTTAATCCTTTGGGATAATCCTTGCACCTTGCAGTGGTCTTAGATTACCCACATCCCCCCTGGGATAATCTGTCTACATGCCTGTCATGTCAGAGTTGCTTTGCTTTTCTTTTTGCTTTTCAATAAAATGTTGAAAAAATAGTAGACCTACAGTGGGGGAGTGGGTGTCTGGCTGAGTATGAAGACATCATTTCTAAATAGGCTAAGCGTTTTGGAATAGGGAGATCATATTTAGAAGTAGCTTCAACTTTGACTGGTTCATTGATTCAGTGTCTCGCCAAATGTCACATGTGTCATACAATATTATCACACCATTAAAACTTTTAGCCTCAAAACTTTTAGAATTATGAAATGTATTGATACTGCCACTGGTCTAATTGTGGACAAATCGGTTTCATCTCCAGGAGAAAAAAAATTCTAAAGAAATAAAGTATCCAGAGCCTGATGTTCTGAGTGAACAAATCCTTCCCTGCCCCACTCCTCCCCAGAATTCATGCAGAAATGTCCTCTAATTTCCTTTCCTATAACAAAACAGTTCACAAATGTACTCAAAGGGCAAGCAGGCCTCTTCCTGAAAATGTGCCTGACATAGCAACAACTAATAATGAAACCTGCATTTCAGCTACCAAAATACTAATGTACATGTATATCGTTCATGTAGCTTGCACAGCTCATTACTAGGCCTTTGGCAAAGAAATACCAATAAATTTGTCAGGCCTACTACATTAAATATGTATACAGATCTACCGGTAGGCATAACCCGAAAGGGAGAGAAGTGAGCCGGTAGCCTACATTTTAGACTCTATACATACAGGCTCTGTGTTTATATTTGGTCATTCCTACACCGAGTTAAGCTAATAAGCCTAAGGAGTGGGTTGTTTCCAAGTTCAATCTCAAATTGATCACATTCTTTCACACAATTATGGCATATTAATTTCATTCCACATAATACATATGTGCCATCAAACAAGACAAAGTACTGGGTATTACAACTCTTCAACCTGTTCCGATTCCTAAAGGTACAAAAAGAAACAGAACAAGTAATTCGATTGACATAAACATTTTTCAAAAATGGGTCAGGCCTATGGCTGGTAGGATATGAAAACAATGACTTTTGACCTCATGAAATGAACTATGGAATCTCTAGGATTCGTCAGATATCAAATTCAGACATCATGACTTTGACAGTGCAACATTATACTTGTCATATCTCCCAGCGATTTGAAATACGCAATGCCTGATAAAAACAAATTCCTGAATATTTTCCCTTCCTCATTTTTAGGAGGGAGACACGACAAAAACATTAGTGTAATAGAAAGTGACATTGTGTCCAGACCAATTTTGAACTTCTGAGATGTCTGACGAGCCCCTTAATAAGCCATTAAATTGACAAATCACATAATCTAGCATTTTGGATACACTTATGCAATAGCTAGGGATTCAAAAGTACCCCTTAATTCAAGAAACAATTCTAAGAAATGCATAATTAATCAAATTCACTTGGTGATGGTGGATTGATTATATACGACAATATGACAATTGTAATTTCTATAAAGCACAACAATGTAATTATTTTATTTGCATTATCAATACATATTGAAAATAAAACTAATTTCAACTGATCAGCAGCGTTGAACACTAAAACAAAATAGGTTACAGAAAAGTATAACATTTATCTAAATATCAACATAAAAAGCCATTCCATTTTGGCATTCTACAAATATAAAAAAAAAATATTAAAAACTGTAATTTGTTTGCACGGAAACTTGCTGACTTGGAAACAATAACAACAAATGAAGCAGCCATACTCTGTTGGAGCAATCATTTACAATGCAAACAGAGTAAAATATATACATATAGCCACAAATAAACAAATTAGAATTAAGCAAAACATCATGTAATATAATTTCATTACATAACTAGAAATGCAATCGTGTAACAACGATGTGCGTGCAATGACGCCGTGTTTCTACGTGTCGAACGAAAGAGCTTCTCTCGGACTATCCAGAGCAATTTGTACGAAGTCTTTAGCTTCTGTAATATTGGAGACAGGTAGGGCGAAAGAAAGGCCTCAACAGTGACCTTGATGGGATGGTAGTGACTATGCCTACGATGTTTGAAAGAAATTGGGATAGGGGAAAGAACCTAGAAAGGGCTCGCAAGCACTGCGTGCAAAAACAAATGGGATTAGTTGCATGCGGCGTCATTGCAATCAAGATCGTTCTAGGGGTCAAAAGCGTGAACCCGATTTGCCCCATAGACAATGCGTGTAATGCATGGGCGGAAAACATACAGGATCTGTATTATGACCGGAGTTAAATTGTTTTTTCTCTCTCTCTTTATGTCTCTTTATGGGCCGTATATGGTATCATTGGAAAGAGAATTTCATGGTCGTTATTGTAAACTACTCTTTTTTTTTTCTATGATAATCCTATCGAAACATGTGATGTAAAATAGATTTAAAGGACAAAATGGCGTCTCAAATGGCCCCCTTGACCAATTTCAAAAAATCCGGCCACGAGGTGCCCTGCGTATTGCATCTCGGAATGTCATTGCAAATTTTCAAGGAAAAAAAAAGATGTTTAGGGGGCGAAAAGTAGTCTGAAAAAATGACGTCATGGCCGATAAGTGTTATAATCGGGCGGAATTCGTATAGTGATCGACCCTTGTTCAAATGCGATTTACTCACAATTTTCTGTGTAAACATATACCATACTTGGTATCATTCAAAAGGGCACTTCATTGCGGTCAGTTTGACACCATTGTCATCTGCACGCAATGTACTACACGCATTAAAGGCGCTATTACGTAATGCATAGCAAATTCATCATTTTTGGCGTTAACTTTGCAACGAGGGCATTACAATTTATTTAACTTGGCAGACAGTTGTCACGTATATGGATACATATGTGTGCCAAGTTTCATTGATGTAGGTATAAAGATCGCCATTTTAGAGCAAGTTGAAGTTATTTTGGAATTTTCTTGAAAATGGCGAATTTGGAGGGCATTTTTCTCAAAGTCGGTCAGTGTTAGGGTATATAATGTTGTATATGGCTGGAAAGGGCATATCTTCAAGTATCTAAATCCAAAAAAGGGTACGGGTCTGCCAAGCCATAATGGAAATACGGCCACAGAAAGACAGCCAATTCCCAGAACTTTAGAGGGCGCTATTTATGTTTTGCAAAGCCAATGTAGCGTGAAATTTGGCATGGCGATGTGCAATTATGAGATAAAGATACTGTGAGATTTAAATACAAAACGGAATTCATATGAGAAAGTTATGGCAGTTTTAGATTATTTAGGGGTCAATTTTTCAAGAACTTGAGAGATTTTTGACGGAGTCGGTTTCAGATTTGCATTTTGAGTACGAAGATGGCATTTTGAAGGTCAGGTTATACGTCGCAGATAAAAGAACATCTCTTAGACTATCTAGAGGAATTTGTTAGAAGTTTGTAGGATCTAAGATAGTGGAGATGGGAAGGAAGAAAGAAAGGCCTTAAAATGGACCAGAAACGGACAAAATGGCGCCTGGACGGTTATGCATGAGTGATTTCGAAAATCGAAGAATGTAGTGACCTTGATGAGATGTTAGAGACTATGCCTATGAAATTTGAAAGGAAACGGACATGAGAAAAGGGCATAATTAGTGATGACAAGCACTACGTGTAAAACGAATGGGACTTCAGGACGAAAAGGAAAATATTAATGGGGCAGAATGTGAACGAAAACAAGGCAATGACGAAGGTTCGTCATTGCAAAAAGTACAATTCACATGTACACTCATGATTCATGAAAAATGTGCTTAATTCTGGAACTAATGATTATATTTTTGGTGTGGATGAAAAGACTTGTACCAGGAAAATTAGACAACAAATCTCCTTTAATTTTTGTTATCAAATGAAATCTATGGAACCATGTCGGTTGGGGAACAACTGACACTCCATGAGGGAGCAAACTGCAGTGTTCTTCAAATTAGTAGCATAAGCGAAAGTGGCGTAGACAAGTATAACTACACTTTCTATTTCAATCTGAGGGCATATTGCATAGATAGTCCCCCCCCCCCCCCTTTCCTAAATACAATAGTAATACATTATTTTTTTTTAATTAGAGGGTTTTACCCCCATTGAAACAAAATTAAAATTCTCATTTATATTTGTGGTACCGGTGTACAATTTAACGATTAAATATCAAACATATGTCAAAATATAGGAAAATCAATCAAGATGTTTTACAGGACAAATCGTACAATAAAATGATCAATGTAAAACATACAAAAACAGGTCTGAGACAGTTTACTTTTTTTCTTCTATCTTTTTTTGGCATTTGCAATTTTTTTTTAAATTGCCTCCTTTTTTTTGCTAACAAATAGCCTTTGCATGGTTGGCCCGAGCAATGTAAATTGCAGATGTAAATACAAAACTTCACGATAGATGAACGAACAAGGCTTTTGACAGATATCGGCATTGTAAACATTCAGATGGAATTTAGGGCTGATTTGAGCAGCATGACCCCTGTCCTACTTCAGTAATGAAGTCTGAAAGGTTCATATTGTCTGTTGACAAGCCAGAAGGTTATTTATTTTGGTTTAAAGTATAGGTATTTTTCTCTTTCCAAGTTCCAAACAGATGATGTAAATAAAACATCAAATGTAAATGCATGTGTATGATGAATATATTTGTTTTTCTCTTCTTGAAACTGCTGTGAAACACAATGACAGTGAATCGGTATGCATGTGAAATGTTTTTCTTTCTTAGAAAAGTGCAAAAACAGAAATGAAAATTCAATGATATATCGATTATAGGTACATGTTGCATTTGTGTGCCAAAGAAGTGATATATATTGTGAATTTACTTTTGTGCAAAAAAAGTTATTATATTGTGAACTGACTTTTGTGCAATGAAGTTGTGATATGCATGTGGTGAACTGACTTTATGTGCTTCAAAGTTTGAGAAATGTATGTAATGAACTACTTTTGTGCAACAAAGCTATGATGTGCAATTGTGTATGTGCTTATGTATGGTGAACCAATTTTTTGGAACAAAGCGGTGACATACTGTATGGTAAAGGGACTTTTGTGCTAAAATGTTGTGAAGTGATATTTGTGCATCATTCTGGCAAAATGCAAATGGTCTTCATAATATAATATGTGAATTATATATAACTGGACATGGGGTAGCAACAACAATGGGAAAAGTGGGTGTAATATAAAACTGACAGGTTGGGAGAATAAAACAAAATAAATAAAAATCCTCAAGCTTTAGGTACTTACGACAAAACAATTCATCAGTTTGATCAGTGCAGTCATACAGGCCGTCGCAGACGAGCAAATCGAGAATGCATTTAGTACCACCGTCACATTCAAACTGGCCTAAATCACACAGGACTGCGGGACAACAGAGGGCGACAAATAAAATGAGCTGGCAACATGTTCTTTTGGTCAGCGATGGTGCATCAAGTCATTTGCCAAGCTTTGCATTCATGTTAAGCAAATTTGAATTAAAAACCTTTGCAAAATAATCCAAACTGCTACAAAAACCACAAACTCACACAAAATATGCAATACCGGAAGCAGCCAAGCTTGTTATCAAGAAGTTAGTGCATTCGTGCAATTACCGGATAAAATGTAATACCCACGTATACCAAGACAGATTCAACTTGATCACACATTACATGCTAATTTCTGGACACTTATTTAATCAATACATGACACATATAAGTATTATAACTTCACACAGAACATTTAACAGACATTTACCATGCAGATCATATCATTTTGTTTTAGAAGCAGTGAATTGTTCAGTTGTTCCTGAAGATCTAGAAACAAAACTGGGATTTAATAAGTACTTATTTTTAGACTGGCATGTTGCTGATTATGTTGTTAATTGCTAATTAGGCTCCCTTGCAGCTTTCAATCTCCTGCTTTTACACCAATGCAGCTTGTTTTTTCTTGTATATTTTCTGTGTTGTGGTAAGAATTTGTGAATGGAATTTGGAGCTTTTTCCAAATAAAATATGGCAGCATTTAATATCCAATGTTGAGCAATTAACATCAGCAGAATTGATGACACTGGTTGTAACAAGACGGTTGGGTAACATCAACAGTCATACAAAATCACACAGGTTTTGTGAAATAATCTACGATACACATAGAAAGTGTTATTAAAGTGCAAATGTAAAGTGCAGTGCAGTAACTAGATAACATTCTACATGAGTGCCAGGTGAAATTGGTTTTATTGAAATTAGCAGCAGCTATATCATGCTTCAATAAGTTGACCACCAAAACTTCTTATCCCCCAACAAAAGTTTCATGCACATTTTATGCAATATACTCAAAATGACCACCAAATTTAAATTAGCAACCTAAAGTTCAGTCAACAATAAGGATGCTGAGCTAAGCAACCCATGTAGCAAGAGCCCTCGATTTGGATACCCTTGTGCTATATCTCAATAATATCCATCTTTGATTCTTGTTGAAAGGAGGAATGCAGGGTGCCTGCAAACATCCTCTTCTAAAACCATGAGCTCTAACAGCCTGTTCAGACAAGTTCTCGAAACCAATATAAAGAAAGTTATAAGTAACGTATAAGTAACGTATAAAGAAACGCTAGAAACATGTAGCAATAAGGGATGTACAGACTAGATAACAAAATCTCTTAAAGATCTGTTGTGTAAAGAATCGATCGAGGTCTGAAGAGGTCCATTGATATGAAAGCTGGCCAGTCAGTAGTTTGTGCTCACGGTAAGCCCCGCCTAGTGATACGATTTCCGTTCGACGACTAAAATGGGACCCTGATTCTTCAGCGAGTGTTTATTCAAAATGATGCTCAAACATTTATTTAGCTATATTACACTATGTTCCGTTATACAACTTTTCTTGACATAATGTTCAAACTAGTAGGGAAAAAATGTAATTACTTTATAGCTATACAATTGTCATTTATCCATACACAGAATTACATAGCTGACCGTGGTGTGGGGATAAGGGAGGATAAGCCAAAGAGCTTTTAACTGGGCACGCGAGACCATGACCAAAGCCAAGTTTAGATGGATGCCTTTGGACATCTCAAGAGTGAAACTGGAACTGGGAAGTGTCACTCTGCATTATCACCCAGCTACAAGTTTGGAGATGATTTGGATCGAGGTATCTAATACCCCATTCACAGTGGCCTCAAACACCGCGACAGCAGCGGGACTGTCCCGCTGCTGTCGCGGTGTTGTCTTCAGTGTGAAGGCTCGGACCCGTTATAAACTATCGCGGGATAACACCGCCTAGCGATAACGCCGACACAAACTATCGCTAGGGACGCCTAGCTACAGCAGCGGGACAGTCCCGCTGCTGTCGCGGTGTTTACTCAGTGTGAAGGCTCTCCGCTATAACACCGCGACAAACACGTGTGATTTGTTTACTTACCTATCACTGACCTCTTTTCTACAGCAATGGGGAACATAAAGTGAAATAGAAATAAAGTAACCAGTGGATTCAAATTGATTTTATTATTATGTAGGTATTATAATTATCCAAATAAAAATATTTCACACTTCAAAAAATTAAAATATTCTGACTGGAAGCAATAAAAATGCTAGTTTTTTAAAAAGTAATATGATCGAGGATACAAAAAGCAACTTGACATGTTTACCGCGCAATTTCAAGCAAGTATTTCCGGTCATATCGGGGTCACTCGCGGGTCATGAGCCATGCATACACGTGTTTGTTACGGAGGTAATAAAAATCACCCGCTGCAGCGTGAATGGGTACATGATATTTATCCCGCTGCTGCAGCGGGATAACTTTTCTACTGTGAATGCATTTGTAGCGGTGTTATGGCGGTGTCGCCGCTCCGCTACAACGCCGCTACAAATTTCAAAACCACTGTGAATGGGGTATTAGGCAAGGATGCTATGGAAGAAAAATGGCCACGGGTACTTGCACTATAGCTGGCCTCCTTGTGAAATGCAAAGTCTCATTAAAAAGATATAAATGTGGCAAAACTTTCGATTCAGTAAGATCAACATCTACAGAAAGAATTAAGACTTGCTCGTAAATTGTATGATGCGGTATAAACCACAGCTTTTTTGATATGTAATGAAAATCTATGTATCTAAGACCCCGTTCACACTCACTTTGAAAGTGGTCTTATTTAGACCGCTCCAGAGGAACGGGTCTTTAGGAACGGTTTGCGAGCGTTCACATTCCGAGCAGTTTTTATGGCTCAAACCGCTCCACGAGTCAAAGTGGTCTTGTTGCTATGGCAGCTCAGGTCAGCGGGTCAATTTTTTCGCGCGCGGAATACAAACCGTATGTACCGTACTACATGTTTCGCACGGAACGTCACTAGCTCACTTCCGCTCAAAGTACGCTTCCGTTCACATTGCACGTTAGAGCGGTCCAAACCGCTCTTAATAAGACCCGTTCCTCAAGACCACCTCGGAAGGTGGTCTTCTGGAGCGGTCCAGAAGTCCACTTCCTGGACCACTTTGACCGTTCTCACTCACCTAAGAACCGCTCCTGAGGAACGGGTCTTAGTTAGACCGCTCCAACGAAGTGAATGAGAACGGGTCTTAGTGCACAGCTAAATAAATACATGAAGGATCTTTGTTGCTTGGAGCTACATTCTCTCATCTCCATTTGACATACACCCTTGCATAAATGTGTAATTTAGGGAGGAGGTCACCCAAATCATTTGTGCAGGCCTAATGATAACTTGCAAGGTCCATTCACTCATTTGGAAAGACAAATCGTCTTCTTCAAGAGAGAGGAATAATTAAGAGGAATGAAGGACTAATAGCTATGATCCCTGGTGCTATCCACTATCTTAACATCAAGGTCCTATATTCACTTCAAAAGGAAGAGCAGTATTGAACATTTAAGCGGAATCTACTGGGAGAACTTGAAGGAACTCAATCACCATTATCACTTGAACTTAATGGCCTAATGATAGCAGGCAAGGACCCATTATCATTAAAGGGAGTACTGGCCTGTCTACTGCAATTCATAATGACAGAGGAATCTGAAGGACAATTTGAAGGAAGAATCTGAAGAAAAACAGAGCCATCCTAGCCTCGAAGATAACTTGGGAGGCTCTCTTTCATGCGAATACGGAGGGCCCTGTCTGACAAAGAGTTGAAATTGATCAAAAATCGATCACAACTCCTTCAATCAATGGCAAATATATAAACTCAATGGACACTGAAAATATATAAACTCAATGGACACTGAAAATATAATCCTACAGGGGTCTGGATATTTAGGAGGAAGTAGACCTCGGACATCTTTCAAACCGTGGTCACAGCTATATGGCAAAGGTCAATTGAGGTCATCTGATGGGTCAACTCTCATTCCCTGAAGGTGACATTGATATCATGAGCTCCATCAGTGACCAAAGGCCAAGGGGGAATTTTCTTTTTAACGAAGGAAAAAGCAGAACAAGGAAAGTACAGGTTATTTCAAGCTCTTTCAGAGTGTAATACGGACTGAAGAAAATTTTCTGGTCCATTCACTTATCGGAATTGAAATGGATACTTTCAACACAGAGTTAATACGCTTCTGAAAAATAAAAGATGAAATCAAAGTTTCATGAAAGTGAACATACAGTCTTCAAATGTGCAAAGTTTGAGAGAAAGAGAGAGATTAAAGAAAATATTACTTTCCTCAATTTGCATGAAAGTGAAGCAACCAGTCTTCAAATATGCCAAGTTTGAAAAAGAGAGAGAGATTAAGGACAATATTACTTTCCTCAAATTGCATGAAAGTGAACAAACAATCTTCAAATATGCAAATTTTGAGAGAAAGAGAGAGAGAGATAAAAGACAATATTGCTTTCTTTAATATGATTTGTGACTTTGTTTTGGTTTGTTATGTAATTCTAGCTCACTCCCTGGGGAGGACTATCTTGTTTAGATGTGAAACTAGTTGTCAATTATTCTTTCTCTCTCTCTCTCTCTCTATCTCTCTCTCTATCACTCTTTCTACCACCCCCACCCCTTCCTTATCTCTCGCTTTCTCTTCCCCTCTTCTCTCTCTCTCTCTCTCTCTCTCTCTTTCATTGTCTCTCATGGTCTCTGCTTTTCTCACTCTCTTTCGCTTGCCTTTCACCTTACACAATCTCCATCTATCACTCCTACCTCCCTCTCCTTCCTTCATCTCTTCCCCTACTCTGCCATTCCTTCTCTCTCTCTCTCTCTCTCTCTCTCTCTCTCTCTCTCTCTCTCTCTCTCTCTACTCTCTCTACCCCCTCTTCTCTCTTTCTCTCTCTCTGTTGCATGCCTTCCCCTAAAACACTCTATCCATCTGTCATTCCTCCATATCTTCCTCTCTCTCTCCCTCTCATCTCTTTCTCTCTTCCCCCACTCTGCCATCCCCTCTCTCTTCACAATCTCTGTGTCTTTCCTTGAATACCAAAGATATGTTGTCGGAGCCTCCACTAATGCATTCATGGATGTCATCTCATTATACAGCTCAACATACACAAACTGGGACAAAATAATGGGCAGTCCCTTCAGGCAAATATCATTTGTCTTCTTCCTCTAGCCCTAGCTCCCTCTATATTCCACCATTTATATCAACATTTCCTCAACAATTCTTTCCTCAACATTTCCTGTAGCAATTTCTAAATTATAAAGAGAGATAGAAAATGTACTTGTAATGTATAATACCACTACTGCATTAGAGAATGAAAGGATTTAAGGCACAAAAAACGTGTAACAGAGAGAGGTCTGTTTATGCCAGGGGGAGATTCTTTGAAGACAACTAATAGAATGTTGTCTGTTTGTTGACAGATGCATTTGTCTTGGAATGATAAATGTTCAGTGGCGTTGTTTCATTAGCATCCCATGAGAGAGGGTTGGTTGAGGGTAGGAAGGTTTACGAGGAGGTATGTACCCAAGGATTGCTACCAATTACAAGAGTCATCTTTCTAGATATCTGATGTATTTCATATACCCCTTTCATATTAACTGCAGAAAAGGGTCGAGTCCGGACTAAGTCTAGTCTTGACCTAAAAGCAATTGTGTGAAAGGTGGCATGCATCGGAGTGAAAAGGAGGTACATGTACATTGCAAGGAGTGCTCCCAATTATGCAGGCATCCTTTATAAACCTAGGCCAGTATTCAATTAGGTACTTTGTAAAAGTAAAACTTATATTTAGCATTGAACTTTGCTAGGTAAAATGTCCAACTCATTTTCAGATGGTAATGCGGATTAAATGCCTTACTAGGGCACCCTATCACATCGAATTTGTTTCGAACCCAGGGCCTTCCGAATGCGAGGCCACTGCTCTATACCACTGAACCATAATACCTCCTTGCGAATCTAACGCTTGACCCAAATCTTTCAAGAAATAAATCAAAGGGCGAATGTTCCCTCAGCAAATGTTAAATCTCCATCCTGCCACCTAAGCTTCCATCTTTAAATAAGGAAACGCAGCCTGAATTTAAATGTGGATCGAGTCAGAAACACTAGCTGTACACTTCTTCAACTCAAAGTCACGTAGCATCCATTTAGCTCTCAACATATAATATCACCTTCAGGTGATTTATAGTATGATGTGCCATTGATGGCAGAAAGGCTTGCCCTCTTTGAACCTTATTACTATTTATAAGCTTATTGCAAACCTTACCAGACTCTTTGAAGAAACCAATCCAGGTGTAAATGTTGCCATTGCAAATGTCCGATCACCATACTTAGAAAAAGAAAGACAGCATGACTTTGAATGCAAAAAAATAGTTTGACTTAATTAAAAAATATTTGACTTTGGAAGTGTAAATAAAAAGGTGTTTTGCCTAGTTTGATCCCAAACAAAGTTGTGTGACATTGGACAAATTTGACTTGTTTGACTTATGTGACTTGTGTGACAGTTGTGCAGATTTAACTTTAGGTCGAGTCAGTAGCACGAGCAGCAGACATCGACTCAATAGGTCTGTCCTCATCAGCTCGAGTTTGCCAAATAGCCCATTATTTCTGATCCGGGAAATTCGTCACATCACGAAAGAGCAGGCTGTTTGGCAGGTGAAGACGCAAATAGGGGGCCATTTGCTTGGGAAATCTTCCCAAGATATCTTGAGCTAGTTTGCAAAATAACCCGCTATCTGTGGACCGCCTTCACCAACCCAAAGTCTCGCACTATGCGCCGAAACTGAGCAAATTTCTCAAAACTTATTTCATGAGCTCGAGTTTCGAGCTGATAAAGACCCGATTTGTAACTTCGGGCTAAATTCCCGGATCACAAAAACGTAGGCTATTTGGCAAACTCGAGCTGATGAGGACAGGTCTAAAGTCACCCAGTGTCCTTTTAGCTCTCAACATCTCACCTCCAGGTGATGAATAGTTTGATGTGCCTCTGACGACAGAAGGGGCTTGCCTTGGAATGACAAAACTCTTGTTTCGTAGCATGACTACCCCTCGAGGTATGCAAGCAGATACAGAGAGTGACAGACAATTATGTATCGTCACAGGTGCCCCTTGTAAAACAAGCACTCATGTGTGTACAGAAGAGGTGTCTTACGTTCCTTTCGAGGGAAACAATGTTCCTTTCGAGGGAAACAACGTTCCGTTTGAGGGAAGCAACGTTCTGTTCGGGGGAAGTGTTATGGGATTGCCTGGGAGTGCAGGAAAAGTACAAATAACTTGCTCAATGTTGGGGAACAGGACAAGTCAAAGGTATATATTGTCCCATACGTTACCGGCCGTCTAAGATCCCAGCGTATCTGATCGATGCATTGAGTGAATAGCCTTACTGGAGCTTATTATACAGCAGTAACAGAGATGCCAGTTAGAATTGGTCAGACGGCCTGAAAATCACCTAGAATGAACTATTGTGTACACAAAAAAAGCCTAAACTATATTCTGAAAATAACTCGCCATGCAGGGCCTGAATTCAGGATATTGCCTAAAAGCTGGCATCCCTGCAGTAAGCGTGAAGGGAAAACAAATTTGCTGTTAGTTTATGTTGACGAATCAACAATACTCCTCAACATAAAGACACCATCACACTAAATAACAAAATATTTTGCTCTTGCCCCCCCCCCCAAAAAAAAGATCACCTTCAACATTAAAATGCAATTTGACTACATAAATCATACTCAAAAAAACTTCAGAACTTCTCAAATCCTCTCCTTTTACTTAGCTCTTCAGAGTCAAGTTTCCCATAGCTCTTCTGCCAGGGGTTGTGGGGGTTGCAGCTGATACAACCAGCTGACTGTTCTCTCGTATTTGTACGCCTGGTGACCCCCGACCCCAGAAACAAACATAAATCTGTCAGGCATGCCTCCCCTCTAATATCCCCAGTTCTCAGTCAGGGAGGGGAATCAGTATACTTTGTCGTTTATTGATAAGTCAAACATCTTCGAACTTGTAACTGAGGGACAAGCTAGCCTTTCATGAATGCTTGAGTTTCCAGATTGGGACTTTTTGAGCATTGGTATGTCAAATATGGCCTATTAAGGAGCTGCCAAAATGTAACTGTCAAAGCTTTATGTCATGTAATGCTTTTGAAACGAAGGAATTAGAAATGTTCTGAGAGTATTTTCTAGCTACATAAATTGTATTCTAATTTCTAGCAATTTATTTCCCAATGGCGCTATCAGTATTGAATACTCAGTGATGATCTGACACACCTAAAATTCCTGCATTCAGGTTCATTTTCCCCAAATTCTAATCAAAAGGAAATCCAAATATTATACAAAAAATACACAGAAAGTGCAGTATCACCGACAGGCAATAATTGGTGATATATTTTGCACTTGTCAGGCATACATGTTAATATCATTGTGACAGCACCAAAAAACGTGATCATGTCAAAGAGCAGTAAACAGATGTCAATACAATTGTACCAAATAGGGCTGGTTTGATAGTGAACTTCTGGATTCTGTGTGACATTTTTTGGAAAAGTGCATTGGTTGTTTACAGGTTGAATGGTACAAACCCCCCACCCATTCAACCCCCCCCCCCCCCCAATAGCTCCTGTTTGGTGTCATGGTAAAGTATTTTAATTTGAAGCTGTATATTTTATGTTAACAGTGTTCACTGACTGTTATATATTGTCCTCAGTTATGAACTATATTATATGAAAATATCTTCACAATTACTGGATGATGTATATGTAGGCAAAGCTCATTGTTGATATCTGAGCCTTGATTGATAATATATGCTGAATGAATGTATCTCCACAAATATTTAAACCAAAAGAGGTCAATGCTAGCAGGCCTCAATTTTCTAACCAGTAAAACACATATTTTCCACTCTAAACCTGTCCTTGTTCTTCAAGACGAAAGTAAACTAAGGTTAATCCTTTGCATCCTTCTCCTTACAGGACAATCATAACAAAAACATCAAAAGTATTTCATCCATATTCCCAGCTGCAAGTAAAGATGGCTGTGCTGAGTGAAATGCTAGAAGCCACCTGACATTTTTCAATTTCGACCACTTTCTCCACGTTTTGTGGCTGGATTGACCTTATGACCACTCAATTTTGAAATGTAAATAAAAAAATGATTCAAGAATTCCCCACTGATAACACGTTGAAATATTCTGTTTCAGGGCTAAAATCAACTCACTACATACAATATGTCCCATTAACCATTTGAATAAATTGTTATGTTTGAAATCAGAATGGCATTAACTCTTTAAACAATTTATTTCTCATTTTAAACAAATTTGTTAAGAAAATGATCTAATTACCAATATTAAAAAGCAACTTTTCCAAAACTGATGGAAATGGTATAACGAGTTTGAAATTTCTCCTGCTAATTTTTTTTTTGTGTGTGAAGAACTATATCTAATCACCAATATGAAAAAGCCACTGACTTGTCGACAAGGGAAGAATGTTTTTGTTTCAATGATCCCATGACAGGAAAATCTAACCTAAAATATGTTCATCTCCCAAATTTTCCTTAACTTTCAACATTCTTTTACTCTGGATTACTTTCCTTCCCGTCTATATCTCATCTGCACTCCGCGCTATTTAAAAAAACTCCATATCCATCTTTTCTTAGCTCCTCCAGCAATCAACAACATGAATCAAGTACAAAAATATGCTCTGAATAGGTCTGGCTTAACTGAAAATACCTTAATAAAAACACCCCTGAACCTTCAACACTCCTTGTACCCTCGCGGTCCTACTCCACTAAATCTCTAAATCGGTTGGCAACTCAATTACACTTCATGCTCTCCCATTTTTTTTTCTCTCTCCTTTTCCCCCTTTGAGTTCATTTCTGACAATTTCATTGCACTTTCTTCACACCTATTTCTCAATTTGTAACCGGAGTCGGGGCGGGGCATTGGTGTAAGCCCCAAATCCGATTCCCCTGCTATCCTCAGTGGTAATAGGGTGCACAATGGTAGATGAAGAGCGTGATTAGGTTCACACTGCAAGGGGGCTGTTCCCACTAGACCAAACTACATGTAGACTGCATATAAACTGTGTGGATTGCATACAATGTAAGAATTATGAAGAGCATGGTTAGGTTCACATTGCAGGGAGACTGTTCACACTAGATCAAACTAGACTGGATAACCTGTGTGACAGAAAACTATTTACAATGTAGATTGCATACAATGTCAGAACACTAGAAAATCTGTATGAAACGTCATAAAACACAAAATGCTTAAAAAGTCAAAACCGAATACACTGCATTAAATGTCTAATACACAAATGCATGAATAGTCAGAACACAATATCGAATGCAAACAAAATTTCGGAAAGCAATACACTGCATAAAACGTCATATTTAATAGAACGCATAAAAAGTCAGAGAACACTACAGGCCTATGGACTGTATCAATATCAGATCACAACATTTGACTAACCGGTTGTTCGTATTTTAACATTTTTATTTTTAATTTTAAATAGAACATAGAATAGGATGAGCATCCATGTACGTGTATGTATTCATAATCATTCTGTCCGAGGCACTGCGAGATTTCATTATCTCCCATCAGAAGAAAAATTGGGTTCAAACACTGTCCTTTCATCGTTTTATATCGTTTTATATCGTTTTAAGTGTTTAATATGAGGATTTTCAAATCCATTTAAAATCCAATGCAAGATTTATATAAACAAAAGCAACAAGCAAATGCACTATGTCAAGTGAAACCAAATCGTTATCCACATGTCAAATCATAGATCGGAACCTTCAAACCGACCACAAATTACACCCTCACGAGGGGAAAAGGAAAGTAATCAAGTCACAGGTGAAAGAATTAATCCCTTTTTCAGAACGCTTAATAAAGGTAATGCTGAATCGACAAAAAGAGAACAGCCTTTACAGATACATGTAGTTTAAATAAAGATTTCTGGTCTTTTGTCAGCATGATCAACAGAAAAATACAATAAATTAAAAGCAATTTTGGTTAAATTTACAGAGGTAAGCCACACCGGTTTTGTTACTGCTCTTCCTGAAGAAGCTGCAATAATCATCACCCTAGCGAGGCCAGGTACCTATATATTTACACCTTGGTAGAGAGGGCCAAATTGTGGGCAAAACCATCCTTGCCCAAGGATGTAAGCACTGATCAAGGATTGAACCTAGAACCTCTTGTATGAGAGTCAAGTGCCTTTACCACTTTACCACCAAGATTCCTGAACACGATCGCAAGGACTTTCAAGGAATCAACTCCAGGGCACTGTTTCATAAAATTTGTTATCAATAACAAGTTACAATGTCTGTTATAAGTTACTGAAATTATGGCATTTGATCGGTTGGGAGCAAATTTCTTATTGAAAACAAGTTTTATGAAACAGGGCCCAGTGCAGTTTATAAATCCTATTGTACATACTACAGAAATAATGTTTGGATTACTTAATTCGTCATTGTAATGTTAATATGCCCAAATAGGTCATGGACAAGGCTTATGAATTTGCCTTGGGTTCATTTTGTTTCAAAAGTATTTGCGATTTTGTTAAATATTCAGTGACAAAAATACAACAGAGTTGAGATTGATTCAGCTATGAAAAAATTCAATGGTGCTTTAGTATATCCCAGGGACCTTTTTTATCACTTGTTAGGAACAGGGGCAAAAAGAAACTAAACAATAAACAATAAACTGCATCAAATGAATAGAAGTACATCCTCACTTTTTATCACCCATCCCACTTTTCTATACCCTTGGAAATATGTCCATTGTCAAAATACAACTGAGCTACTTTCAAAACTATCCCCAATCATCAAACTTACATGGTACAAAGCTTTTCATATACCCTTTGGGAAATTATATTTCATTTATTACTTGTGGATACTACATTAAACTGAGTGGCTGGGGATTGGCATTGTAATAAAAAAATGCCCTAAAGTTGACCAGACAGTAGTTTGAATAAAGTTATTACATGCTTGAGGATTTGAAAGAGGTCGAAAATTAGTTCAACAATTCTAGTTTCAAAAGGGAGAGGTATGTAGAAAAAGACAACTCAGTTTTTTATTTGGCTCCAAATTGTTATTATATGTCCAGTTCCAAATCAAAAGCTAATCATCTGACCTTTCAACCATTGAATCAGGTCAATTACAAAAACTAGTTTTGACTTCTACAACTACAAACTGAAAATTTGTAATGGACTTTGGGTTACATGCTGAATTTTCCAATTGCAAATGTAGCTTGTGTTTATTAAAGGGATCTGGTAACTTTGTCTCAGATTCTGAAACAAAATTCTGGATTTAGCTCATGATGCAATGATAATTATAAACCTTTAGGTCAGTCAGAAAACCCATGACTTTTACAAGCCGATCGCCTGTCTGATTATCAAGATATTTATGATTGGAATTACAAATTTTGAAAACCGTTCACCTGACGGTTTTCATAACACTACAGTCTATTGCGGAAAATGAGTATGGTAAAACCGGTCACTCAAAGATTTTTACTTTTTTGAGGCACTTCTTGATATTTTGAAGCGCAATTTTTTGAGGGCTTCAGTATTACACCATATCACTGATAACACGTAAGGCTGTGTATCTCAGATTTAACATTGTTAAACGATCCCTTTAAATAGAAATCTGATTTTCAGTGGATACCGGTACTTTCTCAAAAAGCTCAAAAAGCAACTTTATTTCATAAAACACTCATACTATGATTCGTGTAATTCATTGAGATTGTATTGTTATAGTTGATTCTTGCAATCAAGGCAGAAACTCTACTTCTTGAAGTAAGGAAAGACCTACTAATTGTACTGAAAAGGAAAGACACTTTTACTTTTGCATGCTCTTTTCTAAAAGATATTCAAATGGTATGATAAAAAAAAATTAAAAATTCTTTATTAAAAAAAAAATGATTAAAAAAAAAACTCTCCAAATTACCCACTTCATTGGAAAAAATGTATAAAAATGTTATTATTTCCTTCATTTTATTAATCTATACTATTCATTTCTTTTGTATCATTCCCTTCATGTTGTTTGTTCGTTTTGTTCTCCGGCATATGTGGGTTGTACCATGGTTGTACTAGGCAAGACATAGACAAATGGGATGGCTGTGAGCTTGGCAACAAATGCATGGTGACAGTGACGCATAAATCTCTCAGGCCCACTCAAATATTGAAAGGTGAAAAGTGAAAGTGTGTTTTCCATCAAGTACCCCATTCGTTTTAATTCCCCAAATTTATGTCCGGAGTCACGATTCATAACATCTTAACAATCTCTGTTCAAAGCCAGAAGGGAGTTAACTCTGTATTAAAGTACATTCGTTAACAACCTTCTGACTCTAAGCAAATACGGAACGTTGGCCCTCAATCACTTCCTTGATTGACCTCAGCCATGACTGAAAGGCATAGAAGAACATTGCTATAATAAATAATTCTACATTTATTGTTTTATTTTGTTTGTATTCAAGTTGTAGACTGTAGGGAATTCAGGTAGGCTTATCACATAAATCACAATTTTAAATTGACAAGTAGAAGGGGTTGATAAATTTCACATGAGAAGACCTAGTTTTGAACTCTTCACTCTTTCGGTTAGAGAAGACATCGATGTTTCTAGACCCGATACTTGTATTTTACCTTAGGAACATTATCATACAATCGATATTGCATAACGACTAAAAATTGATCTTAACAGAAAAGGCCTAGAAAAAGAGTTAAATAAAATGTTAAACTTTTTAACCGACTGCTTGGTTAAACTGATGATCTGCCATATACTAAATATCTACTTCAACACAAGTAAATGTATGTAAGCACTTAAATGCAGTTTGAGCCTGAGGTCTTTATGTTCTAAATTTGTATTCATCTAAAAAAATATATATAAAAATATATATCAGAGGCAAACTCTCCCTTCTTTAAGTAATACATGTACATGGCTGTCAGATAGAAGAAGAAGTTATACAAGAACTCCTCTTGAAGAAGCAATCACTTCAAATTCCCTTTAAACTTTTCTACAAAGACATAACCTGAGCTTGGCAAGTTATTGAGCTATTTATTTTCTTTTATTCCATTCATCTAAGCAAATAGAGTGATGATTGAAAAAGAGTCAATTTCAATGCAATATGGCATCAACTTTCACTGGCAGCTAATGGATGAAATATGACGAAGCCACTCGTATCACAATAAAAATGGCCACACAAGTCAATCTTTTAAGCCTTTCTGTCTCACAGAAACACAAGGCTGATAGAACTGGCATGGATTTTTAAAATAGGAATCTTCTTTGAAACCTTCTATATCATCAAGAGCCAAAAGGGCGTTATACAGTGCGTCACAGAAAAAAAGAAACCGAGAATTATCAATGTTTTATCATAACTTAATCACAATTATAATTAATAAATGGCACATGTTTGTAAAGCTTAGACCCCCCCCCCCCCCCCCCCTCTTTCATTTGATACTACTCATATAATGCATATTTCATGCATGAGTGATAAAAATCAATTTGAAGAGAGGAAACCAAAAAGTCATTTCGCGGACGGTATCTGAATTTCAAACTCCTACAATTTAAGAGAAAGATAACGTCCTTCAGGCTCTAAACAGACTCTGAGATCTATTGAGAGCCAGTAAGGGTTTAATCTTGTACTCTCGTTACAGATCAGTTTTATCATATCTCATGCAAGCCTGGTTCAAATTCTTCATTTCAATCATGCTTTATAGGTCAATATTCACAGCAAGTCCAGGTTATTCAAAATGCTGTCCAAAAAAAATTAATAAATAGATAAATTTGGACAATAGATAGTTCTGAAAGATTAGTAGTGCACTGCTTCTTTCATGGGACATATTGTTTAATTTCGCAGGTGCTTTTTTATATCAAAGCAGTTGCAAAAATTAATTACAAGGTTTTCTAGTTTTTATGTACCCATTGACAAAAGACACTGGCAGCAGGTCAACCAGAAAAGGTGGGAGGGACCCAAGCCTTGGAAAACATCTCAACTGAAACCATTCGATTCATTGCAAAGCAAACAAACCAAAATTCAGGTTTTTAGAGGATAAAACCTTGCTTTCAAACTCAAATTTGGGGCCTGACTTTTTTGTCAGGCCCTGTAAAACAGTTCTACTGAAACTATACAATTCCCTGCAAAGCATACAGACCAAAATTCAGGCTAACAGAGGATAAACCTTGCTTTCTAACTTGAGCCTTGACTTTTTTTTTCTTTTTTGGGCCCTAGAAAACAGTTCTACTGAAACCGTGCAATTCACCGCAAAGCAAACAGGCTTCAAAATTCAGGTTTTTTAGAGGTTAAAACCTTGCTTTCATACTCAAGCCTTGACTCTATTTTTTGTCGGGCTAAATTTGGCTGCTGATATATTCATGTGTCTAGGCAAGGTTTCTATGTGGGTCAGCACGGTTGGCTTTCATTTCACAAAAGGAGTCTTGTAGTAGGTTGTGACAAAGATGGATTATTATACTCAGATCGACTTGAAGACAGGTGCCAATAAACTTTCATTGCCAGCAACAGTGGGGATACACATTGTACACAGCCAAGTATAAATGAGGGACAATGAAAACCAAACAAAAATAATAAACCAGAGAACAGTTTGCCCCTCCCACACCCCCCCCCCCCCAAAAAAAACAACAACAACAACAACAAAATCTTGAAAAAGGAAACCATATTGAAAAATGGGCCTCATAATAATTCTGTCAGTTGAATGTATGTGAACAATAATAAAAGTTAGTCCTTATAAATAATATATTAATCTTAACCCCTGTCGGGAGGGGGTGCTCCATTATAGATCTTTCTAACTTTTCTTTACAATGATAAGTTATCTTGCCCTATTTTCATTATTTTCTGCCAAATGCCCAATGTTGTTACATTCGATGTTGTGGAGAGTACCACTATCAATCGTTTCAAATCTGGACTTGAGAAATGATGGAAAGCTGCCCCAGATAAATATGATGACAACCCAAACCAAACGAAACCATGGATAGGAACAACAGTCTAAAGAGTGAATAATCCTGGATCAAGTGAGTTACAAGTGAGTTACATTCTTATTGATCAAATTGTATGTTTATATCCCCTTCAAAGTCCTTTTTTTTTCTTTGAAAAATGAGCAGATCTTAACCTACTTATGTAAGCATCCCTAAATGGATAATAAAACGTTTTTATCACTGACTTATTTCGAGTAAAAACTGCATAAGAATTATCATTAATAGTTTTCTCAATCAACAATCTCTCACATTGTTTTCAACAGTACTACTACTGATCCCACCACCCACCCAATCTACCCAAATTAAAGCATTCTTTGTCCATTCATAAACTCAATCACCAAACCGTTGGCCTATTGTACGTCAAGGGCAGACCTTCAACCAGTATCAAACAAGCAATAATTTTTGTCCTTATGATGAATGGACACAGGTGAAGAGTCTGGAGAAAGTCTGCTGAAGGAAAAGAATCGATCATTTCCTCCCAGTTCTGATCTATATACAACCTTTCTACCAATTTGTCCCATTCATTCATTTTGAATGGTACGCAATTAGACACAGAATTTGTGTGTATTACACTAATGTGCGTTTGATTGTAATTTTGTTCATTTAAAGTGAAAAGAGAAATTAAAATATTGACAAGTAACATTCCATATAGAATATATAATGCACTTTACAAAATCAGAAATGTCTATTTTCCCTTGAGGAAATTTTTAATTATACATGCACCCTAAATATGATCGAAGCAAATAAGTTTCTCTACCTCCCCTTTATGAAACAAATCTATTCCGTCATCAATAACTAAAAAGACTAATGAAATTTCTGTACAGAGGATATTGAAGAGGACCTGGCATGATACATCACTGTGTTGCCAAATTGTGTTTCACTGATGACAACTTTAAAAATTCATAACTTTCTTATTATTAATCGAATTTTGATAATAAATAATAATAATAAACAACATTTATAATGCGCACATATCCACCCCAAGAGATGTTCAAGGCGCCTCAAGGTAAGTACATTGAACGAAAATAATTTAACATAATTAAATATAATTCAACAACGTTAATTACATCATATTTTGAAATACACTACGTCTTAACTAAGGAATTCAGACATTAGATAGGTTTTCAATTGTTTTTTATGACACTTTAACGGACCTGTTCCTCTCATTTGTCTGCTTCTATCAAAAATAAAAACAACTTAATATCAGGGTGGGCTTCCGCTATCAACTCCAATGAGAGGAAATTAAGCAGGGGAGGGCAGACATGTACTCC